CATAGTTTTTATTGATAAAATATATTATATATCAAACTATGTAAATTTTAGATAATTCACGGGTAGTTTGTTAAAATCACAATTATAATGATAAAGCGAGTTACGAATAATGTTTTTTACGAAATGAATTCTGTTACGGGTCGGACTTTTAAAAAATATATTGTAAATATGTAATTTTTACGTGTATTCCTACTTTTACTACAAAAATAGTCAAAATGAATAATTTATCGACAATATTATTTCGTGATATTAAATTTTAACCGTGTTTTTAATTGTATCAAAACTCAGTATATGATTATTTACTCGCTTTTTCTTTATTATTTTATTTAAATTTATTATACAAATATATGATTTACCGTAATTGACTGCACTCTAACAAAATTAAAATGTAACATATTCTAATCCGTTAAAAGTTATATATATGTAATTATTTCCTCCGCGCTGTAGCGCGGATCCGAACCTAGTTTAATAGTATAATTGAACTGAACCTTAACTAAATATGTGCTTAAAAATTCTAGTTAAAGACTAGACCTGTCAAGTAGGTCTAAACACTTTGAATTTTTTGTTTTTAGAAGATGCAACTATTCAAGCTAAAACACTTGAAGCTCTACTTAAAAAATAAAACAAACAACTTTGTTTAATTTATAGAGACAAGGAATGTATGAAAGTAGTAACAGAACTAAAAAAAAATTAAGGTGGATTTGTAATAATTGACAAAATTGGATTAACAAATAGTAACACAATTTGCAATTTGCCTATTTATTTTCCGGGTTGTTTATTTGATGTGCAACTTGCAAGAATAATAATATATTAAAAGTAAAAAAAAAATACAAAAGAGAATTTTGTAGACAATCAAGAAAACGAAAAAACCAGGCCGGCCGCATCAATATCTTCTCTGGTATATCTTGTAACTTTTTACGATTTCAATTATTGTTCAATCTCATATCATAAAAATCTCGTTCCATATATAAAAAACCAAAATCGAACTGATATTTTTGAATTAATTTATTTTTTACTGATCAAGAAAGCAATGAAAAGTAAAAAAATGAAAAGAAAAATTCAAGATAGATAAAAAGAGAGAGAGAGAGGTGAAAGGTGGAGAAGGTGGTGGCGTGTAGTAACGAAGTCTCTGTCAATTTTTTTTTGGTTGATAAAATTAATCATGTACTGTGCTGACACTCCAAGATTTGAAACAGCCTTATCGATATAATAATACCTATTTTTCTTAAAAAACGAAAAAATAGAAAACTCTTTCACTTTCCAAAGTTATATATATATATGTCTAATAATGTAACCCTTACTATATTACTATTGTTTCGATTAGTCATTGTATATATGTACAATAAATAATAATGTACCCCTCCCCACAAACATATAACACCAAGAAACAAAACAAAAAAGATTCAAGTTTTTGTAGATGTCAATAATAAAAGAAAAAAAGAGTAAAAAATTGTGTAAAAAGATAGCAAAATCTGAATCTTCTCTTTTATTTTTCTCATCACTGACAGAGAAGAAGAATACCACTGCACTTTTTTTCTCATGCACGCACGCATACTCAGATAGAAACAAGTGCCCCATTCCTCGTTTCTCTAGTAATTTTTTTCTTTTTCTTTTTTTCAAATTACTTCATGATTAAACCTTTAATAAAACTAAGAAATCTCGAGTTTATAAAAAAAGAAAAATATATCGATAAAATCAAAAATATATGATGTAATAATCTGCTTTGGCTGTGCTCTCTTTACTACAAGACAAGGCAGAGAAAACCACAGATTCCTATGAAAGAGTAGACGTACCTGTCTTTTTTTATTATTATCATCTCTTTTCTACTACGACTTTTTAAATTTTTTGTAAATTAACATTTGAGAAATACTTTCACACTACCAAAAAAAAAAAAAAAAAACCTTCCCTCTATTTCGCCGTTTTTGATTTACCAAATCCCAATGTTTCAAGGAAAAATAAAATATCCATTCACATTATTATAACCACGTCTCCTTCCTTACTCAAGAACCATCCATTATATTAACATATTTATCCTCTTCCTTCAAAAAGAGTCTTCTCCTTCCTTAGGGTTTTGTTTTTCTCTCTCAAGTCTCCAACTAAAGCTTTTGTTTAGATCTTTTTTCTCTCAATGGACGTTCCATACTACCACTACGACCACGGCGGAGACGGCCAGTATCTTCCGCCGGGGTTCAGGTTTCATCCCACGGACGAAGAGCTCATCACTCACTACCTCCTCCGCAAAGTCCTCGACGGTTGCTTCTCTAGCCGTGCCATCGCTGAAGTTGACCTCAACAAGTGTGAGCCTTGGCAACTTCCCGGTAAGAAAATATAAAACAAAGTTCATATGTATACAGTTTTCTTGTATATAAGGTTTCTTAAAGTTTACTCTCAAATGTTTTCTCAGGGAGAGCTAAGATGGGAGAGAAAGAATGGTACTTCTTCAGCCTCCGTGACCGAAAATATCCGACTGGACTGAGAACCAACAGAGCTACTGAGGCTGGTTACTGGAAAGCTACCGGAAAAGACAGAGAGATATACAGTTCCAAGACTTGTGCACTTGTTGGGATGAAGAAGACTCTTGTCTTCTACAAAGGAAGAGCTCCTAAAGGAGAGAAGAGTAATTGGGTTATGCATGAGTATCGTCTTGAAGGCAAATTCTCTTACCATTTCATCTCAAGAAGCTCCAAGGTATCCTTCGATTTAATCCGTTCTTTATTTTTATTTATTTTTCTTGATAAAAGTAAACCTTTTAATTTTCTTTGATTAATGAATATATAACCTTTAATATAGATTTTAATTTATTTCAAGATTGTGACATAGTCGGTGACGTTGATATTTTTCTGTTTAGCTTTCTTGCATTTAATATTTGATGGCTGAAAACTGAAAAGGCATGGCTATTTACTATGGTTATAGTGAGAGCATCATGGAACATAAAATAGAAAAGATCTGCTGTTTTTATGATGTATTGGGATTTCAATCATTAATGGTGTTTTTCCTAAAGCAAAGAAAATATTAAAAGTTCTGATAAAATAAAATAAAAAAATATTAATACAAACCTACTTTTGGAAAGCTCAATGCACTTCTTCAGGATTTTTCTGACCTAGATATATTAAATGAAAATTCCAAACAATTAATTTTACTTAATTAGTTAAGTATCCTTTTGTAGTGTCCAATGTACATTCCCCTCTCTTGCAAAGCTTTTACTCCATAATCTACTAACATTGACTTTTCCATCAACATATATAATATAGATATTTAACTTTTCAATATTGTAATTTCTTCTTTCAGGATGAGTGGGTGATCTCTAGGGTTTTCCAGAAAACCGGTTTAATCAGTACCGGAACCGGAACCGGAGGAGGAGGACCGAGTGTTAGTGTAAGCAGCGGTGGAGGTGCGTCTAAGAAGACGAAAGTGTCCTCAACGATTTCAAGAAACTACCAAGAACAACCAAGCTCACCTTCCTCCGTCTCACTGCCTCCTCTCCTTGATCACACCGCCACTTTCGGCTACACCGATAGCAGTTGCTCCTACGACAGCCGTAGCACCAACACAACCGTCACAGCTAGTGCAATAACCGAGCACGTGTCCTGTTTCTCCACTGCCACTACTACTACTGCTACTACTACGGCCTTGGGCTTAGATGTTAACTCGTTCAACCATCTTCCACCGCCGCCTCAGGGGTTTGACTTTGACCCTTTTCCTCGTTTTGTCTCTAGAAACGTCTCGGCTCTATCTAACTTTAGATCTTTCCAAGAAAACTTCAATCACTTTCCTTACTTTGGATCGTCTTCTGCATCGACCGCGACCTCCTCCGTTAATCTGCCTTATTCACATGGAGGCGGTGGTGTCTCCGGGATGAATTACTGGCTTCCGGCCACTGCGGAAGAGAATGAGACAAAGGCTGGTCTGCTTCATGGTGGACTTGACTGTATTTGGAACTGCTGATCACAAAAGAGGCGCACGTTAACTAATAATTATGTTCCCGTAGGGTCAGTTTCTATCTCTAGGATGATTATGGTATTATGAACTATGTATCGAAGAGCTTAATATTGCACTCGATGTTCCGTTTTAAGTGTAGCCGGTTATGTTATTAATTAATTAGACTATGTAACGAGCATATGTATACGCTATGCTCGTTTTTGTAACGTTTGACATTATGTTATAATTTCATGGCTTTTATATATATATTTTTGTTATTTAGCATGATATTTGGCAGCGGATACGTTGTGTCCGTGGTTATCACTTATATCAATCATATATATACCCGACAATATGAATTTAATCGGTCGCTTCTAGGTACTTTAGTTTTCTTCATGAGGAGATATTTTTTATAAAATTTGATATGGCGGCTAAATATATATGTGTTTTCGGAAATCAACCATGTTATCAATCTCTGGTTAGACTTAGATGATTCCCATAGTTACCTAAATAACGTATTTCTTCAATCAATTGATTAGCTCAAATGTAAAACAGGTATATGTAGTCTTTGTTTATTCAAGGTTAGCATATAGTAACGGCCAAACATTACTTTTCTCAAATAATTTTCGTGTAAGTGATACTCATATATATAATTCAGTGGATTAATTAGTCTATGAACTAATAAATCTTGAAATCAGTTTCAAATTAGGTGTATCTTCTTTGCTGCAATCGTATTCATCTAATCAAAATAGTTTGCGTTTGGCTATTGATTAAGACAGTGATGATGACTATGATGCGCATGCTGACGAACGGACCACTCCCAAATTCAGATCTCGTACAACAGTCCACCTCATGAGTTTTCAGAAGGATGGCTTTCAGATTTCTATTTTTAGAAAGAGACATAATTAATAATACCTCTGTTTATTACCATTATATATGCGTTTTCATTTCACGTGTGTATAGTATTTATACATATGTAACATGTATGTATGTGTTTAACACCATACCATCACCACCATCATTACCATCACCAATTATTGCTATCGTTGCATCCCCAACCTATACTACGTACCTAGTCATAAGACAAATTCACAGACTCATATATACGTCTCGCTAAATGGCAAATTTTCATGATGTTTTAGCCAAACGAATATATGTACACATATGTACGTTTGATTATTATTTTTGGGATTTCATTGGTTACATTTGCTAAAAGAAATTAATCTGTTTGATGGACGACAAGTTATTTACAAAATGACAAAATGAAAACCATTTTATACACATAAATAAACTGACAATTCTTTTATCTCTCGTGTATAAAAAGCGAGCAAAAATCACTGTTTTCACTTGTAAACCAAAAATTAAATATTATTTAGACTTTTTATTTCTGAAAAGACAACTGATTTTGTACGTCATTACGCCCACACCGATTACGCACACCCATTGTGTTATCATGTGATTAAAACAGATGAACAATTTTGTATAAAAAAAGAACAAAAATAACTATGCCTACTAATTCTAAAGTCTAAACCATGCAAGACTCCGCCAAGATTCTGTCAAATAAATCAAATTACATTCAAATGATGTGCCAACGAAAATTTTGTAATATCAACGTCAATGATTTGGCTGAATCCATTTTATAATATGCGCAATTTCAAATGAATATTAAAAATATGCATGAGTACGTGTATATCTATTTGCACTGATTAAAGAAGAATATGCAATGTGCAATGTGTTATATATATGGTATCTGCGAAATTGCAGAAATACTGCTTTAGCTGGATAAAGAGGTAAAAAAAAGGGTTGTTTTCTTTGTCGGACTAAAACTAATTTCAAGTATTTGTAATCTTCCCAGCAAGAATATTCCTCTAAATTTCTATTTATATCAAGCAATTATTACAAGAACCCTAAGTATTCATACACAAAGTACATGGCAATATGCATGTTTCGCAACAAATGACAAAACCTGATAGTAATATATATTACAAAATAAAAAAAAACATCATCAAATTCCGACGATGGTGATGATGGTCGTGGTCCCAAACAAAAATGAGGCCAAGTGGAGGATGCACAACCGTTGATGGACTTGGCCGGCGAAGTAACGGCACGTGATACGGGCATGCATGAAATGTGGTTATACGTACTAATGAGTGGAGAGAGTAGTGGGCTTGGCTAGTTTGGTGCATGGAAATGGCAATCCACGCGTCGTACGGGGTTGGAACTTGGTCTTGGACTATATATCATTCATGTATTTAATTTTTTAGGGTAAAACATTAAAAACCAAACAAAAATGAAGAAACCATAGAAACTTCAATTTGGAAAAGAGAAAATGAATTGAGATTGTGTGGGAAAAAGCTAGGGCTTGGACGTTTTCAAGAAGAAAGACAGCTGTGGCCTGTGTGTGTGAGCATAGGGATGTGAGTCGTGATGAAAGGTCTGAGTCTGAATCTGATGATCTATGTATGTAGTACTTGTTGTTATATAAAGTATATAGTACTTTGAATGATTTGTATATCATAAAGTTTTATCAATAAAATGATTGATGATCACCTTCACTTTTTCCCTATAGTTTTATTTTGATGTCTAAGTAAACAAGAACACTTGTCATAACCAGACGATAAGGTTATATATACACACAAAACATAATCAGTTTCTTTTAATTTTAAAGTAAGAGATTATAGTAACAAAAAAAAATCATTCACTTTTCATTCTTGTTTTTTTTTTTTTTGTCAACACTTTTCATTCTTGTTATTTTTTATACATATCATCCGAGATGATAACAAGAAGGTCTTTTAGCTGCTTTTGTTGACTTTTCTCGAGAGAGAGACCAAAGTTTTTAAATGGACCCAATAAAGGCCCAATGTGTCACTTAAATGGCCTTTTATTTGTAAATGACAGCAAAAAAAAAAAAAGAAACAGAGAGAAGAGAGAGAGAGAGAGACAGAGGAGTGAAGAAATGGGAAGGATATTCACGGTGGAGCTTGAGGGAAGATCTTACAGATGCAGGTTCTGCAGAACCCATCTCGCTCTTCCTGATGATCTTGTTTCTCGGGTACTGTCAACTTCTTCTACTTCTTTGAAAACTTGATAAAAAAAATCTCATCTTTCTTCACAATTCTAAAATCATTGTCTCTGAGGTTGGTTTGTTAGTTCCGTTCCTATGTTTTAGTGTTTAAGCTCTCTCGAGTTGTTTTTTTTGTGAAACACTTTCTATGTTTGCCTGGTTTTAGCAATTTGGTTCTCATTTCTTCTCAATTATATGAAAATTACTCAGAAAACTATGCTGCTGAGAACTTGAGACTGCAGGGTTAAATTTTTTGGGAATTGATAGTTTATTAACTGATAGAAACTCTCAAGTTTAGTGCTTTCCTTCTGGGTTTAAGGTATAGAGATTAGAGAATTAACCTTACCTAGATAAAGGGTTTAAGAGAATGTTTTATTTTAAGAGTTACTTCTGCTTAGCTCTTGTGTTATTAGATTAAGGCTTATCAATGAGAAATTGAGGTATGATGTTTGAGAGTGTAAAGCTTATTTAGACTGATCTTTTTCTCGCAGTCGTTCCATTGCCGCAGAGGAAAGGCTTACCTCTTTAATCGTTCGTAAGTATAAGCTTCTGCATATATATTTATAGGCTTGTTCTGTTTCTTCGTTGTTAAGCAGTAGAAACTTTCCTTTTGTCTGTTTAACAATGTAGTCTCTACTCTATTATTCTGTTGTTATCAGGTTATGTATGTATGAGGCTTAGAGAATTGCTAGTAAGATTGGCTAAATGTGTATGCATTTCAAAAAACATATATGCCGTATTAACTTATAGATGATACTGTTTTTTAACTTCTAGATCTTCTGAATCTTGCTGACTATTCAAAATTCAAAACTAGTCTTTGTTTCGTTCCATCTGCATCAATACCGTTTTCTTAGTTCTCTAAGTCAAGGTTATTGCAATGGGGTTGGAGATATCTAGAGCTGATTCCAATGTTACATTTTGAATTTTTAGGGTGAACATAAGTATGGGTCCTCTAGAGGAAAGGATGATGCTTTCGGGTATGCATACAGTAGCTGATATTTTTTGCTGTTGTTGTGGACAGAACGTTGGCTGGAAATATGTAAATCTCACTTAACCCTCTCTCTTCCTTTAGTCTCACAACTTCTGTGTTTCCTGGAACCGCATTCTCATTTCGCATTGTTGCTTTCTTGATTGTAGGAATCAGCGCATGAGAAAGCTCAGAAGTATAAAGAAGGCAAATTTGTTCTGGAGAGGTAACTTATTCTCTTATAAAGTTCTCTGGTCCACGGTTACAGCCATAAACTTTGGTTTATTGCAATCCTTTTTACAGAGGAAGGATCGTCGATGAAATCGATTTATCAACTGAGGTTTATATCGATACTCACGGTAGCACAAGCGACACAGAAGATTCTTGAAATGTTACCTTACCTTCTTCTTTTTTTGGTGGTATAATGTTTGTCAAGATCAGAGCTTGTTAGTGTAGAATTCTCAATTCTGTAGCATGATGTTCATAGATGTGTATGGAGCTTGCTGTGTTGTTTAAAATCTTGGAAACCATCTCCAAGTTTGAATAAATTGTTCTGATTCAATAAATGAAATTGTTTTTGTTTTAACAGTTGTAGCATTCTTTGTTATGCCAGTCTCTAACCCCAAACCAAATCGTTCTAGCTCTGAAACTAATGATTATGAACTTTTAAATATGGTTTATTTCACCAACCAACCAACTAAACCTCCTAAAAAAATATTTGGTATTTATTTCCCCTTTAAATATGGTTTATTTCATTAAAATTTTCAGTAACATCCCAAAGAGAAGAAGGAAACATTCTCTTCACTCTTCAGACAGTTTGGTAAAAATTAGGAAATTTGAAAAATTTAGGGTTTGTCATCCAAACCAAACCAAACCAAATCTCACTTTTTTTAGTGTTTTTCCCTTTCATAAAAAGAAATTGGTAGATTCAATTATTAGCTATAAAACATGTGAGAGAGAGACCATTAGTTCTCAAACCATAACGATTCCTTAATTCTTCAATCTCGATCCCTTTTCTTTGCAGGAACAACGGATTACGAGAAGATAGAACGATACCATCGAGAGTACTACAATGGGCAAATCTTCAAAGAAACTTAAACATTCTACAGATTCTTCTAGTAAGGTAACTCTCTCTCTGTTTCTTATTGATTTCTCTAAAAGATGAGATTTTTGTGGGGATTGGATTGATTGTGTGACTTACCCATTATCTTCTTATGCATTGCAATTAGATCGATGAGGATAAAAATCGAAACTTTCGATTTGATTTTGTTAAAGTGTTAACCTTTTTAGTTTGGGATTTATGGTTGATGAATCGTGTTTCTAGATTCATATCGTGGGTTATGTTTGTGCAGTTGCGATCGGTGAAGAAGAAGAAGAAGACGAAGAGAAACAAATCAAAGAAGATTCGTCGGATTAAAGAGTATTCAGATGAGAGTGAATCAAGTTTTTCAGATTCTTCCTTGTATTCTTCTAGTTCAGAAGATGATTATAGGAGAAAGAAGAAGCGTCGATCTAAATTGAGCAAGAAGAGGTCACGGAAGAGGTATTCTAGTAGTGAGAGTGACGATAGTGATGATGATGATGATTCCGATCTTTTAAAGAAAAGGAAAAGATCTAAGAGGAAGGATGAATCTGTAGGGAAGAAGAAGAAGAAGAAGAGACTTGTTTCAAGAAAGAGACGTAAGAGAGATTTGAGTTCAAGCTCTAGTGAGCAGAGCGATGATGATGGTAGTGAGAGTGATGGGAAGAGAAGGTCTAGGGATAGAGGAAGACTTGGTGATGTTAAGGATGTGCGGGGAAGAAGTAGAGATGGTTCGGAGGAAGAGAGTGAACCTGATGAATACTGGCAAGTGGAAGATGAAGTTATACCCGAGAAGAATTCTAGAAGGCTTAAATCTATTATTGTTGTATCATATGGTTATGGCGATGATGAGAGAAAGGAAGAAGATGACAGAGATGTCTATACGAGACACCATGGCAAACGAGAGTTAGGATTTAGTGAGGAATCTGATGAGAGAGATGGCGATACTACTGTCTCTTATGCTAGAACTCGTGCTGATGATGATGGAGATAAAACTGTTGACTATGATGAATCTGGGGAATATAATAAATCTGAAACTAGCAAAGTTTCTCATAGAGACAATAGCATGAAAGATGATGACCTTGAAGCCATTCTAAAGAAAAGAGCTTTGGAGAATCTTAAAAAATTTCGTGGAGTGACCCAAAAGAGTGGAATGACAAGAAAAGAGGTGCCTTCTGTTTCAGAAGGAGAACCTCTGGAAACTGAATCTGAAAAAGTTGAGGAGTCACAAGACCATGGTGTCATGGAGCAGAAGCTTTCTGATTCTGTGGTATGTAAAGATCTTGAGACTTCAGAAAAGATATTACATGTTGTTAATGCTAAGGAATCAGGAACAGCATTGGCTAATTCTGCCTCTCAACAAGATCAGCAGCCTGGTAATACTGCTAAGGTTAGAGCTAGTTCTAGTATTAGCTCATGTTCAACTAAACAGAAGTTGATTAGACCGTTATTGGGGAAAGAAAGTGTAAATATAGCTAGCAGGAAAGAAGCAGCTGGTGGCCAAAATGCTGAAGCAGAGAGCTTCAATGGCAGTACCATCGACAAGAATTGTCCAGAAAGTTCTCTAGCTCTGGCACCAAAGACTGGAGGTGAAAACATAGAACCAACCAAAGTTAGCTCTAGTCTTAACCCCCAGTCGTCTTCTCATGCTGATACTGAGACATTAGATGAAACTAAAGGAGGGTCTGAGTCTGAACAGAAAAAAATTGATGAAACAAAAGATGAGTCACAGTACGAACAGAAAACGATGACTGTGATGAGGGGTGGAGAAATGGTTCAGGTAAAGTTCCCACAATCCCTGAAATATTGATTTCCTTGTAGTTTCCAGGTAAGTCTATATGACTCCTAATTTTTTCTTTTGTACTTTTTTGTTCAGGTGAGTTACAAGGTCTACATTCCTAAGAAGGCCTCTTCTTTGGGTAGAAGAAAACTCAACAGGTGAAGCAACAAAGTGAAGATAGTTGAGGTCGACAGATTTTTTGTTTCTGTAGAATTTAAACACAATGGTTACAACTAGAGTTGGCGACAACACAAAACTTTCAATCATTTTTTGAATACATCAATGAAGGGTACATTAAGTTTGATGTCATGTGTAACTGTAGCCTTTTACACAACTCCATTAAGGCAGACCTGTTCTTGATGTCTAATCATTAGGCACTTTTGATCTTGCCTTTACTTTGCCTGTGCTTTTTTATGTTATAATCTCTTTTCTGATATCACTGAAGACGTGATTAATTATCAATAAAGTCCCCTTTCTTGGTACCGCTCAGGCATACCCAATCACCTATTGTGGCTACAGAAATGTCCTCTACGAAAGGAGAGTAATGTGCTATTACATTTGGAAGCTGCAAAAAAGACACTGCATTAGTTGGTTTTACATGTCTTAGATTTGGTGCCCATGACTAGTAGGTAGCTTGCTTGCTATAACAATGTATGACTATTGTGATGAGAGATAGTAGATAGAACTTTTTATCTACCTGTTCAGATAGAATACCAGAAATGCCAATGGTTGCCCCGGGTTTCGCGAATGAAAGGATATGATCGGCCAATTCGATAACCGGGTTCAAGAGTATGTTTGCTATGATCACATCAAACTGTTCTTTCTGCAATGGTATTTCTCTTCCAGAAGAGCTATTTTCACTTGGTGCAAGGTGCAGCTCCAGTTTCTCCAACGGAATGTTGTTTAGTGCTGCATTATGACTTGCAGATTTTATTGCCAGGGGATCAATATCAATGCCAGCAGATGATGCAGCACCAAACTGCAAATTTATAAAAGAACCATACACAAAGGATATATAAAGATTTAAAATAAGATGATTATGATGGAAGTGAATGATTGGTTTGTGGAAGACAGAGAAAAGTAGTGAGATTTTACCTTGAGAGCTGCGATTGCAAGTATTCCTGAACCAGTACCATAGTCGAGGAATGCTTCCCCGCCTTTTATCAAACTTTGTAGAAGCAATAGACAGAGCTTAGTAGTAGGATGTTCACCAGTCCCAAATGCAAATCCAGGATTCAGAATAATGTTTACCGCTTCAGGGACCTTGCAAGGGATAGTGAAAGAGTACTTTAACCTACAAGATAACTTTATAAATCCTTCTAAATAAGCTGACACTGAAAGAATGAGATTGCAAATTCAGTAGCGAGGACTGCTCTTTGTTATGTCAATAACTAAGGCACAACAGTAACGAAGAATAACGAGAATCCAACAAGGTGCAACAGTATTGTCAGTAGGCTGAAACTGTTAAGAGTATTGAATGAACTTTACATACAGGAGGAGATGTCCACTCAGGTACGATCCAAAGTCTCTCGGCGATTTCAACAGGCTGAAACAAATCCTGCAAAATATGATCTAAAAGATATTAGCATCAACTGATATTGCAGCAAAACAAATGTAGTCTACTAGTCGTTGGGCCGAGTTCCTGAGCATAACTATGCAAGTTTTTTAAAACGAAAGCAATTACTGAGATGCTCCTTCATGTTAACTTAAGACTCACCTGGTTTTTGGTAATCCAGTCTTGTTCATCACCCATTTCAACTTTGAACTTGGGTATCTCTTTCAAGCCTATGGAATTTGCAGCCTGTGAAATGCACATTTTCACCTCTTCGTGCACTGGAAATATTGATTCTATACATATCTGCAATAAACCAGGAAATTCAAACCAATGAGCAAAAGCATGATTGATGAGACTACAAGAACATAAACAGATCAAGTTTCAGGGACTCAGCTAAATCATTCTTTTATGTTTCAATTTGTTCTAACATAGTTCAATCATACAAAAGATTGGTGCTTTCTGGAAATGGAGCTGAAAAAGGAATATAAAAGCAATAGAGATTCTTTTCACACCTCTTTGGAAGCAAGAGAAGACCCAGAAGCCGCATCTTCGTCTTCTTCTTCGATATCTTCATCTACAGCTACAGAGCTTGCTCCAAAACACAAAAGCGCCTCGGAGAACGAATCCTAACAAAACCCAACAAGAAAAGAGTCAAATTTCAATCTTATCTACACTTAAAAGAGAGAATGAGAGATATACATACGAGGACATGTTTTGGACAATGGATACGAACTGAGAGGTAAGGTGCAGCGAAAGACTCATCAGTAAAGCACGAAGATGAGGAGGAAGAATAAGAAGTAGAGAGAGACGCAGAGATTGAAAAGGAGGATTGAGGAGTATAGGAAGTGAAGAAGCAGAGAGGTTTGACTCTGTCTTTGAAGATATGGCGGGAGAGATTCTTGCACGGAAAGTGTTTGATGAAATTCCAAGCTGACATTTTTTTTTCCCCAATTGTCGAAATTTGACTTTTGTTTTGATGTCTCTATAAAAACAAAACGTATTCGTTTTGGATAATTGAAATTTAGTTTTAAGCACCCTTGGTCACTTTTTAAAAAGTTGAGTTTGGATAAGTTGAGTTTACACAACAACAATTTTTTAGAAAAATATTACAAACATAACAAATTAAATCCAAAATTTGCATGTAACTTTTGTTTTCAGCAAATATTTCTTTGGTTTTGACAAAAAATTTCCACAAGTTTTTCTTATCTGTTCCTTAATTACTTCTCAAAATTAAGAAGGTGAAACAATATTCAACCAAAAAACTAAACCTCTAACCAAAACCAAAATTTTGGATATAAAATTAGCTTTGACAAAATTTTGTTGACAAAAAAAATTACCGTTACAAAATACACACATATATATATATATATATATAGACGATATTATATAGTTACCATACATCTATGATTTACCATAAATAATCTTTAACTTCGCTTTTTTAATTATTAATTTTGATATTTTTATGTTTTTGGATTTAAGTGCATCTTCAATGGAGACTCTTAGTAAGTTTATTAAGTGAGTTCTTTAACATAAAAAGAAAAACAAAAAAAAATGTAAACTCTTAATTAGCTTAAGAATCAATCTTAAGTTAAAAGTTTTTAGATTGTTAAATTTTAAAACTGATGATATGTTAACCTTTGATTGGGTAACAAATTATGCAAAACAAAAATAAAAATAAAAAATCGAGTTGCTTCATATTTTTCTTCCTTGTCTCTCTTTCTCTCGTTTTCCCCGATGGCGAACACAAGAAGATCAATAACAATAACTTTAGAAACTCTATTCAAGTTTCTAAGTTTTCAAAAAAGCAAAATTTATAATTAAAAAAATGGTTGGAGATGGTCTAACCCATCTAGGTTTGCATGCCAAGTCATGGCACTATATTAGGGATATATCTTGATGTAAGTTTGCTAGGAAAGATATAAATGTTTGAACACCCACAAGCCTAAACTCTGCTTTCTTTCTTTTATTATAAAATCTCAAAATCAATAAAAACTTCATAAAACCTTAAACATATATAAATATAGTGTTTATATTTAACCCTAAAAACCATGCAAATCTCCTAAAAATTTGGTTTTAAAATATTGAATGAATAAATACAAATATTGAATGGTTATCCTAAATCTAGGTGTTGCATCAGATAATATACTTTTAATCTCCCTTAGAACACTCAAAAATTTCTCTCGTTCATAAACAATAGTATTGTTTTCTTTCCCTTGTGTGGACGTAGTAAGCCAACATAACGTTTGTGAACCACATTGTGCGTGTGTATGCATTCGTCGTAAAAACTAGTAATAATAGTAAATAAGTATAATAGCATGTATTATAAAAACTAAAATTGGATAGTGATACAAATATAACACTAGCACAAACCACTAGAATATAAATTTGGGTTAGTCACGAGTGTTTAATTATCTCAAAAACGTATGATGATCCCAATATGCATGTGTGTGTAGAAAAACAAAATCCCAAGTGTGAATGTTAGTTAGTTAGAAAATTGTAGTTAATGTCCGAGTAATCTCATCATCTTCCCGTGGTAACTCGAATCGACACAATGGACAATTAACTTTGCTCTTAAACCAGTCCATAATACAGCCATGGTCAAACTTATGACCACAAAGTAAAGTAGCAACTTCTTGTCCAAACTCCTCAAAACAAATTGTGCACATGTCAGTGATGTCACCATTACTAGAACATGTCTTTTGTTTTCTCTTATATCTTTTGCTTTGGTTAGCAATTATGCTAGTCTTTCGTTTTCTATTGTGTATCCTCCTGCTTAACTTGCTTGGGGATCTACTAAACTCACTATTCATCCTCTCATCATATTCAACAAGGGAAGCTTGAATTGCCTCTTCGAGTCGAGAGTCATCGAGGACTGATTCGTCGACTTGAGGGTCTTCGATGGCGGATCCTTCGGTACTCGAAGGAGCCACATAAAGAGTCAACCATATTAACAAAGCATAATGTGAACGATAGCTAAAAGAGGAAGTTAGTTTGCATGCAAGTAAAGTGAGTGCTTGTATTAACTGGAGAGCATCTCGTGCATCAACTCCTAAATCTTTTAAGAAGTCAAAGAGTCTTTCTTTGTGAGGAGAATCTTCTTCGTCAGTGAATTCATTGGTAGGTAATGAGATTGAGAAGTTAGAATCGTCCATGTCGTCTTGTCTGATAAATTTTGAATGGACTGCGATTGTACCAACTTGTTCGCGTTCAGGATATTTTTCGATTTGGTACGTGAATTCTGGTGTAGCTTCCATGATGTCTATGTAGAGTTGTAGACCAAGAAAAGAGATTTTGTTATGCGTACGAGGATACTACTAATGCGACATTCTTATATTTATATCTTTTTTTAAGGCGGTGGAATAATCCACGTAGGATTATAATTTGGAAGTTATATATTACAATTTTCCTTTTTCATAATTGGATTCTAAATTATTCGATTTATAGTATTGTTCTTTCCAATTATGGATTTTCATTCTATTTTTTTTATTGTTGACTTTTTTGTTTCCTCATTTGCCTTTTTCTTTTTAAGATGAATATTTTCATAATCCAACCAAAATATAATAAATTATGGAAGATATACTTAAATAACACTATTAGATTTCATATTTTTTTTTAGAAAATATCTTTTTTTTTTAAATCGTCTAATGTATGATCATCATAAATATTTTGATTGAACCCTAGCGATGAAAACGAAAGTAGTAAAAATAAACATATAGGATTCATTCCATGATGGTAAGCCGGTGACATAGTACATCAAATAGATTATGATGATGGAGACGAAATTATGACTTTACTGTGGTCATAAATTCACAACTTAATGAAGATCCAACTCTGTAATTATCTTTTCAAAAATTATTTATAATTGAGGATAAAATTTATTTTTTCGTGTTATTTGAATTCACCCCCCCCCCCCCCCCAGTCTACCCTAATGTTGGTAAAAATGAATCCACTCATACATCTTTAGCATTACAAATATATACATGAATGTCATAATACTTTCCCATGTGCATGTGTAGTACGGATGATATTTAGATGATCAATGGTTAATTGTTTATGATGTATTATCTTCTAGTCCGAAGCTCCTCTTGTTATCTTTTGAGCGACATAATAAATATTACCATCAAAAAGTCCATAGCTACGTACGAGTGGAGATTTAGAGATAAGGTCACACAAACTAAACCTGGAAGTTTCAAAATTAAAAGACACCAATACCCAAAGATGAATACATCCGTTGAAATCTATCTATATATAAACGTTAATTCAAACGACATTTTTATATAATTGGTAAAACTAAAACCTCCCCAACTTAAAGTGACAATGGTCGTAAATTAAAGTGGTACAGTTTGTTCAATGTTATTAATTGAAAAATTGTAACAACATACACTTATAAAAGTGTAATTCTCGCTAGAAATTTATTATAATTCAATAATGTTACACTATAAATATTGTCTTTCTTCTGGTACCTCAAAATAATCTCAAACAACCTGCTCTTCTCAAAAAAATAAACACAAACATAGTCACTGTAATGGAAGGTACATATCAAACTTCTTTATCCGTATTCTAGACGTGGCTATGTGTGCCACGACTCTATTGAGGCTAGGGTCAGCCAAGGTGCTCGTGACACCTAGATTTCCTAGCATTCTTGGTTCTCCAGTTGATCTCAAAAAATGTTGGTCATCGTTTTTTAACGTTTAAGGTTGCAATATCGAAATCTTAAAATCTGCCTTAACCTTTGACAACCTAGGACCAAAGTGTTGGTAAAAAATGTTTCCGTTAAATCCACTATTTCCTCCTCCTCTTTAAGCCTTTTTTAAGCTTTTACAAGAACTTTCTCAATTCCTAGTGTTGCTTTGTTGCTTTGTTCTAGGTTTTAAACAAGATCTACAAATAATATAGAAATTAAAGTTTCTGGCTTAATCTCAGAGCTTTCATTTATTCATTAAAACTCTATATTAAAAGTACGTGTTGAAATCCATGTTATGTTTAAGCAATCACATATATATAATTTGCCACACTGAACAAATTAATTATAGTATAGTCTCGATCCTACGTATGACTTTCTTCTTGTTATCCAAGAAAGCGAAATGTCTTCGTTGAATCCATGATTGACTTCCTAGTTCTTTCAAGGCATTTTCTACTTTCTTTTATGTTTCTCATACGTTCTCAGATGAGTGTCTAAAACAACAAGTGCTGGTCACTACAAACACTGTTCTGTCCGGAACATTAGTAACACTGTAACAGAATAGGATTAAGAATTTAAAACTTTAGTAAATAGAGATTTGATGGAGGTTTATTTGTAAATAAACCTTTCCAAAAATAGGCGTATGCCGCTTAAGTGCAGAGAAGACACGGTATTCTTTAGTAAAAGGCGAAAGAATAGTTCGCTTTGTCTTCACTGCACGGCTCCGTGAGTCTTTGGAATTAGCTCTATGCTCTTTATTTATACTTGAGTTTACTCACTGTTCCTAAGTCTTGCAACCGATGTGGGATGTTGAATCATTTGAGACAAAAATCTATGAAAGCGTTTATTTAGCGGATATGGGCCATAGCTTGTTTATTTGTAAGCCCATTAAATTTGTTCAATATATTGATCTGCCCCGTAGGAGAGAACTAAACCGAAGAGCACGCTTCCTGTAAACCGGAGATTTTATCTGTCTAAATCCGATGGTTAAACCGCTGATTTAACTGTTTTCTCTTGTTCAGGATCTTCTAGTCTCAAGCTTCTCTTGTTTTCTCCTCTAGTCTCAAACTTCTCCTGTTTTTCCTGTTTTCTCTTCTAGTCCCAAGCTTCTCTTGTTTCTTTGCCACAAAGGCAAAGTGGAGATTTAAAGATAGGTTCACGTAGATGAACCAAATTGTTACATTGAATACATTCAGACGACTTATTTATTGGTAAAACTAAAACCTCCAACAACACAAGTTACTCTCTGCCTGAAAAGTGTAACAGTTCCATGTTTTATTTAAAGATTGTAACATCACACGACTCAATTAAGTGTAACTCTCTAGATAGTGACACTATAAATAGTATCTTCCTTGTGGTTCTACAAGACCATCTCAATCAATCTGATCTTCTCTATATAGAAATAATAAAAGAAAAGATAAGTCACCGCAATGGAAGGTAGTATTCAAGCTTCTTTCTCCACGATCCTAGTCGTGGCTCTATGTATCACTACTCTATCAAAGCCGGGGCTAGCCGATGTCCTTGTGACACCTAGATTTCCTTCAATCCCTGTCTCTCCAATTAATCTAACAAAATGTTGGTCATCGCTTTTTAACGTTCAAGGTTGCAATATCGAAATCTTAAAATCTGCTTTAACCGGTAAGTTTGAAAACGTTACACCCACATGCTGCAAGGCCTTTACGGAAGTGGATGCAAATTGTTGGCCAAAATTGTTTCCATTGAATCCATTATTCCCTCCTCTTCTGAAAGATAGTTGCTCACGCATCAGCGCAGCTGCACCCGCACACACGACACCTAAATTCCCTGTCATCCCTGGTTCTCCAATAGATCTCACAAAATGTTTGTCATCACTCGTCAGTGTTCAAGGTTGCTTAACTGAAATCTACAAATCAGTCATTACAAGAAAGTTTGGTAATGTTGGACCAATTTGCTGCAAAGCTCTTACGACAATAGATGCTAAATGCTGGCCACAGATGTTTCCACTAAATCCGTTCTTCCCTCCTCTTCTCAAGAATGAATGTTCTCGCATCAATGGAGCTATTCCTACACACAAATGAAATAGCTTAGAAAAATACCCTTGAAAATGGTTTACATTAGGCTTATATTATAGTTTCTACTTCCAAGATTCACGTGTGTGATTTTGGTTGTTATAAGTTTTTATCATTTACAAGTAATATTTTTTGTTTCAAATTTCTAGCATTATCTTTACAACTTGCATCTATTTGAAAAACCTCACAAGTTTCAGTGATGAACAAAAACGACCTAAGTAGGAAATAAAAAAGGAACCTGTCAGACCGCCGTGCGACCACCCCGACAAGGTAGAACCGAGCCGGGTAACGATCCTCTACAGCACCGGATGCGCCCGAAGACGATCGTAGCCGTTAATCACGCTCTGATTGCACGGTCATGGTTCATCAACCAGGGTTAAGGGCCTGTCTCCTTAGAAATCAAGGATACAGAGGTACGAGCCTATAGAACAGATCCTGTTCAAGTAAGGTCGTGACCATTGCTGCTCTCTCGAAGTTATATATTCAACAAGTTTGAGCTCTACTTGAGCGATGTGGGATAAATAAACAATAGGAAGCCGTAAGAAAAGCAAATATGGGTAAGTGATACATAGGCCAAAGCCCATTTAGTTAATATAAAAAGCACCTTATCTTTATTGCTCCACAGTCCACACGATATACCAAAAAAACAAAATGTTGAATCACTCCACGTAATAAAAATTGTAAACGAAATAAGTTTATTTTGAAATACAGATTTGTATTATGAAAAAGTTAGAATAAAAAAAAGCTGCAAACAGAAACATAAAAGCAGAGTTGGTAAATGTGTAGATTTCTCCTTTTCTCCTTTTTTTTTGTGTTAAGACAGAAACACAAGTGTGGTCTGTGGAAGACTTGGAAGTGGTCTTCGTATGTACTTTTTGTAAGTTTGGTTCCCACAGAGATACTATATGAGATTGCACGCTCAACACTCTTAACCACCGCTAAAACGGCACGTGACAATGACTCTTCCCATTTTTTGCCTATCTCATCTCCTAACTTCCCTATCATATACATCAAACGCAGTGTGTACTAGTACTACCGACATGTAGGAACTATTGATTGGTAATTTTAAGGATTAGGATATCGTAGTTTGTTTAGAACCAAAAAATATATTTAAAAAAAAAACTAATTTTTGCTTATATATATATATATATATATATATATTGTTGCTTTTATATTTAAAATTGATTGCAAAAAGCTAAAAGAACTCACATCATGGACCAAAGAAAGCTGCGTTGTTGCCTTGTTGGTAATAAACACAGAGCATCTCATAAAATACGACCATGTCTCTCTTCCTGTTATTCTTTACGTATTATAAATCGGTTATTTCAGTCGTTTGCATCTAATTTTACACGTCAACCCGATTTGTTCCAAATATTGAATGCTTTAGTTTATTAATTTGCTCACTTTTACAAAAAGAATCTACAAAGCAAAGCACATAGACGGTGCATCACGACAATAACCCAAAATTTTAAAAACAAATTTAATTAAAGGATTAAAAAGAAACTTCAAGTTTTTCTGTAAATATGCTTTAACGATCTAAAATTTGCTTATAAAACTTTCAAACATATTGTTTTACGATTACTAGTAGGTAATATAGTAAAATTTTTACTTCGTATAGTTTCTTTTATAAATTTTACGGTTCATTAATTGATCCACTACTTTACTTCTCTAGTTATTTTGATTAATCTTAGGTCTTTCTCGCTTTTCTCTTTCTTACAAATTCAACTAAAAAAAAACAAAAAAAAAGAAGAAGTTCGTAATCTAGAGAAAAAGCAATAATAATTGAAATCTAAAAGTGATGTTTTACGATTATTACGGCTTTAGAAAACAAGAATTAGGTATTCGACGATTAGATGCAATGGATTAGTTCACAATGTGTCAATTTTATTTATATATATATAGTCATATAGAGAAGGGTCTAATTAGAATAGTTTTTTTAACGATCGAGGAAGTCTCTCTCTGTCTCTCTGACCGTATGAGAATCAAGACTTTGCTTTCTCAAATTTTGCATAAAACACACACAATAAAGATACGACGTAGGACCTACGTTAGATACGGTCGTGGGAGAGGAAGTTTAGTAGATCCAGGCCTGCTGAACCGGTCAATGCGGAGCCCTAGTTGATTTGATTCTCCATACAAAACCAAACAACTCTCTACTAGCTAGCTCACATCTGTCCTTCTCTTCATCACTCTCCTCTACCATACGCTCCATCTTCTCCACGCGCCTAAGTAGTTCTCTTTGTCTTATTTTACGTAAGCCATAATCAAACCAACTCTTTGATAGTGTTATCTTTGGTGAAAAAGCACACGAACATTAGAATGTTACTCAAATTATATCAACAGATCTATCGATACTAAATACAAAACTCTAAACCTTCAACCCTAGACTGTACGTTCATAGTATTATTAAGGGATACATGTACACAACTTAGAATAGACCAAAACTATAAGAAATTGAATGCTTGTCTATAAAATACATTTTTTTATTTTGGGCAAATCTATAAAATACATATATAACTAAACTGGTGTGGTTTCACTAGCTCGTATGAAGTCTACTGATATACGTGCTTCGAACTTTTAGTTTCAAGTCAATAATTTTATTGTTATACGTTATGTGTATGTGCGTCTTGAGAAGATAGATGGATGGCGCGTGGCTATGACGGGTGTGTGAGGGAGAGGGGACGTAGAAGAGTGTCGCAGGCGGAGAAAGCACAGCCCCGCGATTCGTGCGGTTCGCTTTCCTCACGACTAAGTGACGCACCGACTCACTGGTCACCACACGTGCGCACGTGACACCCCCTTCTCCTTATCTTTGGAAAATTAATAATAATCTGATTAAATTAGTACATTTAGCTATTAATTAATTATCTACTTTATAGACAGATCTCAGTGATTAGGTTGTCTATACTCTATAGTATTATATATTCAATTCAATTTGATAAAAAAACTTTATCACTTTTTTTTATGACCATAAAACTTTTATCTCTATATAGTGTATATATCGTCTATTACCAATATTCTCCATTGATTTTTATTTTATTTTAAAGTTGGACTGTGTGAGCTTTTATTATAGTCAATTATATAGTTTGTTTACATAGTCAAATTGGTCATTATTGCATATACCTTTCACTATGGTTAAACCTAATAGGGTATATCCACATACTTGTTAATTATTGCATTTCTTTTTCTATCAACATTATTATTGTATTCGATGGAAACGTGCTTATGTTTTTCTTGGAACTTATATATGGATACTTATTACTAAACTACATATTTAGTTTTCTTGTAAAGAAATTTGTGTTCTACTAATCTTTATATATACTTTGAAAACCAAGATTAGTTTTGAATTTTGTATATTTAAACATTTATTGTTTTTTTTTTTTTTTGGTTTTAAATGTTTTTACTTTCTAAAAACATTATAAGGAAAAGATAATAGTGATGCAAAAACATGTCAAATGATTAGACGTAATCAATAAGACTTGAAAATGTTGAAAAAACAAGACACTAAAAAGATTCGAGCAAGACATGCATGAAACACGATACAGTAACTTCCTAACTTCCTTAATCACCTAATTTGAAAACAACTTACTAACTTACCTGAATTCGAAATTATAAGATTTGGTAAATAATGCTTATGAATTACTAACGATAGCAAAATATACAAATCTGACATATGGTTCCACCATCGGCCGTGACATTCGCGTGCCTTTCTCTAGCCTTAGCTCTCGCTTAAAGTCTGTTTATGCTTTCTCAATTTCTGGTCTCTCCGCTAGATTTTCTTATTTTCCTCGAACTTTTTTTCTTGTTTTCATTTTTTTGTCAGCATTCTCTGAACATTTTTGTAGGTTAGTAAGTTTTACATTACCAAAATGAATACATATAGTTAAAACAAAAATTATGCAATTTCAGTTAAAATGTTATACATTTGCGCTTAAAAAAATGTTGGAGAGATTTCATTATTTTCATATATATTCCTTTGGCGTGGTCCGGCCACTATAGATAATAAAGCAAGTCTTAGGTAAGTAAGTGTGAGGTGGTGATCAAGTTCAGTTTTAATTGGAAGTACCTCTTGTCAATAAGAAGGCCAACTAGAATAACAACACACAAGTGTTCTTCACAAATCACAATAATATATCGTCAATGTGGTCTTCACAATGACATAAATATCATCTCAGAATATTACTACAAAGCTTAAGTTATATGACTTATAGCTAAAACTACACATGTTTTATCGTAAATTTCAATAGAGATAGACAACTATTGAACTAGTTTTGGGCCGGGTTCTCCAACACGTACGTTTATCAACTGAATTTTCAGTTTCTTTTGCTTTCAGTTTCTCTTGTTTTCTTTTTATATACTGAAACTTGAGCATGAACCATTGAGATGGAGATGAAATGGTCCACACTCCACACACACCCACTTAAGAGAAACAAGTAGTATTGGGTCGTAATATAAGTGGGAGAAGGAGGGTAAAACTAAGAAGAAAAAAAGAGAGAGATGAGAGATGCATGGTAGTGAGAGTGATGAGAGGAGGGGGTGGGGGAAAACAAAAACAGAACCACTTTTTGTCATCCCTCAACACCTACATTTGTCTTGCTAGCCAGAAAGAAGATAATATTTGTCCCCACTCTCTCCATTTCTCTCTCTCTCTCTCTTTTTTCATTTCAATTTTTTTTTTTCGATTGACAAATATGCAAAATTGTCAATTTTCATTCATGCTTTAAAGAAAGAAAAAATGCAGCCTAAATCAAAACTCATTTTATATAAACACAAAGAATAACATTTTAATCAATTCTACTATATATAGTTAACTATAATTAAAATAGCAGGAAAAAATATTTAAATCCCAATATATAAACTATCAAACCACCATGAGTGTATTTTCATTTTCTCAAAAAATTGTATTACTCACACACAATTTCCAGTTGTCGTTAAATAAATATATAAATATATTCTTCTTCATTAGAAAATAAAAAGTTATTGAAAATAGTAAATTGTGATAACAAAAATAAAAAACAAAACTAAAAATTTAGTGAAAAATATAAGGGGACCAAATATTTATATATGCAAATCAAATGAATAAGTGGAGATGACATTATGATTTTTATGACAATGGTGATAACCTTAAAAGAAATAATATATATATTTTCCGGTAATTCCAACAAACAAATAAATAATATATATATATCCCTAAACGGCTAAACCCTAACTTGTCGCCGGGATTTCGATTAAACATAATTTTCTACACTCAAATAAAGAACGAACAGTAGTGAGAGAAAACTAACTAAGCAAAGAGAGAGAGAGAGAGATGAGACTCTGTGGTTGACAAACTCTTTTGCCTCTCTCACAGACAAAAGATAACTTATTTTCTTTTCCTTTTCCTTTTCAGTGGTGGTCTTGCTTAAAATATTTGGCAAGAGAAGAGAGACTCTGTCTGAAGAAAAAGCTAAAGAGTTTTAAAGACTTGTGTGATGATTCTTAGCAAAAGAGTGTTTGAAGACTTCTGAAGTGTTTAGCAGTAAAGAGAGAGAGAAAGACAAAGAGGAGAGACATGGTGGGCTCAGGAGTTGGAGGAGGAGATAGAAGCAAAGATGCTGTAGGAATGATGGCACTTCATGAAGCACTTAGAAGCGTCTGTCTTAACTCCGACTGGATTTACTCTGTTTTCTGGACCATTCGTCCCCGACCGTACATACATACTTCTCTCTGTTCATCATTTGTTCTCTCTCTCTCTCTCTCTCTCTCTCTCTCTCTTTCTCTCTGTTTCTTTACCCCTTTTTGGGTTTCTCTTTCTGATTTCAGGAGGGTCCGTGGTGGTAATGGCTGCAAGATTGGTGATGAAAGTGGCAGCTTGTGAGTCTTTTTATTTTTACCTTTCTTTTGCTTTTAAAGGACAGAGAGAGAGAGACAAAAACAGAGTAGCTCTGTTTCGCTTCTCTTTCTATATACCAATTTGTTTTCTTCATGTGATTAAATTCAAAAGGATGTTGATGTGGGAAGATGGTTTCTGCGGAGGAGGAAGAGGAAGTGGTGAAGATCTTTGTGTGGAACCAGACATTGAAGGTGAAGATCTTGTCAGAAAAGCTTTCAGCAAGATGTCCATTCAGTTATATAATTATGGAGAAGGGTGGGTACTGGGTAGGTGTTATATATATATAGTAATTACGGAGATAAAAGATACTTATTGGATTATATAAACAAACACACACCCAAATCACTTTTTATAATTAGCAAAAGATTAGATTAAAGATTTAGTTTACTATCCTATACACACAAGTTATGATCTTGTGATATGTTTATATCTCTGCAGATTGATGGGTAAAGTTGCTTCTGATAAATGTCACAAGTGGGTATTCAAAGAACCATCTGAATCTGAACCAAATCTTGCTAATTACTGGCAAAGTTCTTTTGATGCTGTACGTTCCTCTAGTCTTCTTCCACAGATCTTTTTTATTTTTGTTTTTGGTTAGATGAGGAAATTTATGATCTTTGATGGTTACCTTACACTTAAAGTCAAAATAATTTATTGCAGCTTCCTCCAGAATGGACCGACCAATTCGAATCAGGCATCCAGGTCAATTTATCAAACTTCTTCTTTTACATGTTCTTTTGGTTTATTTACTGTTTCTTCATCTTTACCTTAACACTTGTTTATATTTGACCAGACCATTGCTGTGATTCAAGCTGGACATGGTCTGTTACAGTTAGGTTCTTGCAAGATTGTGAGTTTTTTTTTTTCTTTCTTTCTCTCTTATGGTTTCTTATTAGCTTTTTATGGTTATGCGTTGTGTATTCATTAGTCATTGTTTTATATCTTTAGATTCCAGAAGATCTTCATTTTGTGCTGAGGATGAGACAAATGTTTGAATCAATTGGTTACAGATCAGGTTTTTACCTCTCGCAGCTCTTCTCTTCAAACCGAACCGCGACTACTCCATCTTCTTCCACGGTTCCAAACCAGTTACCTCAGTCTCAAGCTTATAACTGGGGATCACACTCTCCATTGTTACCTTCCCCTAGCTTTCAGAATCAACTACCAGTACCAGCAGCATCAACCCGATTCGGTTTCCTTCAAGATAGCAATGCACCTCCTCTTCCTCAGATGTTTCCTCCAATGGAAGAACACGAAGATGACATCAAATGGCCTAATGGTTTGTCACTCTTCAATGCCTTGACTGGCCGTGCAGACGAAGCTAGTAGGCTTTTGTTTAACCAAGAGCAGCAAAACCCTATGAATGTCGAGAACCAGAACGAGTTCTTGAGCGTTGAAGGTCATCATCATCAACATCATCCTAACAAGTTTAGAAGAAGCTATACATTGCCAGCAAGAATGGATTCTTCATCATCATCGACCTCACTCGATCAGCAACCACCACTGGAGTTTAGGAACACTAATAATAACCCCGGAAGCAACTCAGGTTTGTACCCTGACGTTATGGAGACGTTCTTGAGGTGATTTGAACAAGTTCAAGATTCAGGGTTATAAGGACAGAGATATAACAAAAAGCTTTGGATGCTAAGGCTAAGTTTTAGCTTATGCTTTCTATATAAATACATGAACTCTGTTTGGTCTTTCTTTCTTCTTGTTGTTGTTATTGTACCATATTGTCTGATTGTTTTTGCTTTTATGCCAAAGACTGTTTAAACATTTGAAGATACTTTAAAAGCACATTACTGATTTGGCCTTGTTTAAGTCTGATTATAAGAGTACAGGCACATTTTCAGATTTAAGATTGATTTTGTCCTTTAACAGTTTCCTATCTCACCCACTGTCACGTTCTCTTCACTCTCATCTTCACCGCTTGCAACCGTTGCTGCCTCCTCCGTGGCAGCGTCTCCGCTCTCTTCCTTGGCTAAATCTGTGGCTCGTTTTAACCCTTCTTTAGCAGTATCTGCTGCATAGCTTAGTGAAACATTCGGTGCCTTAGCATCTGTACTTGTTCCCATCGCCTCTTGTACTAGCAGAGGACTCTCCACCTCCGTTGCTTCACTGGAGAGAGTGTCCATGCTTATTTTGAGTTAGCTGATTAGGTTACAATACAAAAACTGCATTAAAAGGAGAAGAAAGAGAAGCATGTTTAAGATTCCGAAGAAACGAAGATTTTTTTTTTTTTTTTTGTCGCCAGAAACGAAGATTGTTGTTGTTGTTTATCATTTCTCTCTTACCAATAGTTCAATAAATAAAGCCGCCATTTTTTTTTGTTACACACATCAGAATTCTTTTTAATCCAGATTTACTAATAATGATAACAGTATTGGTATTTATCACTGAAAATCATCCCCATAAAATAATCAAGATTATTGGGTTTTATTGGTAACTGTTTTAGAAATTTACAAAGCAAAAATAAATCTTAAAGATTTAAAATGGATCTAATCAAGCTTTACAATAATAATAAATAACTTAAATTTTCTTATTAATTTTCGTATTTTTTAAAAATCACGATTACGACATTTCTTATTTAGAGAAACTAATCTATATTAATGTTATAAGTAATATTAACATTAATGTTTAAAACTATAATCCCCAAGAGTGCTCTCTTCATTGATCTTAAGGGAGAAGTTCCGAGAGACAAGGCATTGAAACTCAATGGAAGTATCCTATAAGGATGGACTCTAGTCCTTAAGCCTTCTCACCAGCAGAAATATACTGACTACCGCGACCCTGATGTAGAACGCAGGTAAGTTGATTAATATGATCACTATTATTATCTCCTGCAATGCAAATCAATATCTTTTTAGTATGTGTTGTTCTTTGTGACTATTTATAATATTCTCTCCTTCTTAGACTGTATGTTAAGGTATATGATGTACCTTCTTCGGCGGATGTCTTTGATCTCAAGATGGGCTTGTGTGACCATTTCTCTTCATGTGGAGAGGTCACCTATGTTGATACTCTTAGCCAGCGACCCTCTGAAAGGTTGTTTTTTGGCTTCTTCTCCCCAGCTCTCTCTCTCTCTCAAGTTTTATTACAGTCTAACTAAAGACTCGAATTTTTACAGACATGCTGCGGTTTGTATTATTGGACAAGGATGTGTAGAGAAGGCGAAGGAACGAAGTGAACGTAACGCACAAGGATGGAATATTGTAGTTGATTTTGTTCCCTCCTTACGTGGCCCCGAGAAAAGAAAGCCTACCGGCTGTAATCCATGTACGTAAATTTTGCTTAATTTGTTTTTTGGTTTCCATCAACATTTGCATAATTATAAACTCTCTCATTAATTTGATTCTTTATACTTCATATTAGTTACTGTACGTGCGAAGATGGACAACGCTAAGAAGGCTAAGATGGAGAAGATGGAGAAGAAGAAGAACACTACGGAGTAGAAAGCTCTCTCCTTAATTTGGACGACAAGACAAAGCTCTTCTGGTTTTGTTACTTTGTGATACAATGCCAACCTTGTGTGTATGTGTGTGTGTGTTTCTTTAACTTCGGATTTTCTCTTGTTTTTGTCTGCGTGTTCAAAAAACTTAAGCTCGACGATAATCATCATATGCCAGTATGATGTCTTTGTCTGGATGTTTATATAGTAAGCTTAATAATCATAATTACCCAAGATGTACATATGACATGCGATTCAATTAATTAGTCAGACAAAAAGCATTTTTCATTAACGTTCATGAAAAAGTCAGATTCGTGTGTTGAGTCAAAAAAAAAAAACAAAAAATGTTCATTGCTTTACATGTATACCCCAAGTTTCTTGGATCAAAACAAGTGATCTACACTCTTCATTACAAAGAAACAAAACTAAAGTAAGCTCCTTACAAAGGAGTTTTCATTGTTGTTGAACAGACTCCATGGGAAGATCTTCAAGCCAAGTCACTACTTCTTCGATCAACGGTCTTCTTCTAGGCTCATGATCAATGCATTTGCAAGCAATCTCCAACATCTCCAAAACCGTTTTCTCGTTCACATTTTCGCGTATTGTTGTATCGATTAGCTCAGCTTCACGCTTCTCGGCCTTCATCTGAAACACCCTAGACACCAAATCTCTGCAACTTTTCCCTTTACACACTTCCACTGGTCTACGACCCGTAACAAGCTCCAAAAGCACAACGCCAAAACTGTAAACATCTCCTCTACACGTCGCAATCAAAGACTGGCTATACTCTGGAGGAATATAACCCAATGTCCCCACTAAATCAGTCGTCACATGAGTATCATACGGCCTAAGCAACCTCGCTAAACCGAAATCCGCAAGATGAGCTTCAAACTTCTCATCTAACAGAATGTTACTCGATTTCACGTCTCTGTGGATAACATTAGGCTCACAGACTTTATGCAAGTAAGCAAGCCCGCGCGCTGCACCTTGAGCTATCTTCAATCTCACATCCCATTTGAGAGTCATATTCCCATCTACCCGCTCGTGCAACCAATAATCCAAGCTTCCGTTCTCCATAAACGAATAGATAAGCAGCCTATCGTTCCCGTGCTTGCAGTAGCCTTGAAGAGAGACTAGATTCTTGTGTTCTGCTCGCGACAATGCTTCAACTTCCGCTTGGAATTCACGTTCCATCTGCCCACAGTCACCAGATAGCCTCTTCACCGCTGCTTTCGAGCCATCAGGAAAATTCGCTTTGTAGACAAGGCCAAATCCGCCGCAGCCTATAATGTTAGCCTGGCTGAAATTGTTTGTAGATTTTAACAAATCCTCAACACTCAGATCTTTGCATCCGCAGCTATGGAAAAGCACAATCTTTGATGGCCCGAGAGCCTTCGGAACACCGCTGATAGTTTCCTCGTCAACGTCGTTGATTCTATCGTCTGCATCTTTTCTTGAAATTCTTAGGAGAATAACAGAAAGAAGCAGAGTAATCCCCAAGGCAAGACTTATGGTAAGTACAACAATGCTGCTTCTCCCGAATCTTCTGCCATTGTTATTACTACGGGAAGAACCTTTCGGATTCAACATGTTACTCATCAGAACATTGCACGGAGAATCAATGGTGCGACAAAGTCCTAAGTTTCCTTCAAAGCTCGAGTGTGGGAAGCTGTAGAATTGACCTCCAGATGGAATAGCGCCGGTGAGATGGTTATAAGCAACGCTGAACCTCGACAAGAAAGTAAGACTCTGAAACGACAGAGGAATCGAACCATAGAGATTATTGTAAGACAATTCAAGAACCTCCAAATTGTCAAGCCGTGAAATGGAGTCAGGTATTGTCCCGGTGAAGTTGTTCCTGCTCAAATCCAGCATGTGAAGCTCTTTCAAACGTCCCAGCTCCGGCAAGATTGTCCCATTGAGGCGGTTATTGTTCAAATAGATGGATGGCGGGAATCTTGAAACTTGGTTATAGGGAAGACCGCTCGAGCTCTTGTTCCGCTTTACGTAGAGAGGAATTCCAGAAGAGTCAGTCATCTGAGAAGCGGTGCCGTTTAGATGGATCAGATTCTTGAGCTCGGTTATGGCTACCGGGATTTCTCCCGTTAAAGTGTTGTTTGAAAAGTCTATATAGAACAGACTCTCCATCTTACCGAGCCAGCGAGGAATAGTTCCATAAAACCGGTTCCAAGAGAGATCAAGAACTTCCAGCTTCTTGCAATTCAATAGCCAGCTCGGAATCCGGCCCTTAAGACCACAGTTTCCGAGTGCTAAAATAGCTAGGTTATTGAAACCGGTGACATTGCTTGGTATTTCCTCGCCAATGAAATTCTTTGAGAGGATAAGAGTGGAGAGATTTCTGCAATGTTGCAGCACATTCATTGTCTCAGAAAAATCCACAAAACTGTTGTTGGACAAGGACATGAACAAGAGAGACTTCAAATCCTTGAAGGTGTGAGGGATTTTGCCACTGAACTCGTTTTTCGCCAAACTCAAGATCTTCATCTTGGGACAATGGCCAAGAGAATCTGGAAGAGGTCCAGAGAAATGATTACTGGCGAGGTCGAGCACGCAAAGATCAGTAAATCCAGTGAAGTTGAGATTGATAGAACCGGATAATGAGTTGTTCCTAAGATCAAGCACTCTCAGTTTTAAGCACTGAGATAAGCTTGGCGGAAAGCTTCCAGAGAACTTGTTGGAGCTTACGTCGAGGTGTTCCAATCGGGTCAGATTACCAAAAACATCCGGAATTACACCTGAAAACCTGTTCTCAGAAATCAACAGAGACTTAAGACCAGAGAGATTGCTCAAGTTCTGACTTAACTCTCCGGATAAGTAGTTTCCAGAGACTGATAGTTGCTCCAGCTCCCGGATCACATAAAGAGAGTCTGGAAGTTGGCCAGTCAACCTGTTGCCATCAACATGGAGCCGTTGAATAGACTTGCTGCAATTGTACAAGCCATCAAGATTCCCCACCAAACGATTCATGGATAAATCAAGAACCTGAATCTCACCAGATGAGCTGCAGAGTTCAGGATGAATCTCACCCTCGAACAAATTGTTGCTTACATTAAGCATCACAAGAGCAGGAAACATTCCAACGTCCGATAGATTCCCGCTCAGCGAATTGCTGGAAATGTTCAGTGACTGAATCAGCTTTAAACCGGAAACCGTTCCTGAAACCGACCCTGATAACAGATTATGGCTCAAATCAAGAACTTCAAGCTGCTCTAACTTGGAAATCTCAGTGGGCAATTCGCCTTTGAGCTGATTACGCGAGAGATCAAGTAACCGCAGCTCACTCAACTCGCCTAAAGACCCCGAAATAGCACCTTCCAAACCCTTTTCAGAAAGAACCAACTTTGTAACTCGACCAGAAACATCACTCCCTTCACAAAACACACCATCCCATTCACAACAACTCAAATCGTCTAACCAAGATTCAGTAACAGAACCATTCTTCAACGCTCCTGCGAATTCCCGGAGTGCAGACAAGTCGCTGGGATGACATGTCAGGCTCACAGATGAACCAACAAAGAAGGCCAAAAGGAGAATGATCACCATGACTAAACAAACAGAGAACAAGAGTCTTCTCTAGTCAGCTCAAGTCAGAGCAAAAGATTACGCCATTTCCAAAAAATTTTGTTTCTATGACTCAAATAAAGACTACAACTTCCATAAGTCACATGCTCATGTCCCAAAAGAATCAAGCTTTCACAACTTGTAGTTGAAGCAACACTGTGAAAGCTAATTGAAATCAGCAACACGTATCTTCCTGAAATCGAATCCCAAGAAACAGTATTGAAATCAAAGCAAGACAAGACTCAAAGCTACTAAACAAAACTCGATTGTTAAATTATAAGAATAAAACTAAACGCTCACATCCCAAAAACCACCTCGAAAAATCAAGAATCACATACTACTGAAAGACTTGTAACTTAAGCAAAGCCAAATAACTTAAAAACCACATAGCAAGAGAGTAAAGTAAATACCTTTTAAGCAGCCAGCTTAAGCTTAAGCAATCACCAAATTTGCCAATACAAAACCCCTCAATTTACCAATTCCCAGATAAAGTTAAGAGCTTTCGAACTCACAGCCGCCACTGAAACATCAACAAGTTTGATTTTTTTCTCAAAGGGGAACGATAATTCCAAAGATTTGTTTAACAAGGAGTTTATAATGTCTCATTAGAAAGTGCAGGTCTTTTTCAACCAAGAGACAGAACCAATCTAGAAAAGGCAGAGTAGTTGAGATTCAAATTGTCAATGTTTCAACTTTCGAAATCAAAATGACGAAACAGTGATGAAGAAGACGATACAATGAAGATTGAGAGAAATTGGGAAAAAAAAAAGGATAGCTCTTTCGTTTTCTCAAGAACAGTGAGAGAGTTACTATTAACTTTTTATTTTTAGGGAACAGAGAGTCTCAAAAGTCTTGTGCACTCCTTAACTTAATTTTTTTTTTGTTTTTTTCTGTCACAAATTATTTAATCACAAATTTATAAAAATTTAAAATTTAAAAATTGTGGACAAAATCCTGCAAAACTATTTATTGCAGCTCACAAGTTATAATATTTTCTAGAAAATATAAAACCTAACAGTTTGACTATAATTCTATATTCACAAACAAAACTTAAGTAAATGTTTGTTTGTTACAAATATTTTCTTTCGTACTAACTATTTAGTGGGAAACAACAATATTATTAGTTGAAATAAAGTCAACAAAAGTTTGTAGTATTAGTCAAAACTTTTTCTCACAGACTTTTAATTAGTTTTCTTTATAATAATTTGTCGCATTAAGAAAAGAAAAAAATGGACAAAGTTTACTTGTCTTTCTCTATTTTGTATAAACCCACTTCTGTCCTTTTAGCACAAACACAACATACAAAATATATGACATTTAACTAATATGACAATGATCGAATCATGTAGCTAACATTCGTATAGTGTTATCATACCTAATACTATCATTAGATTAATAATAATGTGTTAAAATACTATGTTTATATGAACAAATTTATGAATCTTTCTTTACTATTTAACAATTAACGTTAAGTCACTACAAAAACCTACTTTTGTGTAAGTAAACATGAATGAGTAAGATATTTTGTGACCATAAATCAATACAAAAACCAACTTTTGTGCAAGTAAACAGGAACGTGTAAGATATTTTATAACTTGTTACGATAAATACATGCATAATATTGCAAACTTATGTATTTTCAAATCCACAAGACTTTGTTTGATAATTTTGTACATCGATCTCGGACCTCTCGTGAAAGTTGTGACTGACGCATCGTGGGCTATTAGCGGTGCACGTGGCGGGCGGAGAGCGACGTTTCCAGTATAGAACCGTGTGGGTTCGGTTTGGACTTTCAGGCGGACGTCACGGGACCGATGCCGTGAAAAATGTGGAACCGTTGAAAAATCCTCAACACACAAACAAAAAGCCAAGAGAGAGCCACGAGTCCCATGTGACTTTTACCATATTTTCATTAATGATTTTGCTTATTTGGTTTGGTTTTTATTTAGCAAAGTGAATTTGAGGTCAAACCGATCGACTAAATCAGGATCAAACCATGGCTATCACTTATCAGCTGGTAAAGGAATAGACGAATAGTGAAGAAGTGTGTGCGTGTTCTCATGGTTAAGTTGCGAAGTTGAAGTCATTTACACAAAAGTTTCATATAAAATATGAAGTTATTACGGAAAATATGGTAAATACTTAATAGTATATGTGAGTGGCGTAATACACGATAGATTGCACCAAAACCATTATTAAAAATTAGTGTTGATTATAATATTTGTTTCATATAGTAAGATATATAGGAAGTGTATTAAGTAATGGTTTTGGGAGCATCGAAAATGGAGTGATGTCTTTTTTTTGATAATGTATTGTATTAGTCAACTGCTCACACACCGCAAATCACGTGAAGTCATCGAATGAATCGTACACCTATGCGGCCTCCTACTTTGTTTGGTTTTCAAGTCTTCTCTTCTCTCTAAGATCGAACCTCGAATCTATCACACACTTCTATCACTATTTTTATGATTTCATTAGTCTTTTGATTAGTAGCATTGTTTAATTTAATAAGTCACCCTATACTTTGTCGTCCTCTTTATACTATTGGTGCACTTTAACTGACCGATCTATCTCAAATACCCAAGATAATCCAGTTTTGCTAGTAAGTTAAATTATCTTAAGAGATACAACAATAGTATCTGTCCAAACGTGTGTTTGTGAGATTTATGTTATTTTGTAAAAGAAGACAAGAACCTATATAGGCTATAGAGACATATGACATTAACCAAAGCCAAAAAAAAAGATGGCCCTTGTCTGGTCTTTTCATTCGACTGGCCAAAGATATATATTGTTGTTTAAATCGGCTGGGTCCTTCTTGGACCATCCAAATTATCCACACAATGGCATCAAAGCACACTAGCTACAAATAACTAAAGAAATGTTTAAAACCATTGAAATAGTGTAATTGACAAACCATTATGATCATTTTTAAACATTTAGTTACCATAATGGGGTGATTTGGATAATTTACTTGACTCAATACTTTTCTTATTCATTGGAACAGTCGAATCAAACTATATTTAGGAGGAGACAATTGGGTAAGCCTGTTATCACTTGTCATATTGGTAAGATGAATCTGAGCACATACTAAGCCCAGCCCATAGAAGTAACCTAGAAAACTTAAACTATGCATAATATAAAAATGCACTTTAATAATTCGTAGAATATACCAGAAAAATCGTTTCAAGGACATAAAAGAAGAAGAAAAAGAAAGATATATAAATAAATAAAGAGTAGGGCGGCCATCAACTTGGTTTGAAAGTGACTGAAGTGGAATCCAACCATATTAGATGACCATATATTACACAGAAAGATCCAAAAGTAATATACAGTAGTCCTTTATCAAATTATAATGATCAATACTAACTAATATGCATGATTCAATACGAAAAAAAGAACTAACTGTTTTCCCCACAATGCATACATTGTCACAATGTCATTATTATATCCTTTCAATATATAAAGGTTTGCACCAAAATTATCGTGTTAGTATTGGATTTAGTGTAGCGATCATCAAGAAGATGATTTGGTAGACAAGTTCTTTACATTTTACTACTCGTCATTGTTTAGACTTTAGAGTGTTATCCAAAATCGAGTTTATTGATAAAACAACACTTGTGATCTAGTGGTCCTAATACATATTAATCTCCCCAAAACTGAAGTTCGAACTATATAACTTGAACGATGTATTATGTATATAGTGTGAATACGTGAAAGACCTATAACACAAGTTACTAGTTTAGTTGTTGTATTTATACGAAGCGAGTGGCCACCACCGTCAGTACCACTGTCACTACAGCCGAGCTAAAAGCTCGAGTGTCTTTTGTGTATATGCGGTTTAAAGAGAAACATGATTGAAAATAAAATAAAAGAATTGGTTGGAATATGCATTGCATGATACTAAAATTCAATGGAGTAGGGTCCAAATATGAAAGCATCATTATTAAACGAGAAGAAAAAGACAGGATTTGTTAGAGATATGTCAAAAACACAAAAGAGAGCACAGTAATAAGTGAAAAACACAAACCCAATCAGTTCTCTACTTTTCATTAAAGCTTGGTTTTTAAGTTAGCAAATGTGTAAATGTGTGAGTGAGAGAAAAAGAAGATAAGTGAGAGAGAGAGAGGGAGAGAGAGATATAGAGAGAAATGAAGTTCTTGTTTCAGTGTCCATGTTGTTCTTGCTTCTGCTTCATGAAACCAAAGCAGGGCAAACCAAAAGCTGTGGGAGATACAAAACCAAAGGAAGAGAAGAAGAAAGAGGTGAAGAAAGAGGAGATCAAGAAAGAGGAGAAGAAAGAAGAGGTCAAGAAAGAAGAGAAGAAGGAGACCAAAGCTGAAAAGGCCGAGTGAAGTGAAAACAGACTACATTGAAAAAGAAAATGTAATTAATTATCATCCCATTTTCATCTTTAATTTCTATGCTATTTGATGATTATGAATTTGCTCAGGTAATAATAACATGTATTTTTTTATGGTTTAGTTACTTATATATTATATCAATGTGGCTTGTTTGGATTTACTCATTCTGATCAACACTTTGAAGATTCTGTTTGTTGTTTCTACGTAATGATCTTTTGGTCTGATAAAATTCCACTTAATTATTGTGAAATTTTGAGGGTTTCGGTTTATATGATCCGATAAGGGTTGTTTTAGCAAGTAAATGAACCAAAATCAAAACTGAATCTCTAGCTAATTCATTTATTATATATTTGTTGTTCATAGAGGTTACTTAAAAGTAAACAAGAATGTGATTTGATCAAAACATGACGTTAATGACTTTGTTACTACATCAATAAGTTTTTGGTTTGTTCGAAATATGGATTAATTAGGGTTTACCATATCTTAACACACGAATTCACAATACAACAACTACGGTGTTGAAAGTGATTCATGAATTTGTGTTCCTTGTGCGAATACCAAAAGACTCCAATTGTTCTATTTTAGTAGTTTAGCACTTACCTCATCACCAAAAATGATGGTCATTGTAGTAGAAAAAGTGCTTTAGTACTACTCAATTCATCAGTGTGAATCTTCTAGAGTTCTAGTCCCACATCTCAACAAGATCCACCTTATTGGGCCTCCCTCACCAAGTGTGTCTCAAATCTTTCTCTCTCAATCACTCAATACTTTGGATCCATATGATCATCGTATTTGTATAATTATTGGTTTAAGATACATATGTTAAAGAAATGTGTTTATGTAACCAAATATTGAAGGTAGTGTGTTTACTGTTTACCATCTATATCAAGACTTCACTGGAGTATAATTGATAATATATTAAGGTTTTAGACCTTCATGCATCTTTAACACTTGTAATCAATCATATTCATTGTATTTTAACATATTCTAACCCTAGAAACACCAAATAAGTCATTTAGTGGAGACCTTTTAACATAGGTATATCAAAACTATCTCTATAAAATAATTTTGCAAAATTGGAAAGTGTAAACTCAAACAAGAGAAATATATTAGCGTAGTTGGGCCTTGCTATCCAGCTTTACTTGGACTTCAAAAGCGAACCATGCCTTCTGAAAAGCCTTTCTAATGTAGCACACGATTTGGGCTATAGAAGAACAACACCTACTACACACTACTAGATTTCATTTATGCAATCTTTAAATTGAAACCATATAAAGTATATGAAATCAAACTAAACATGGAAAAAAACCAACAACAATATTTTCAACAAAAATAAAAAATCATTTTCGACAATTTTTTTTAACAATTTCTTTTTAAAAATTTTCAATGACAAGACTAATCAATAAATTTGAAAAAATCCAACCATTCAAATCACTTTTTTTTTAGCAAGTGAATTAATTCGTGAGTCAATTCTCACACGTCTTAACATAAATGCCTTTGATTTTATTTACAAAAAAAAAACGTTCAAAATCCTAATTACATTACCAAAAAAAACACATTCTCTGTATATATACAGAAACAAAGTACTCTGTCACCAATCTTCTGATTCCATTTCTGTAAATTTCAGAGATCTTCTTCGATTCTCCTTAATCTCCTTTATATCTATATATACTCATCACACAGCTTTAACTCATTCCACCAAACCAAACTCATCACAAACACACAAAAAAACCCTAAATTTTCAGATCTCCGAAACCATGTCGGCGATCATGAAGACTCTTTGTTTTTCTTTTATCATCCTCTCTTCTTTTGCAACTCTCTTCTCCGTCACTGATGCATTGAGGTTTAACGTCGGAGGTAACGGCGTTTGGGACTTAAACCCTCAAGAAAACTACAATACTTGGGCTGAAAGAAACCGTTTCCAAGTCAATGACACTCTCTGTAAGTTTCTTTCCCTTTGCTGTATGACTTTTCTTGTGATTGTAACCTAACAAAGCTTGAATCTCAATTGCAGTTTTCAAGTATCCAAAGGGTTCAGATTCGGTTCAGCAAGTGATGAAAGCTGATTTTGATGGCTGTAACATTAGGAACCCGATCAAGAACTTTGACAATGGTGAATCTGTTGTGACTCTTGATCGATCTGGTCCATTTTATTTCATTAGTGGTAATCAAGATCACTGTAAGAAGGGACAGAAGCTGATCGTCGTTGTCCTAGCCGTTAGAAACCACCCTAAGGTTCCTATTTCTCCGGCGAAGCCACCTTCATCTGCTCAGCCCCCTAAGTCCCATTCCCCTGTTTCACCGATCTCTCCGGCTAAGCCTCCTTCATCTGCTCAAGCTCCTAACTCTCATTCCCCTGTTTCTCCTATTGCTCCAGCCAAACCTCCGTCTACGGTAGCTCCCTCACATGCTCCATCTCACTCTCCAAGATCCTCTGTTTCTCCTGCACAACCACCTAAATCTTCTCACTCACCAGCTCTCTCGCCTTCGCATGCTCCATCCCACTCTCCAAAATCTCCATCCCCTGTTTCTCACTCACCGTCGCACGCACCATCTCACTCTCCGGCTACTTTACCTCCATCTCCATCCCCTGTTTCTCACTCACCATCGCACGCACCATCTCACTCTCCGGCTACTTCACCTCCATCTCCATCACCTGATTCTACTCCATCGCCAGTTTCTCCTGCTTCATCTCCTTCTGACCAGACTCCACCATTGTCTCCTTCTCCTTCTCAACCTACTCCTTCAGCTGATAACATCACTGCCCCGGCGCCAAGTCCGAAAAGAAACTCAGCAAGTGGTGTGGCTGTTACTTCGGTTATGACTACATTACTAAGTGCGGCTTTCACCTTTTTGATGTTCGCTTGAGAGTTTAAACAATTCGGTTTTCGTGTTTTTGATTTAGATTTATCTTTTAAAATTTTATTTTATTGCTTTTGAGTTTCTATTGTTCTTGTCTCGACTCTTCTCTTCGTGATTTCACATTATTTTCTTTGTAATAAATAAATATCATTGTGTTGTTCTAAAAGCATTTTTTTTGGTTTCCTTATTACATACATCATTCTAAGCATTTTCATCGTTAACGACTTTTGCATGAGTTACTGCATCACATAAAAATCATAATTTTGACTTTCGGACCTGCGACTTAGTTAACAAAAATTGGTCAAACACATTTAAAGTTACTAGATTGTGTAAACTCTCTTCCAAAACCCTTGAAACTTGATTTTTACCGAAATTCATCATTAACATTGGTATGATCATTTATGCATTAGTTATACAGCTAATTTCTTATTCAAATATTTGCATTAAGTACATATTTTTAATACCGTTTTTAATCATGGATCACTAATATTGATATATTTTGCCTTAATTGTGGGTCAAGATAGTTGTTCCTGAATAATAGAGGAGCATATATAACAATGGAAACACATGTGTCGTTTTGTAAACGTCCATCATTATCTTCTAATTGATTATTATGGTGTGACTACAAAATATTTTGTAATATCTCTCTCTCTCTCGAGCATGTCTTAATCGTTTTGTGCGGGTTTCAATAAATCATATTTTCAGTATTAACGTATTAAGAAAAATCCATATCCAACTCAAATTCCACGACTCAAACAACAAATCGTTTGAAACTTTCGATGCTACCTAGTAACTACATATATTCTCAAAGTATGGCTTCAACTCCACCAAAATGAATACACAAGTGAAAAAGATACACTTAATAAATTTTACCTACCGAAAAGCTCCACAGAAGTGAAGGTCAACATCCAATTTCCTTCACATAAGATAGAAAACAAAAGCTATAATCTCGAAGCAAAACTATTTGATAACACTAGCACATATTTCAAAACTCAATGCAATATGTTTTGATATGTTTCTATCCAATATGATGTCAAACTCAATTCAAAATACTATCTATACCAATAATATTATAAACCCATGTGAGAAAGTTCTCTATTTTGGCCTTATTGAGTTTGTTATGACATATTGATTAAAATGAGATGTATTCTAAACCAAATGTTGAAAGTTAAAACCGTGAATTCATGCATCACTTTTTTTAATTGATTAGACAAAAAGCTTGAATCAAGCTGCTTGATGTATACGTCTCGATTGAAAAACGAAAAAAAAAATGATAAAATTCCATCTGTCAGAAACTAGTATATGTTCTATTCTATTCTATCCAATATGATGTAGATGTATGTATGATTTATATTTGAAAAGTACCATAACATGATAAACACGTAACTAATAATGAAATGTGATGGAGAGACACGAGGACTTGTATGGATTGATTGGAGAAATGACGAAAGCTAAGTTGAATGTATCCGAGAAAGATCGTCGTACACAAAAGAATCTGCCAAGTGTAAGCAACAACAACATTTCTTTTTTTAAACATTGACAACTGAGTTTTTAAGTGTAATATTAATAATACAGCAAGATTTCATATTTTCATCAAAGAAACACAAAACTCAATTCGAAAAATCCATTTAATCTAGATTCGTTCCGACATACTGGTCTGGTTAAAAGATCCACCACTTCTTTTGCCGGTTTCCCTGTATCAGAAACAGAAAAAACAAAACTTTAGTCGATAAGAATGATAGGTTTATAGAGTTAATTAGGATTATATAACAGGTGATGTAATTTGGAACCTTATGTACTGTGTAAGAGAGAATGAAGTAGACTTATTCGTCTAGCCAATTCAATTGTTACCTTTTGATCTTTCTTCTGTGACTTTAACAAGATAGGTTGCGGAAGAACTGCCATGCTGGAGTCTTGGGTGAAAGGTCTTACTTTCTCCTCCAACATTTCCTCCACCTACAAATTATAAAAGATAAAAAGTTACGCAATTGGAATTTTAATGAAATGTGATATGATAACAAATTGTGTCAAAATGGTTTCTTTGAGTATTATTAACCTTCTCTTGTCGCCATTTAGCTTCCCACTGTGCATCCAAGATTTTATCTGAGATCTCTCTTTGAGCATTGAGAAGAATTGTCTTCTCGTACAGTTTTGCTGGGTTTTTGAGTTCCTCTTCACTCCAGGAGGAAGTATTCAATGGGAGATTAAGTTCCTGCACATGTTCAGGGGTTAGTTCTGAAACATCCCTGACCATTAACAGAAACTGTGACGTTAAAACCAAAGATAAGAAGAGAGCTTACACCCCAATTCTGAGGACGGGGAGGTGGACTGAGTTTTGTAACTTCAGCCTCCAGAGATTTCTTAGCCTTGTAATAAGGGACATTCTTCACTATGACGGGGTCATCCCGAGCACGGACAGGATCAATGGAGATTAAGGCCTGTAAAACCATGAGAACTAAATTGGTGATTGCTATACTTCTTCAGTTAAAATATCCTGAGCTAGTTCCCAGATTTGTTCAAATATTTGAAATCCACAAAAAGGTGATCTTACATTCTGCAAATACTCCCAACCAGGATTTCGTTTAGCCACCAAGTCCCTAAGCTGATCATAACGCATAGATTCCTGATTGCAGAAGACACATATAGTCAACTATCATTCAAGCATAAAGCTTAAAAGCTTAACTATCAAAAAAAAATTAACAGCCGCCCTCTGGTTTCTTGTTGCGTAAAATTCTTTATCATGCAGAGCTCTGAGCACAGATATGGAAGACATTCTATACTGGCGTAGCAACACCATCCCAAATGAGGATTAGGAAGATTCAACTTTCAGCTAAGACTAGCCTATAGCTTTTAGGGTATACTTTGATTAAGCCTCTAGAAGACCATAACCTTCAAATGAGTGAATGGCAGTAAACTCTAAACTAGAAGACTGGTGAAAAAGGCATGCTGAAGGAGATCTACGTAAGTAGAAAGAGATTTTTAACCTCGTATTGCCACCATATTTTCTTCTTGACATCTTCATCATATTCAAATCCACCCATAATTTGAGGCATAGTGATCAACCAAAAATTTGCAATGCTGGGATCTTTCATGCTGTGGACAATGTGCTGGAATACAAAACAGGACTCGTTAGACTTGGTAAGTGGTAACATAGCAAACTTTTGAGTCTATATATAGATTTTGTGGTGCTCACCTCGTAGGGATAATCCATTTTCCTTAGCACATTGTAGGCTTTCCATGGTGGTTCCATGATCTGCAAAATGGATGTCAAATATATTCATCAGTTTTGGTATTAATGAAGTGATAGTTCTACACAAAAACAAACTACCTCTCTTTTAGGCATTTAACACCGACTAAGTAATAAATATACATCCCACTGGGAATTTAGGTAGATGTTAAGCTGAGAAGGAGTTATAGCAGACGCAAAACATACATCATCAGCTGAGATCCTGACTTGCAGCTTGTTCTTGCACTCAGTACAGCTCATCACACCCTGAGATATCAATAGATGTTCCGTCAAATCATATTAGCAAATAAAAAAGCCTATTTCGTTCACCTTAAAACACAGAAAAGCACCTTATCATATGTACATCAAAAAGCAGTACTTGACAATTTGAGAACAATAAACCAAATCTGTATCAAATATAGCAATGTAAATACAAGTTGGGCAGTCTAGAGCATTAGCAGCAGGGAAAAAGCTTACTGTTCCATCACAAGTTGGGCAGTCTTTTGAAGGCAATGGTGCACTAAGGTTGATGGAGGATGGAAGATGAACCAACTCAGCTCGATTGTCAACTATAGCATCTGCGACAGAATCAGCTGTTGGTTTCTCTCCACTACAAAAAAGACAAAGGAGAAATCTCTTAAGTTCTTTTATGTATGGTACAATATCACAGAGACCTATCAGAATTACATTGAATTGATTAATTCTTATGACATCTAATGGTTGAAGTGACGATTATAACTTGGTTTAAGAAGAGACAATCCCACCTTCTCAAGTTGTAATCTTTGATTTGGTAATGAACATTCCCTGTTCCTTTGCACATGGTGCACCGTAATGCTTGCCACCCATTACAAGTTTTGCAATCCCTGACCAACAGAAAAATTTCCCATTTCACTGGATGGCCTCGAACAGTTGACAACATGTGACCCAAAAATTCTTTAAGTCAGAAGCATCAAAAACTAAGATAAACTTCAAATGTTGAAGCTGACCTTTGGCATATGACTTTCTTTCCCAAATCCAATGCAATGTCATAAGTTCCAAGCGTAGCAACCGCCTGCAGTTCATGGAACTTAAATGATCAAAAGCTCCCATACACCACAAGTAAAACAAACATTTTCCAGTTTCCTAAATTGATTCTGATCTATCAAAACTTTGATTCATACTCATATTAAAGTTCAAAACTTTGGGAAACATTCAGAGAGGAATTGACATGGAAACATCAGATACGAAAAAAACCCGGTAAGACAATGATAAACTCCAAGCTAGAAACTCAGCAAAACCAACAAAAGTTTCATCCTTTACAACAGCTAACATTTCAAAGCTCAAAACCCAGAACCATAAATTCAGGAGAAACAACTCACGAAAACAGAGAGATAAGACAGTTTAGAGACGAATTCAGGGATGCCAAAGCCACGAGGTGCAGAGCCAGCGATGTCAAAGGCAAGAGTGAAAGGAGACAAGACAAGCTTGATTGGAAAATCGAGAATGTCTATGACTTGTTGTCCATAACGAGTGGAGAATTGCTTGAACTGAGCATCAGCGAACTGTGTCACGTTCTGTATTAATCGACCTGGTCCTCTCGACATTGGAGAAGATAAGGAGCTTTTCTCGCTCTCTGGTTTTGGTTTGACGATGATGTTTAGTTCTTAAGAGAGGGTTCAAGAGTGGGTTTTTAAACTATTCTTATCTCGAATTCGGATAGACTTATTCTTTGCTAATTTCACTACCAAACATGTCCCTTTTTTTATAAAACTACGTGCCGTTTTAGAGTCATTAAAACAACAAGGAGTTGAAAATTGAAATTTTCGATTATTGTGATTCTATGATGTCAGACTGAGAGCAAGAAAAATGCTGTGCTTAAAAATGGAACCTTGACGCAAGTTTGGACCTTTTTATAAAAAAAAGGAATCAAATTCTCTTAAAGCAGCCAAAGGAATGCTCGCAAGATAAAAGTTGCGTTTCATTCATCTGAAAAGCTCCAACCTTTTTTCAATCTCTGTACCTCTCGTTCTGAGAATCAATGGCGGCGGCTGTGGTGGGCAAAGCAGCGGCGATGATCGGGTTTCCACAGGCATATCTGGAGGGTAAAGAATTGAAGGAGACAAGTTCGTTGGTCACTGAACTCTGCCGTCATTTTTATACTCAAGGTTGGGTATCTGGAACTGGCGGTAGCATAACGATGAAGGTTCATGATGCTTCAATCCCTAAAGCTGAGCAACTCATCGTCATGTCTCCTTCAGGTTCTCTACATCTCAAAGTCGCTCCCTTTCTCTCTGATACATTTTGATGTATCTTATTCGTTATTTGAGCTTGTGTATGTGCCTTTGTTCTATTGAATTGCTGGTTTTGTTCTCGTGGACCTTCAATTGCTATCTGAACTCTGTGTTTCATCAGTTCAAATTTCTGTTTCTAGAGATCATCTTTGTGTATTTATGGTCCTAAAATCACATTAGTGACACTCTTTATGTGGACAATTTTTTTGTCTTTCAATGTTTGGAAGCGTTCTTCTTTGTGTATATGAATCACCGGAGACTTGAAAATGCAAAAGTTTTTGATGGAAGTAGAAATCTGGCAAGGCTGATTACTGTGTGTTACTGAATTTATATGCTTCACGGTTTGCTAATTGTTGATGTGTTTGAAGGTGTTCAAAAGGAGAGGATGCAACCAGAAGATATGTACATCTTATCTGCAAATGGATCAATCATATCTTCACCTTCTCCAAAGCCATACCCAAATAAGCCTCCCAAGTGTACTGATTGTGCTCCTCTGTTCATGAAGGTATGGTTTTGTTGCTTTCAAAGTAGTAAAACTTGATTCTCCTATATTAGGGTTTGCTGTGTACTTGGCTTCATCATAACTTTGCTATTGGTGAATGACACTTTGATATTGACTTATTTGGCCTACTGTATCGTATGGTATTTTCATTGTTGGGTGTGCATTTTGCGGTTCAAACTTTAAGCAATGCTGGGTTTTCGTCAAAATGTTGGGCAGCACTTACTGATTCCAAGTTAAAACTGTTTTATGTTAAGAAGGATTTCTTAGAGCACATGGTCATGACCCAAATAGGTTAAGAGCTCGTCGCTCTTCTCTAGTGGTATTCTGTTGTGTCTCCCATTTAGCTGGTGATTTTTCTTTTCTGGAATGGCAAATACGTTGTTTGCTAATAACTATTGGATTACAATCCTAAATAAAGTGCAGAACAGGCGGCTTTCTTTGGGAAAACGCTTGCGAAAACTCGGTTACAAGGTAAAACTTGTCCAATTTGAGCAATAATCCCATCGTCAGTGGGTTTCTTTGACCCATAGGACCTCCACTACGTTGCACTGGTTGAAATGGATTCAGTCAAGTGTTAGAACTTCACACAAACACAATGGGATCAGAAAATTAACTGATATGTAGAGTTTATTGATGTTTAGACAGACACTCGTTTGGTTGTAAATTCCTTCTACTTATTAAATAACCACCTGAGAAATCAAAGAGATCTTTCTTGGCATGATTATTGCTTGTAATGTTATAATTTTACATATGATTTCCATTTAAGTTAAGACAGCCTCTTTTTCCTTCAATAAGTTGTGTTTCATCAAGTTGTACATGGTCAGTTTTAAATCTAATAGCAATTTTTCAAGTATAAAGACGTTCTATTAAAAACTTGCACAGTATGGTATCTCATTTTTTACCCTGCCAAGTTGACTTGCTCTCTTTGTATTGTTTTCCTTTTCGTTTTATAGATGTCTAATCTCTAGTAACAGTAAGATAGTGACGTTATCGAAAAGTTTCATAGCATTGACTCTGTTGTGTTGCAGGCATATGAGATGCGAAATGCTGGAGCTGTTATACACAGTCATGGCATGGAATCTTGTCTTGTGACAATGCTAAATCCGCAAGCCAAAGAATTCCGTGTAAGCCAAATACTACTAATTTTTGCAGACAATTCCAGGTTCGGCGATACAGTTAGGACTTTGCATTCTAATGTTTCTTCTTGTTCAACATTTCACAGATAACTCACATGGAGATGATAAAGGGGATTCAAGGTCACGGATACTATGATGAACTTGTTGTCCCAATCATAGAAAATACAGCATATGAGAATGAACTAACAGATTCACTTACCAAAGCAGTATGTTTAATTATTCTGTGAGAAGCTTGAGTTGACTATATGCAACAGAAGGAAAATTTTAATTACTTTTTACATATATGACTCCCATTTTCAGATAGAAGCCTATCCAAAAGCAACTGCAGTACTGGTACGGAATCACGGCGTTTACATTTGGGGTGATTCTTGGATCCATGCTAAGACACAGGTTTGTGCAAGTTACTTCAATTTTTGGTTGAAAGTTGAAGAACCAACAATAAGTTCTATATGTTTGAGTTTTATGTTCATATATTGTTTGCTTCTACTTATAAACTTTTAATTGTCACTTTCAGGCTGAATGTTACCATTATCTGTTCGATGCTGCCATCAAGCTTCATCAACTGGGTCTGGATGCAGCTACCCCAGATCACGGGCCTATCCGAAGATCCACACATTCACAGAATCAAAATTTCACAAAACTATCTGTGAAATCTGGAGTCAAGGATTCACAAAACCAAACAGATTCACCTCGGGTAAAATGTCAATGATGCCTCTCGTTATATATCTCTGAAAGTAGAATTTTAACTATTCACTGTTTGGTTGCAGCGATGCATTGTCCTCGACATTGAAGGAACAACTACGCCCATTACTTTTGTCACAGATGTTCTCTTTCCTTATGCCCGTGAAAACGTTGGAAAACATCTGAATTTGACTTATGACACAGCAGAAACACAAGAGGATATTAAGTTGTTGCGGTTACAAGTAATAACATTTAATTTCCTCTCCTGTTGTATTACCTGTTGTCATAAACAAGCAACTAAAGATCATCTCTGCTGTTTTTTGTAGGTTGAGGAAGACTTGAGACAGGGTGTAACAGGTGCTGTTCCTATCCCTCATGCTGATGAAGGGAAAGAAAATGTCATTGCCGCTATGGTCTCTAACGTAGAGGCAATGATAAGAGCCGATAGAAAGATCACTGCTTTAAAGGAATTGCAGGTAAGAAAAGATAAAAAAAAAGATTCCGTTTTTTATGTTTGCTGATTCTAATATTGTATGATAAAAGGTGATATGAACTTTTGTATGCAGGGTCACATATGGAGAACAGGTTTTGAGTGTAATGAACTGAAATCTGTTGTTTTCGAGGATGTACCAGAGGCTTTAGAGAAATGGCATTCTTCAGGAATTAAGGTATGTTCATGTAGCAGAGGCTTTAGAGACATGACATTTTTTCACAGGTCTAATATTTATTTTTCCCAATAGGTTTACATATATTCTAGCGGTAGTCGGTTAGCGCAAAGGCTGCTCTTTGGGAACACAAACAATGGTGATCTGAGAAAATATTTATCTGGCTTTTTCGACACTACAATCGGGTATTAAAAGTTATCTGTCTGTCCCTTCCCTTTTGATAGAATATGATCCAACTACAAATTTCATACGCTTCTTGGCTGCAGAAACAAGAAAGAAAGCCGGAGTTACAAGGAGATTACAGAAACATTGGGAGTAGATGATCCTTCAGAGATTTTGTTTGTAACAGATGTTTACCAAGAAGCCACAGCTGCAAAAGCCGCAGGTAAAAAACTCTATATACTATTTACTTCAAAACCAATAAGAGATTCTGTTTTTAAAAGAAAGTACTGAGTTTGAAACTCAATTCTGGTGACAGGTCTGGAGGCGATTATATCGATTCGACCTGGAAACGCTCCATTACCGGAGAATCACGGGTTCAAGACTGTCACAACATTCTCCCAAATCTAGAGTTCTTCTTATGTATCTTGTTCTTATGGAGTTGTACTTTGATTTGAACCAATACTTTTACCAAATAAAACAAAAACTTGATGATAAATCTAAACGCAGACGTTTGGCAAAAAAAACTCAAATTAGTCTCTTACAAGTTACAAGTGAAGTGAAATCAGTAAGGCTTTGAACATTTTTGCTGTGTTGTCCTCAAATAAGCCCATATAGTCTATGTACTCAAGCCCATTATAAGGTTTAAAGCCACTTTTAAAAAATCCCCATTGCTTGACTGGTTAAGGTAAAGAGTCGATCATCGGAGAATCTCAAGAGTGATCCATCAGATCATCACGCAGAATCAATCCAATACTGCACCGATCTTTCTCTATGACACCAAGAGCCATCAGAAAAAAGGTACGTTCCTCTTCATCTTCTTCTTCGTTTACCGTTCTCTCTGTTTACAAATAAATCGTGTTCAAAACCCTAGCTTTCTTTTAGGATTCTTAATAAGGTTTTGTTTTTGCTTGCAAGACATGTTTTGTTCAGTACTTCACTAGAAACCAGATGGTTCTTAATTTCCAAGTTTTGATATTTTAAATGTGTTGATGCAGATTTGTGACAATGGGTTGATAAGCCAGTTACCTAATCATTTGATATGTCACATACTTAGTTTTCTTTCGACCAAAGATGCTATCAGGGCAAGTGTTCTGTCCACAAGATGGAGGAGTCTTTGGCAACTGGTTCTCGGATTAGACTTAGACTCCCTTGACCTCGGTCTTGCTTTTGCCTCAAGCCAGTTCTCAACCATCGACGACTTTGTGGTATTCGTTGACAAGTTCTTTTATCACCACAGAGAGTCATGTATACATAAACTCCGGTTACATATTCGTACTGTTGGTTATGTTGACTACTCGTCTTATCTCACCAAATGGATTGATGCTGCGACTACGCGTAGGATTCAACATCTTGATCTTCATTGTGATCGTCTCTTCAAGGTTGCAGTGAAGATACCTTTGAGCCTTTACACCTCTGAGACATTGGTACACTTACGACTTGTTCGAGTCATCTTAGTTAGCACCAAGGTTGTTTCTTTACCTTGTCTGAAGACCCTGCATTTAGAATTTGTTAAATATACCGATGAGACAACGTTGGAGAAACTGATCTCATGTTCTCCAGTTCTAGAAGATTTGAGCATTGTCAAATATACAGAAGATAATGCAAGGGCTATACAAGTACGCTCTAAGACACTAAAGAGAGTCGACATAAACCAGTGGTATGATCGAGAATATGGACTTGTCATCGATGCGCCTCTACTCCAGTTTTTGAGGATTATAGCTTACTCAACAAAGAACATTAAAATCATCAATACAGGTCTCCCTGCCAAGGTAGATATTGACGCCAACGTGCTCAGTATTTTGGATCCAAACGATTTAACCAGCAGAAGCATGATGCGCGATTTCTTCACTAGTATTTCAAGGGTCAGGTGTCTTGTCACTAGTTATGCTACTACCAAGGTATATATATATGTGACATTATGTGATTACAAAAATAATAGTAAATATCTCTAACATTCTTTTTTTTTACTCTTGTTACTAGGATATCTTTCATTACATGCAACTAGAACCTCTGCATCAGTTTTGTAACCTGACCGGACTGAGTGTTATATGTTGCATCTCTAGTCTGGAGATGTTGCTAAATCTTCTAAAGAGGTGTCCAAAACTAGAATCTCTCAGCTTGGTAATGATTTGCTTGCCCCTCTAATAGTAAATCTTATCTTTTCGTGAAGCTTCTCTACTACTAATAATCTGTTTTCTTCTTCTATTTTTTCGTTTTCTTAGAAATTGGTTGACTACAAAGAAACCAAGAAAGCAGGAGTGATCACTTCGACAGTTCCATCGTGTTTGGTATCGTCGCTCAAGTTTGTTAAATTGGAAGGTGTGCTCTTCGGATGTGGAACAGAACTGAACGTAGCAAGGTACTTCTTGGAGAACTCAACATTACTTGAGAAACTGACTCTAAGGAATGATTATAAGGAGAAAAATGTAGAGCACGTTCGCCAGACACTCCATGCAATACCAAGATGCTCTTGTACTTGTACAGTTGTTCTTCTTTAGTTACCATTGTTGAATAACCAAAACATGTGAAGTTATTTTTTGTAGGCTTTAATTTTAGCCACAAGCAATTGCACTATACTAGTCCTTCTTATATGTTTCTTTATACTTGCTTTCATATTTATTTTGTGTGGCTAGTTACATAAACTTCAACGTCAACTTGGTCTTGAATATAGAAATATCAATAGTTAAAAGGACATTAAATTGTTTTATATCCAATTTTTTTGGAAATGTGAATAGGAGAAAGGGGTGTGGCAAAAATTTCCAAAGTGGAAGTTGCTTGTAATGCGAAGCAAAGATGATTCGACTTTTGCTTGGTTTTCAACTCTCATCATAACAGACTACTTATTTCGTCTTTTACTTTCTTTTTACACTCTTTTTTTTTTTCTCTCCACCTTTTTATTTTGTTTTTTGTTTTTCAATTCAAAGATTATTTTTTTGTCCTTTCAAGTCAAAAGACAAAGCAACAGAAGAACAGTATTAACGTATAACTATTTAATTGAGAGAAAAAAAAATCGAAGAGAAAGTCCAAAGAAATGTATAGTATTAGTGAAAAAAGACCAAACGTGCCTCCATGATGACTAAAATTCGAAGTCATCATATTGTATATCGAAATGGTCCATACTACGTGTTGAACCTGATCAGAAATTTCTTTCACGAGTCGTCTCTCTATTTCAAATTGTCTCTTTGAAACTTTCTACTTAGGATATATTAAATATTTTTCATATTACTAGTCAAACTTTCGATAAATACTTCTTGACAATGACCACTCGATCCACTCATGTTTTCCAATCGCAAACCATAGTTTTTTTCTTTGATATTTCCATATTCTTTCGAAGTCATTTTGTTTTTGACATTAAACAAGTTTTTAGGAATATAAAGTCTATATCATAAATTCGAGCATATAGACATGGATCGATTCTCTAGTTATCTCTACATTCGATTTCGATATTGAGTGGCACACGTTCAACTATATAATCATATGAACAAAATTATAAAAGATATTTTTGAGTTTTAAAAAGAATAATGCTTATTATAAAAATGAGTTTCATCATGAATATATATATATATACTTTATAGCTTCAAATTACATATATTGCAATTGATATTTGAGATTAAAAAGTGAATAAACCGCACAAAATTTACAGTCACTCCATAACCAAGATCGAACTTTATAAAGATATCTTAGTTATAGTTAAACAATATCCGGAATTATATAGAATTTAATTTAATAATATATATATATAGAATCACTCATAGATCGTCGGGATTATGGATTGCTCGCCGGAGAAGTGACCGGAAAAAGAGGAAGAAGCAGTGGCTGAGAGTCTCTAGGAGTTGAGACTGGAGAAGGATGAAGATAAAAGCCTTTCTCAGCAATGGCTTTGTCTTCTTCAGATGAGTTCCCTAATGATAGAGGCGATGACTTGTTGAAGGGGTCATCGTTGCTTCTCAGTGGCGTCACGGGACTGTTTAGACCTAGCTTGGGAAAATCCAACATGCTCGGAGACAGGATAATATTGTCTGATGATGAGCTGTTCCTCGGAGAGAATCTCGGGCTTTGACGATGATGACTACTGATGTTTCCTCCTCCTGTGAACATCAATCTCTGAGAGTTTTGAAGCCTTAACGTGTTGATCATTAGATCATTCTTAGCAAACATGTTGTTGTTGTTGTTGTTGTTTTGTCTTCTCTCGTAAAGCTTGAAGCTGTTGGTTTTCTTGATGGGAGGAATCGAGAAACTTGACCCTTTGTTGTTGTTGTTCACCGGAGAAGGAGCTTCTTGGTGCTTCCCGGTGGAGGTATGATCGGTGGAGGAGCCGGTAAGCATCTGAACGACTTGTTTGAAAGTGGAAGTGTCAGCTTGAACAAATGTTGTTGGGTAAGGATTCGAGAGATGTTGGTCATGATGATGATGATGAGGAGATGATCTTGTCGTCGAATGAGGCTGATGAAACCTAGGAGATGAGATCATGGAAGGAGATGAGTTTTGCATCATTTGTTCTGGTTTTGAAGACATGGATGATGTTGAAACTTCCATTAAAATGAGATGTCTCCGTGTTGTGTAGATGAGGTAAAGAGATAGAGATAGAGAGAGAGAGAGAGAGAGAGAGAATGATTGAAGAAGAAGACGAAAGAAGAAGAGTGGAAGTTGCTGATGTGAATAATGTGTAATGTTGTTTAGTTTTGTCGTGCGACGACAATTTAAAAGACTTATAAAAAGTGAGGTGTCTTGGACCCATCTCTCATTCTCTTTCTTTCTCTTTCTTTCTCTTTGTTTGTTAGATTCGTGTTCTCAAGACTTTGTACATATACATACACACACATCTACGTCTAACACCATCATCATCATTTCTCTTATACGAATCAACAAGTCTTTGAAAATATCTCCCAAAAGATATTTCATTTTTTTCTTTTTCTTCTGGATAAATTGGAATGTGGGGTTTATTTTGAAATAAATCTTGGCTTCCAATGATGATTTTTCATCACAAGAATGTCTTCAAATTTTACTTGTCACATACCATAGTTTGTGAACTGAGCCACATTTGTATTTTGCCACACTCAAGACCAAAGTGGTGAATTTGTATAAGCAAAACTTATTCAATATCTCGAGGTTCGAACTTGAACTTTAGATATACATTGGAGTAGAAAAATACGTACATTGCCTATTTTGGGATATCCAATAAGAATCTTATATCAAAGAACATCAAATCAGGTTTCTGAAATCTATGGTTGGTTGATATATATACTATTTATATGGAATTTGATGACGCCCAAATCCATGATATTTAGAATAATTCTTTTTTGGTGGAATCGATTAACAATTATTGAGAATTTATTTTTAGAATCTATACTCATTATATAGTATATAGAGACTCATCAATTTTTAACAAATGCGATGTTTCTTATATGTTAAAAGTTAAAACCAAAATTTCTGCCTTTCGTATAATTCTTCTTACATGTGTGATTATTTAACCAATTTATTTTGTAACCACACGTTAGGAAATTATTACGCTCTACGTTTATAAAAATGGTTTTATTTTGTTTGTCTACAATAATCGGATAAGATCTAAAATGTCTATAATTTAGGTCCCTACATGAGATTTTGATATATTTTCTGTCTTTGCAAAAATATTCATGGGCAGCAAAATGATAAACTCAAATACATGAACTTGTAATATTTGGACCTATATATATTCATAAACTATTAAAATGATTCGTTAGAGACTTAACATATGTATCTAGGGAAAAAAACAAGAACTAGCTTCCAATTTTCAAATTTGATCTAATATCAGCTTCAGATCACAAAATCTGCAAAAAAAAAAAAATCTTCCATAATCCACAATCTAAGTTTTGACATAAACACATTTGTTTTAGTGGATAAAGAAAAATTTGACCCTTGATCATCTCTCTTACAAAATTAGTGAACATTTTTTATAACAATATAAATCGCCACCACTAACATTGTTCTGGTGCATGTTGCCACTATTGCAATGTTGCCTTGCCATCACAAAATCCAACACTTTTGCCGCTACCAATTTACCACTGATGGTGACAGAAGTAAGAATGTAGCAATTGTTGTAACAATAGTGTAATATTTTTTTTTGTGTTTTTTTTATAATAAATAGAAGCTTGTAAGTTATATTCATTAACTGATCTTTTAAATGTATTTTTGTCTGATTACAACTTTTTCTAATTAAAAGTTGAAGCCTTGAAGGTTCTTTTGCATTTTACCCTTTGTAATCTATTCGACTTTAAATTATTTTGTACTTCAAAGATTTCAACATGTAAATGCACTACACTCTACACCCACTTGTTTTCTTACCTAAAAAGGAATATCAAAATCAATATCAGTTAGTTATATAGCGTGTGTGAATAAGCATAAAGAAAATTTTGACAAGACATCGTACTAAAATGACTTTTATTTTCAGTTTCCATGAAATTAATGTATAGTATAAAGGTCAAAATATATGAAAAGATATTGTACTACGTATAAGGTTTTAATATCAAGTTTACCAATAGGAAGATGCAGTACACATATATATTCTTTGATAGAATTAAAAACAAAAGTAAAACCTATCTTAGTGAGAATATGTTCTCCTTATTGTGAGGTTACAACTTACAACAGACATTTTCACAAATCAGTGTGAGCACGTTAGGAAACAAGATTAAAAATGGAGATATAAAATCGTATCCAATTCTTCTTTCTTTTTTGTTGTTTGTAATATTTTAGTATAAATGGGAGAAAAAAATAAAAAAACTAAAAAAAGAAAAGAATATATATATAAGATAAAAAGTTAAAAAAAAATTGTGGGGACTCGAATTCCAATTGGGTGAAAAATGTCGTCCCTCCATGAAGGATCAAATTCTTTCAAACTTCAAATCATTAGTGTCTTCTAGAACCCAAGTGGTTAAAAAGATTCCCTCCTTATTGCTTAAACATGCAAAGCAAAGCATATTATATACTAGAAGTAGACCCGCGCGATGCGCGAGATTTATTTGATATTATATTTATATTAACTTTAATAAATTTTTTGGAAATCAATTTAATTGAATCAATTAAGTAGTTTTCTTCATTTTTATGCACTATCTCATATAATATTAATTTGATGTTTCCAATATAAAACTAAGTATATATGTTTTATGATTATTTTGTATTATGCATATTGCTATCTACTGCATAAATTATTTAAAATACATTATAAATAAAAAAATATTAAATAATTTTTTAATTTGTATTCAACAAATTCCATCATCAATTAAAATAAGCATTAGAATATCTTTTTTATTCAATTACATTAGGATACTAAAAGTAAAATTTATAGTCTTATATCACTACAAACAACTCTTTGAACTTGTAATCTATATAAATCTACTTTAGGTTTGTCCCTATGTCATCTTTTTTTTTTTTCAAAAAAATCATTGCTTATAAAATGTTGATTACTTTTTCCTTCGGTCTCTCAAAAAATCATATTTTCTAATATTTCATATAGGATAATATTATATAATGACACATGAATATTTTTTTTTGTCAACAACTTTATATTAGTGCAGAGCATCAAAATAGCCTAATATTAATTACATATACAATAAAACAAACTAAACCATATGTATTCTTAAAAATAGGTTATGTTAATTAAAAGGAAAAGTCAAATACAATTTACCATAGCCACTTTGCTCTCCACCACGATTTCCGAGAAAACATAATATATTCTAATTTAAATGAAAAATTAAAATAATGTAACAATAACATCATGGGAATTTATACGTAAATAAATTATACAGCAATAATGAAAATAATTCAAAATAAAATTTTAGAGAAGAAATGGAAAAATATTAAAATTTTAAAGAATATATATTAGGTTAGTACCAGGTAAGTTCTACAATGTATATACCAAAGTATTGATTTCTTTGTATATTTGGATACAAACATAGTGGTCAATGTTTTTGATTTTATAGCCTTCAAAATATTTTATTTTTACACATGTGTTTGTATCATACTTTCTAAAAATATTTATATCAAATTCTTAAATAATAATTTCATTGATTTGTATGCCATATAACAACATAAAAATAGAAAAATATTAAATATACATGAATATAAAGGAATAGGGTGAGGGAATGATTACTTATATGCATGATAAACTAAAAAAGAAATTAGAGATGAATTTTCAAAAAACAAAAATTATAATAACATAAGATGTATATCAAATAGTCTCTAATTTCTTTTACAATTGAGATTTTATAAAAGAATAATTTAATTGTTTTCTAAAAATCATACAAAAAAACACAAAGCTATTCTTTTATATAATAATTGAGATAGAGAATTAGAGGATGAGAGAATTAGGGAATTGTAACTGAGAAAATGAGTATATATAGGAAAAGAAGTGATGGGAGTTACAATTTCATAAAAAATCATGGGAATCAATTATAATTTATTGTGTGCTGAAAAATTCAATGTAAAATATAGTAAATGCTAATTTATATTATTTCAGTTTTTATATTAAAGTGTGAGTTTAATGTATATGACTAAATGTGTTTTGTGGTTTAATAGTTTTTCAGTTTTATATTAAATTGTGAATTAAGTGATAATACATAATATTTTTTTTAAGTTACATGCCAAGTGAACCAATAAGAAGAGAGTGAAACTTTATTTTTATATATATGATTTGTGAAGAATATGATAATTATTCTTTGATTAAATTTTATGATATTATATTCTATTAGACTGTGTTTCCTCTCTCAACTGTTTAATAATAGTAAATTAAATAAATTTTGTTTTCTAAATTAAATAATAGAATATTTTTTGGTTAAATAGTTACTTTCTCTAAATATTTTAGATGTACTATTTTATTATACTGAAAAAATCTAACTTTCTCTAATTTCATTATTTACCATAGATTTCACCATGCTAAAGTTAAAAAAAAAACAATTTTCTTTAATTATTTTATTATAAACTTATTTTTCAAAAATTATAAAAACATATTATAAATAATTTATTACCCATATTAATAACTTTAGGAAAAAAATACTTTAAAAGGAGGAGGAAATTTTGATGTCATTTCTGAACTTTAATCTTAAGAAAAAAACTCATACCAATTTTCTTTGAATACAAAGAAAAAAAATTTAACTACTCCATTTTATGTTTAGCTTATATGATATTTAATTTAAATAGAAAGTAAAATTGGAGAAAATGTTTTTTTTTTGCCACAATGACACTTTTTGAAAAGTAAACAATACATATCTTATAACTTACAACACAATATCACAAATAAAATAATTTTAAAATGTTAAATTATAATTCAATAAAAATGACACGTGTCATGAATATAGAGCGCCAAATGTCATTTTGTGAGGCAAAGTTAGAAAAAACCTTGTCTTATATAATAAGATAATGTCGATCTTAATATATATTAAAAAAGAAAAGATTAATGGTGCTTAAGTCTTCTCGAAATAACACTAAACACTACTTACATGCATGCGTACACACACATATTACATAAATGTGTAGCATGTATAAAGACAAAACAACGGAACAAACAAAACTTGCTTGCTTCGAAACAATGTCTGTTCTATTATTTTTCTTTTTCCCAGTGAAATGATAGGTTTCCACCATTTCACACTATTAGGTATGTCACGGATAGAAACTATAATCCAACAATGTGTCTAGTCATGGCCGTAACAAAGAGAATAAATTTAGCCGCAATCATTGCTTATAAAAAATAAAAATTAAGCTATAGTTTCATGTAATCATATCATTTTATTTAATATAGAAAAATAACTGCATGGCTACAAATTATCAAGAGCCAAGAGTCATAAAAAACCCTTGGCTAGATAAAGAAAAAAAAAACGTAGAGAATAGTTGCCTAAATGGCTTCAAATCGAAATCCATAGTCTTGGATTTAGATAGATTTGTCTATCTAATTATTATTCGGATAGAAAGAAACATCAAACATAGATTATTTAGTTTCAACGTGGTTCTCATTTGTTGATGCCAGTCTTGTCCTTAATGGCCTCAGTCGCACCTTGTGCTTTCTGCTTCAGCTGCTGTCCTCCCTATATTTTGTTTTATTTTTTCCCAAAAATAACCAATATTTATTCACTGGTTTTCTCAAAATTGTTTCACAAAAGAGGTATTAAATAAAAAGAATAAGAATAAGATAATAAACCTCTTGAATAGATTCCTTAGCAGATTGGGCAGCATTGGAGGCCTTGTCCATCAAGTTGCTTGCCTTCTCCTATGTATATACAACGATTTTTAAGTTACCCTCTAATACTAATATCAATCATTAACTCAAACATAACAATTAGTTCTATTGAAGTTTCGAAAATGCATGGTGTAGAGTGTAGACAAAAACCTGAGTTTGGCCTTTAGCTTGGCCAGCGTTGAAGCTCATGCTCTGGCTGTTGCTAGACATTTTCTAATCTTCTCTTTGTAAAACTTAATTTGATTCTTAAAGAACCTTTTAGCTTTTGTAATTGTGACTTGTGAGAAAATAGCATTACGGGGTAGATGTTTATATACTCTTGTGGGAACCCCAACTTCACGTAGAGATCAGTGATTGGGAGTCAGTTTAGTATTTGACATGTGGCGTTGTTAGCTTAGTACTCGCTCCGGTCGGATAGGGTGGTTTTGACCACGAGACAAGCGAAACTGTTGTAGACTTGTTCCAATGTAGTAATGTAGTTCTGTAAAATCATTTTATATATTTTTATGCTACATGTTATCGCTAGAATTCCTAATAAAACAAAAAAAAAATTCTTTATACAGTTGATGTTATCATTTATGGGTTTTTAAAAAAAAATTATAATAATAATTTATGCTTCACTTACGTACGCATAAATTCCGAGTTTTTTTTAAAAAGAATTGGGTTACGTTTGATATATGTATATATATTAAAAATATAGAATAACTCAGAAACATATAACTAAACTTTATAAGTCACATTGATGATTATTAAATCGGTGTCAAACCGTACCCCATCCAATGGTCACCCTTGACCCTCCAACATGTAAAACGATTCAAATTTGGGAGAAAAAAAAAAAGGTAAACCGTAAAAATAATCTTGACAATGCAACAACGAAATATACTAAGAAAATTGTTTTATGATTCATATTCGTTAAAGCTCAAAGCTTGAGAATATAACAATGGAGGATACTAAGTTACCTTTGGGCCTTGAGATAGTCTAAACTAGGAGGCTCGGCCAGCCTCTCGAAAGGCACTTCCCTATGTAAATATACTATGATGTTTCTTTAGTAACATACTTACCTAAAAACCACATTAATAAAACTGGATAGCTGAACGAACCACGTTCTCGCCGACATGGCCACTATAACCACCACACAAATTTAAATAGTGCACAAAACATTTACTGGAAATAAAAAAGCAAGACATAACGTTGGCTGGATTTGGATATCTAACATGGGTCAACTCACCCAACCAGATAACATTACAGACAGTATGGCCAGGCCACCATAGCAGTAAAACGATAATAGACATAAATCTTCTGAAGAACGAAGATTTTGACGTATCTAATTTTAGAACGGTCTCATGCATTCTAGATAGATCATTCTATAATGTCTAGATGATCCGGTTCCAATATGGGATAAGAAGGTGCTAGAGGTTCAATTGCGTGGTAAGAACCAAACCAACACAACCAGTCGGTAACACAAACTAGACTAAATAATCTCAGGGGTGATCTAGCTAGTCCGACCAAGAAAACCTGCCCATTAGCAAAGGTTGTTTCAGTAGAAATTGAACTATTGGAGCGAGTTTACGTCTTTCCTTAGACAACTACCACTAGGCCACCACAAACACACAAAGTGGGCAACACTATTGATTTTTCACTCTATAAAATAGCACAAAGAATGTAAAGTTAATAGCAAGCTACATATTTTGAACCACTCTCCTAATATTTTCCTTAACACAAGAACAATGGAAAACCATCTTCAAGGTCCCGTAACCGTTTACCCTAAACCTAATCCAACCAAAGAAGAAGAAGAAGAAGTTGAAGAAGAGGCGAGCTTGCTAGCGAGGAGGCTCTCGAATGGAGTTGCCTTGCCCATGGTTCTCAAAGCAGCTTTGGAGCTCGGCATCATCGACACCATGGTCAACGTAGGCGACAGCTTGTGGCTCTCACCTTCTGAGATTGCACTAAGACTCCCAACCAAACCGAGCAACCCGGAAGCTCCAGTTTTGCTAGACCGGATGCTGCGGTTTCTCGCTAGCTACTCGGTCTTTAAATGCCATTCCGTTGTATCAGAAGAGACTGGTCACACCGGAATCGTCAAGAGGGTATATGCAGCAGAACCGGTTTGCAAATTTCTCTTGAACAATCGTGACGTCTCGGGTTCTTTTGCGTCTATGTTCATGCTTAACCTTAGCGACGTCTATATCAAGTCTTGGTATATTGATTATTATACGCATCTTAACACACACAAAAAAAAAAAAACAAATAGTTAACTCTTCAAATACATTAAGGTGACCTTTTCACTAAACCTTAATGTTTACATTTATACACTCGGTGAGCAATTAAGGTTTTTTGGTTTCATAGGACAAATCTCAAAGATGTGGTATTAGAAGGAAGAGATGCATTTAGTTCTGCCCATGGAATGAAAGTATTCGAATACATCCAAATTGATGAGCAATTTAGTAAAATATTAAACCGGGCTATGTTGGAATCTTCCACCATAATTATGGAGAAAGTTCTGAGAGTTTACAAAGGATTCACAGATGTGAAGACTTTGGTGGATGTAGGGGGAGGACTTGGTCAAACACTACGTCTCATCACTTCCAAGTATCCTCATCTTATTGGTATCAATTTCGATTTAGCTCCGGTGTTAGCCAATGCTCCTTCTTATCCCGGTATGAATGATCATGTGATTATATAAATTCTTAACATGATATGTACATATATCAGAAAAATACCAAATAGCAGTTTTTGGAAAAATCATCCCTACTAGTATAAGTTCATTTTTTTACAATGATTAAAGTTTTTATGTTATTATTAATAAAGCAATGTTGAATGCTATGTTTTTCCCATATTTTATGTATAATAACGATGCTAATAGTAGAATTTGACATCAAATAAGTTTCAGGTGTAAACCATGTGGCGGGAGATATGTTCGTAAAGATTCCAAAGGCTGATGCCATTTTCATGAAGGTAACGTTCTATAAAATATCTCAACAAATAAAGAAAGTAAAATATGAATATCGAAGTTTATAAGCATCGTCATAATCTCGAATCATAACAGTGGATACTACATGATTGGACGGACGAACAATGCGTACAAATACTTGAAAACAGTTGGAAAAGTCTTGAAGAAAATGGTAAACTGATAATAGTGGAAATGGTTACACCAGTAGAAGCAATGAGCAGAGATGTATGTTCCAACATTGTGTTTGGTATGGACATGACAATGTTAACACAATGTTCGGGTGGTAAAGAGAGATCTCTTTCTGAGTATGAAACTTTGGCACATGCATCGGGATTTTCTCGTTGCGAAATCGTATGTCCCGCTTATCCTTTCTCCGTCATCGAAATCTATAAATAGCATTCAACAGTTGCAAGTAAACCACTAAATTAAACATTAAAACCCCATGTATGTTTTTTCCCCCCTCTTTTTCGTTACTTGGTATTGTATAATGGTTTGTTTTTCTATTTTATCATTGTGGTTGTTTTTTTTAATGTACGTTGAGTACTAATAACTACATTCGGTGGGAAATGGTTTTCACACGAGATTGTAATATGTAAATATGTAATGGATAGATTAAACTTTACGAATTATTATTTGTTGTTTTATGAGATTTAATTAAACTTATAACACGACCGTTTTTGCTCATACCCACTAGACTTGGGTACAAACGGATATTCGGGCAATTTGTGAAATAATGATCAAAGATTATATTTCAGATGATCAGCAGAAAAATGAACACAAAACATTAAAAAACAAAATGTGACACATCCCGTTTCTGAAAAGTAAAAATATAACGAAGTATAATTTTGCATTTAGATCTTATAAAAATACTATTAAAACATATAAAATAACATGTAGTATCTTTCTAAGCATGTACGAGTTGCTTTAGGAAATTTGAACTAATTTTTAACATATATCACAATTTAATTATACCAGCGCACATTAATTAGATTAATAATCTTTATGATTTCAAAATTGCATCACGTGTGTCTCAAGAAAATACACCAAACTTAAACATAATGATATATACTAGATTGTAATCGTACTAGATTGTAATCCGCGAGAAAACCCTGTACACATGGCCTGATGGACTGTTTCTTATGACATTAATTGGACCTTTAATGTGTGTTCTAATACATCTCTCTAAACCTTAATGTTCTAGTGTGTGTACTCAATTTCACATCTCAAAGATGTGGTATTAGAAGGAATAGATGCATTTAGTTCCGCTCATGGGATGAAACTATTCGAATACAAAAAATATAAAAATACAAAATAGTATCATGATTTAGGGATTCTAGGAGATAAAAACTTAGGTACTTTTTATCGTTATGTTACAAAAGTTCGAATCTTGGAACACAATTTAGGGGCCGGTAAGAGAATATGATGTCAAGGTTAACCAAAACCTCCACATCACATAGGAACATCTGGATCCAACCTTCTCTGTATAGCTGCTGCACCCTGCATGTGTTTCGAAAACGTTACATAAACAATGAATTTGAAAATGAATGTGAGAATGGTCCAAAACACTGAAAATATTAAGGCTTTTGTATCGAACCTCCATGTCCCCTATCTTGTATAAGTACACCATTTCTTCCTTCAGGCGAGCTTGCTCTTTCATGGCTTGTGCCTGCCATTGATTTATTATAAGTCAATCACATAGGATTTGTGCAAGCAAGCAGATAAATGGCAAAGAATTCAAACAAGACACTGACCATTCCGCCTTCCATTGATCGCTTTAGAGCTAAAACTTCTTCTTCCTTCTGCTTTTCGCGTAATTCCTGCATTTCTAGCCTGAAACAAGCACAAAAACACATGCCTTTTAAGCAACTCATCTAACAGTATTACTATAATTTATTGACAGCTGATATAAATTAAGAATATTTGGTTACCTGCGTTGTTCCTCATCATTGAACACAGTACGCTCACTAATCCCTGCTTTCTTTAATCCCTTTTTCATCTCTTTTTCCAACTTTTGTCTGTAGTACCCATCAATGTCATAGTATCTGCAAAAAGATCAGATCTTGATCAACAACAAATCTCGACCATAAGTGTTCAACAAAATTAATACATCCACACAAGAAAGAAGCTCACTTTTTCGAGGTAAATGTACCAGTGTTGTGATCTTCCATAAAACTGTGAAAACAACATCAATCGCACATAACATTTATCAGAAACCAGAGCATAATCTGAACACAAACTTTGGAGATTAAATCTGAACATATATCAAAGTACATACTCTTTAAACATTTTCTTCTCTTCCCAAGGTGGCAAGCTTTCCAAGTTAACCTATTAAAGCGAGAGAGATAACCAAAATCAAGTCGAGGGTGCCAAAAACAGAGCTAAGTCAATTTGAGTTCCAAAGCAGAATAGGATCATATAAGGCTATAAAATTACCTCTTTTACTTCAAGCAACCATGCCGTGAACTCTGGTCGTTTATTCCTACACATGAGTGATCACTTTTCAATATCTAATGTATAAAAATCCAGGGCAGTGATCAACACATTTCTCGACTGAAATCTCCACAAAGGCTCAACATTTTAATGCTAAAATCACACCTAAGAGCTCAAGTTCTTCCAAAAATGAGGTAAACTGAAAACTAAGAGACAGTAAACTTTACCACATATCAGTTTCTCTGATGATTCCATACTTCCCCCATGATTCAGTGACAGCTCCTTTCTTCACTTTCTCAGACTTCTTCTTCTTCTTCTTCTTATCCTTCTTCTTCCTATCTCCATCTTTATCAGACTTCTTCCTCTTCTTCTTGTCTTTCTCTCTTCTCCTTCTCTTCCTCTCTCTCTCTTCCCTTTCTCTTCTCTTCCTCTTCCTCCTCCTTCTCTCATCTTCACTCTCACTCTCCTCAGAGTCAGAATACTCCGACGAATAATCCGATTCTGATTCTGATTCCGAATCCGAACTACTACTCGAATAATCACGCCGTCTTCTCCTAGATTTCCGATCTGATTTCCTCTTCCCTCTATCTTTTCTACTTCTACGTCTCTCTTCCTTATCCGATTCAGACTCGCTACCACTTTCCAAACCAGATTCAGAACCGGAACCTTTGCCATCTTTTGTTCTCCTCTTCGATTCACGGCGGCGACTCACATCTTTCTCTTCCCCTGAATCCTTTCCAGCACCGCTCGGTTTCTCCCGGGATGATTTTTCCCTATAGCCTCTATCCTCCACGTCGCGTTCCGTATTCGCCGGCGGAGAGCCGTCGTGGTCTCTTCCCATTTCCACTAAATCGCCGGCGAGTAGTAAACTTGGCCCTAGATCGAAAGGCCGTGATGAACCGTTACTAATCCAACAGCCGTGCGAATAATAGAACTTAAAAATTAAATTGGGCCATAATATAGCCCATTAATTAGAATATTGTTATGGGTATAGGAATATAAAGCCCAACGTGTGAAGGAATAAAACAATTTTTTTTTTGTTTTTTTGTTGGACTTTAAAGGAATAAAACAATTTTGGGATCGAATTGGTGAAAAGTTCAAAATCATTTTTTTCTAAAAAATATATGTGATTTCACAAAAAAATCATTAAAAAAAGTTTTATTTATTATATAAAAGAGATATAAAACGATTGGAAAATGCTGATGATTCAAGGTTTAACTTTAATTTGATCCATAGGTATATACTTGTTTGTGATTTTTGTGGAATGGAACTAGAAACAAATATAAAACTTAATCTAACTTTTTAATCAGAATACTTAAAAAAGGATTAGAATGGTTTCACTGAGATGATATTTTAAGTTGGTTGCACTTGGTAAAACAGTTATTTATGCTGTTTGTAACAAATTAGTTTTGAGTAGCTTCTTAAAATTTAAAAATGTTATGGAACAATTCAGTTATTATCACTTATAATTTTAAAATTTTCTGGTTTATTTTCAGAAAATTTGTTTTTTATATATATATAATCTGATTAATTATTTTATTTTTAAAAAAATATTGGTTTGGTTTAAAGGTTAAAGAGGAAGAAGAACAAGTATCATCAATCATTATCGTGGTGGTCACTAACATCAACTTCATTATTATCGATTCATCATAACATAAGAAGCCTCTCTCTACTTCGTATCGCTGAGATCTCTCTCCTTACGCCTCCTCCTTCGCTACTTTCGTGTTTTGTTTGCAATCGCCGTCTCCGGTACGGTACGTTCTCTTCCTGCTACTTTGATCAGAATCCTTCCTGTTTCTGGATTTAGGACAATAAATTTAGGGTTTTAATCCTTTTTTTTGGTTTCTCTCAGATTACTGGAATGAAATTTATCGTTAATGGTTGGATTGGAATCGTAAATGTAGTGTCTTGAAATCCTAATTTTGAAGATTTTTCAATCCACAAAGATCAGATTTTTGCATTGTGATTTCGACTCTGTTTGATGGGTTTTGGAGCATTAGTGAAATCAGATCAATCAATGGCTTTATTCTTAACATTTTGACTTGGGTGTTCATATAATTCTGAGTTAGATGATGATTCACAGAATTCATAATAGAGTTTTGTATGTATGACTGTTAAAAAGTTCTGTGCTTTAGTCTAAATGACATGACTTTATTGTGTGTGTTTACTCTGATTTCAGGATCTTACTACAATATCATGGAAGGGAACTTCTTCAGGTTTGATGCACAACGAGCAAATGGTGATGGGTTTGTACTGACACAAAAGCCGAGCCTCAGCACGGTTCCAACGGAAGTTAACTCTGAGGAAAGTGGGTGTTTTGATTGCAACATCTGTTTAGAGACTGCACATGATCCGGTTGTGACTCTTTGTGGTCATCTTTTTTGCTGGCCTTGCATCTACAGATGGTTAGATGTGCAGAAATCATCTTCACTCTCAATTATTCAGCAGCAAAACTGTCCTGTTTGCAAATCTAACATCTCGATTGGTTCGTTGGTTCCTCTTTACGGAAGAGGCATGTCTTCTTCATCTTCTTCTGAAGCTATACCTCAAAGACCCGCTTCATCCCCTTTGAACAATCTGATCAGTTCAACTTCGTCTCTCAACCCGAGCTTGCAACATCGCCTTCAGGCTCAGTCTCCTCGTCATTATGGTGGCTTCACTGCGACAGAATCATCAAATGATCTTGCAAATGCAGTCATGATGAGTTTCTTGTACCCGGTTATTGGAATGTTTGGGGACATGGTGCATACGAGGATATTTGGAACGTTTACAAACACTTTGGCTCATCCTTACCGAAACTCCCGACTCATCAATGGGAACAACAGCCAGAGGATGATGCAGCTAGAGAAGTCTCTACATCGGGTATCCATCTTCTTCCTTTGCTGCATTCTCCTCTGTCTCTTTTTGTTCTGAGTCAGTTCTTGTTTGTTCTTCTAGCTCTCGTTTTTTTGTACAGTATGTGATGATTTAAATAGCTTTGCTTGGTCTTGAGCTGTATAAGCCATTGTTTGTCCCTGTTGTATTTGCCTAAAACTATCCATACATTTATACATACAGTTGTGCATGTATCTCCTCGGCTTGAACTATATGTATGCTCCAGAAACAGATATATGATATGTATGGATGATGATATGTATGAGCATGTGTCATTTTTCAAATTGTGTCTTAGGAAATACTCAAATACATGGTAAACATCAAACAATGTCTCAGTGTACATCTAAACATTTCGAAAGACAAATAAAGAGCTGTATTTGCCAGAGAATTGGGAGTTTAAACATGAGGATAATTAGATAACCAGTGTACATCTTCCAATACATACGTTACTCTCACGCCAACGTTATGGCAAATCGATAAAATGATGATGGTGATGTTAGTGACGACCACGATAATGATTGATGACTTGTTCTGCTTCTTCTCGTACCCTATTGATAAATTAATCAAAATTATATCAAACAAAACCAGAAGGAAAAACAAAACAAAAACATTTTTAAATTAAAATTGATAACTAAATCTCTAAATTGTTCCATTACATGGTATTTTTCTTAATTTAAGAAGCTACTCAAAACTGATGGTAAATTTTTTTAATTTGTTACAAACAGCATAAAGAACTGTTATAGCAAATCATAATTTACACTCATAGTCTCTGTCAACAACATAACCTTTCTGGTTTCCAAAGTCAACCAACTTAGAATAAAATCTCAGTAGTTCCATGTGTATCCAACTATGTTCCTCCGTCGTCTTTTCTTCTTTGAACTTGTTTCTTCTTCTTCCTCTTCATCTACCTCCTTGTTCTTCTTACTCTTCTTCTTCTTCTTTCGAGAAGATTCTTTCGATTTCCTACCGCCAGGAGTATCTACTATCGGAGTAATGTCACCGTTTGTCAAATTCCCTCTTGGGAACGAACCTTCTTCATCTTCTTCAAGCTCCCAGTTGCAGAAGAGCCCCCCATTGCTTTTTCCGTCACTAGGCAATGGCTCTCCTGCTCCAGGAAGCAAACTGCTGAAAGTGACGTCCCCGTTTTTTCCTCCTTTCCGCTCTGACAGGATCCGGTCGGGTCTGATTATTGTCCCGAGAATGCTTCGGTTTGGTCCTAAAGCTGGGATCACTTTTGTGTTTGTTAAAGTAGATAATGCCATTGAAAAGGCTGATCGAATCTGCATATAAAGAAGCCCTCTCTAGTCAGTATATATATAGCCATCTTGAAAGTATTTACTGTGTTGATAAACTAGACAAGTGAATAGAACCTGAAAGTAGTTGAATGAGCTCTTCCCAATGTCATTATCTGGTGTCTGATTACACAACAAAAACAAATAAACCAAATTAATCTTTTCTCACATGCATTCTAAGTTTCTTGTTTATACAAAACCAAAGCTCGAAGCTAACCTGTGGATCCTCGATAGAGATGAGCCCAGGCCGGGCCATGTTCAGGAAACTGGAGAGACAAAAACGAAAATAAAGACAACATATGAATGTCAACAAAAACGAAAAGTAGAGGTAGACGAGACTTATGTAAATAAAACCTCCAATGTCAGTTAGTTTACTTACCCTTTGTTGCTCTTAGAAAAGAAAGAACCTCCCTTTTTGCAAGATACACCAACATCTGAGGTGTTCAACTTTCGCCCGTAAAAATCAAAGAATTTTACCTACATTAAGGAAAAGGATAAATTTTAGCCAACAAATGAAGCCATGCAAATTAAAGTTTTCAGTCACAGTGACAAAAGTATACCAATAGAACTCCCAAGTTATGCTCAGGTGCGCTTCGACCATCCTTGAGGTACTGTTTCATAGAAGAACAAGGATAAAGAATGTCCGATTTAGAGATTCTAATTCTTAAAGTGAAATATCTGGTAATGTGAAATTAAAGTAATCACTTCTACCTTGAGAAATGCAATAAGCATTGCAAGAAGTGCATATGAGCCAATTCCACCACTGTACACCTGAACAAAAACATTAAAGACAATTTTTCAATGTTTGGTATGGTGAAGAAGGAAGACATATTAAATCAAGCAGACTATCATGTCCAGACCTCATTAAGTTCTCTCTGCTGTAGAAATACTTTCAGAATTAAACATAATGGCCGTAGAGGAGGTAACTTTGATACTGCATCCTACAAAATAATCAGAGACTTGTAGTAAGATTACACAGATCAACATGATAGGCTGCTAAAGAGTATTATTCAGCTGAAGAATCCCAAAGTTCATGCGATCTATCTGAAGTAACAAAATGTACTACCAGTCTATCACAAACCTGTATAAACTCAGCAGCCTTTGGTCCATTGTCCATATCAAAACTGCAAAGCCAGTGACATACTTAATACTAGCTAAATCATATACTCTATTCACAAATAAAAATTCATTTAAGAACTCAACTAGTGTTTTGATTACAATTTATTGAAGAAAAAAGAGGACTGAAACTAAAAGAGAAGCTAGTTGGGGAAACTGGGAAGATAAAGAACCTTAGATCAAAAGCAATGTTGCTTTTCTTCTCAACAAACTTGATAATTGGTACACGAGCCTTAGCAATCACCTAAACAATTAGAGAGCTAATTATACAACATGATCGCTCTGAGATACTGCCATATAATAATAATATTAAAAAGTCAAAATACCTGGATATTCTTTGCAATTCCCCTTTGTGACAATGCCCTGGAGAGTGCGCGTAAACCTAGTTGTGGATTTGTGAGACCTGATTCCAAAATCACCACCTATATATACAGCAAAAGGAATAAAATTTAGAAATGAAGGTCTTTTCAAACACTAGTCGTCTATACAGTCATTACCGTCTAAGTATCAAAACAATATTATAATAACTCATATAGATATAACTCAAAATGGATGTGGAGGTAAACATTGTGCTAAACTCTAATTGTACCACAGAGTCAATCAAAGAAAAGTGGTGTTGAACACTTACATCTATATCACTTGTTGGAAGATACAGCCCTGTCCTGTATGACCCAAAAATCTCAACCTGCAACAGGAGAATAAGCAAGAATTAGAAATTGCAGTTTTTCAAATCAAACAATACTCATAAGAGAGATTGAAGTTTCGAAAGTTTGTACCTTGCAACTCGGCCAGATATACGTAATAACACTTGAGACACTCTCCACAGCTGCATCACGCTCAGCTTTCTCCGCTTGTGTTGGTAACAGGAAATCGCTGAAATCTACAATTTCTGCAATGAAATCCAAATCAAAGCTTATCAACAAGTTTCTTGTGCGGATGCAACACCAAAAGGAAATCTCAAATACCAAATCCAGCTACTAGCTCACTTTTAACAACTCAATCGATTTAACAAGAACCTAACATCAATTAACATATCAAAGAAGCTTCTCAACAAGTTTTAACAACAAAAGAGCAACAATGTCGAAAGCAATCGAAATAACAAGAACCATCAAAGATTCAAACTTCAGAACCATCAAATATTCAAACTTCAGAACCATTAAAGATTCAAACTTTGAATGATATTGAGCTCATTACCTTTATGCAACTGAAGCATTGGGATCTTAGAAAAACTATTCTCACTAAACCAGTTACTCTCCAATCTGGGTTGCCCAGCTTCTTCATCTTTCTTCCTCTTTTTACTCTTCTTCTTCGACGACGCCGCCACCACCACCGGCGTCACAGGTTCGACGCCGTTCTCATTAGTCTCGCCATCAACGTCCAGTGAGAAGAAATCAATCGTAGCTGATTCCACCGGGGCTGTATCGTCCTTGAAATCTGAAATCTCTTTGCGGAAAACAGAGTATTGGTGCGGTTCGTCATAAATTGGCGGAGATTGATTCGAATCAGAGAAACAGAGTGGTGTAAGTGTATCGTATACGAAAGCTGGAGCTTCCGTCTTAGCAGGAGTCTCCTCCATTGGAGATTGACGGAAGCTAAAACTTTGGGGTTTAGGGTTTCGAAGCCGCCGGGGAGGAGCTTACAAAACTTAAAAAGTTAATAGTAATTGTCGGAATCGGAAACAAAGAATTAATTAATAATTCAGAAAAGGAAAAATATAATATAGTTTTCAAAAATGTAAAAAAAATTAATGTTTACTGAAGCTTTTGAGTCGTTTTTTTAAAACAAAATTTGTATGTTTTGATTTTAAAATATTTCAATCTAATATTAGTAGAGGAAATATGAAGAATAGTGTTGCTTTTACAAAGTTTACAGTTTTCAATGTTAAATTATTCCAATTATTACATCTATGTACTAAGAAGAGTACATGTTCATCTGTTTAATTTTCTACTGAAATTAATCCTATATATCCAACTAAACCCAATCCTCACTCAGCTTAACTTAGTAGGTATATATATATCTCACTGACTCACTCTCGTCTCACTGGCAATGAAGACGATCTGGAGAGTGGTTCCATAGGTTCTGATCTCAACTCTGTGGTTGTTGGTGAAGAAATGGAGAGCCAAGGTCGAAGAAGAGGTGTTCCAACTCTACTTGAAGATTCATTAGGTACACAATCATCACTACGAGGTTGGATTGGTTGCATTTCAACCTCAATACCATGTTCTTGTTGCTGTTGTAGAGAAGATTCGGTAACATCAAGAACTTGATGATCATATTCTTCGATAGATGCAACCGTGCTCGTTTCTGTTCTAACAGTCGAATCATCGCCATATATCCCGTGCCTTCTTTTCTTTCTGGTTGCTTTTCCCCAACCGCGAATTGTCTCTCTTATCCTCTGAGGTATTAGAGCTGCTTTATAGTTCGTTCCCATCTGCAATCAAAAACAATATTCGCATTATATGTCTAAAGAAGTTTACGAAAGCTTTCAAAAGTCGAAACCAGCAACGGATTTTTCTTAAATTACCTGAGTGACTAGTGCATAAAGTGGTAGTGTGCTGTAACTGCATAGAAACTGTCCAGCAAAGCTACAAAGTGGAAATGAATTATATTACACTATAAGGTAAATGTACAACAGCCTAGAGCTAAATCAGTTCGAAGAAAGAAGGTTCGATTACCCTAAAAGAAGTCTGAAGTAAACGAGGTAATGATTCTTGAGGAAGCAAGAGCTGTACCCAAACTGCCACTGGAGAGAAGTATTAAGAACAAATGTATTTGTAAGTTCCAAACCAAAATCTTAAGTCCGAGAAAAGTATATCAAATATAAGGTCAAGTGTTGTACCCAAAACCAAAAGAACGAAGCCAGTTCAAAAGAGTTCTGTTGGAAAATGATATCAAATAGCTATTAGTTTTACCGAGACCGAGTAATTGGTTCGATGCAAAGGAGGTTAGTAAAGATATTTTGTAAACCTGGAACAGAATGAAGTGGATTAGGGACAAGAGTAGCTCTGGTTTATTGAACCAGAAAAGTTCATCACGAGGTCTCAGCTTCACTCCGGAAGGATATTCAGTTAAACCAGCATTCTCCAATGCCAAAGTTGCTATTACATGTTGCAACTTGGCACCAACCAGAAGAACAAGCTGAAAGAATGGGAATGAACAAAATTTACTAAGCTGTATGATGTTTACAAACGCGGTACAAGAAAGCTAGGAATGCTCAAAATGTAGTTCTTACAGTAACAGGAATTATCGCTATCCAAAAATAGAGATTCGATCCTGCAGTAACAAAAGCCAAGATTTAAAAAATGAATCTTATGATATGAAGATTTCTCACAATGATCATCAGTCTTTTGGTTTTGGTGATCATACCTTTTATGTTAAAGAGCATGAAAGCAACTACGAACCCCCAAAGCGGCCCACTGTAATAGATCATTGAAGCATAAGTTGTTCAGTCATCTATTCATATTGGATATACCAGATAGTGTTTCTACAGGCTAAGGTAGCTCACCTCACACCAACAATCTTTTGGAACTCTTCTTCCATAGAACGGATCATATAGCTGTGAAAATCGTACTTTAATGTGAGGTGATGATTCTGCTCATAAAAGAAGAAAAGGAAACAGTACCAATTATAAGTAAGTTAAAAGATGAGAGTTGTAACAGCAAAAGTTGACAAGGCATAGAGTATCCACCCACCACAATGAATCCCTTGCGAAGAGTAAGATAGTCAGAACGAACAACAGAACGACCAAATTGCCGGAAGAAACATATCTGCAAGCACAAAACAAAGACACATCAGTATATTGGAGCCAGTTATTCAAATACCAAAATGGTAAAAGAAAACTAATATTTGGAGTTGTCTTCCTATTTTCTAGAGAAAGAAGCTAGCAAAAACCAACCACCCATATAAGCAATCTATTCTTGGCCAGAGGAGCTGAAGAATGATACTGGACAAAAGTTGTTTGCCTTCGGAATGTTTTTTCCCGTGCCACAGCTGCCACAAACACACAAATACTCAATCTATTATTGAATAACCAAAGCCATGAACTTCATCTATGAGCAGAAACCTCATCATCATGCTAAAGAAACTTGTTACAACATTACAATTATGCCACTGTGAATGACTAGTAACAGCACTTCATCTGTGCACTCATTCTATAAAGGATCAGATGGAATATTTTTACGCCATCTTTGGAAGACCATGATAACCATTAAGCAGCTCACCAGTTAAGCAATCGTGTCGATCCATACGAGCTACATCTTCCCAGATCCTCCAACTATGAATCTAGATAGAGAAGCAAGCCAAACAAAGCTGTTAATAACAGAAGCTCTTCCCAAATCTAAACAGAGAAAAGAAGCACACTATCAAACACATAATGCACTGAAAAGAAAGAAACTACCTTGACGATTGCAAGAATCATGGTCAAGCAGCTGTAAGTGACATGTGTAACTGCCATTATAAAGATGAACCGATGCAACTGTTCAAGGCCTTCATATGAAACAAAAGGCTCATGCCCCTACGAGATTGAATTTTAGTTAGTCATCAAGAAATGACCAACCAGATTACTATTGCTAATGCTTAAAGATTTCGACCCTTTTGAGTTTGAACCTCGCTGCAAGTAGTCTCTTTTATGACACCCAACCTTCTCCTAAAGGTGCTGAAGAAGAGGGATTTCGTTAAGAGATTCCGCTTGACAGTTGAACCGCTTTCGAGCTCCTCTTGGATCTCGGATCGTGTACACGGAACAAATCTGTCATTGTAGAAACTTGAAGGCACACATATGTTGGCTATTGTACTAGAGGTAGCTGTTAGAACAAGTGATATGAAGCCAAGCAACATCAACTCTGTAAAAAAACACCAAAAACATATAAGAAACCAAAAACCATACACTAAAATGGACCATTTAGGAAGTTTGTGTTAATCATCAAAACCTTCTTTCATCTTTTCTAATGCAGCAAGCATTGGTTTCCTCTTTGTCTTCCTCAACCACTGTCACAAAAAACACAGAAGTAAGAAAGCTGATACAAATGATTCTCAAGAAGATCAAAATCACAAAGGAGGCTTTTACTCACAGTGCTAAGACGATAAATGGAGCGCTCAACGATCAAAGAAACAACAACGAAGACAGTCAAGACAATAGCAACAGACCAAGTAGGTGATAATGCCAAAGATCTCTCATTTGAATCTGCTTCATTACCATTTTCTTCTCCTTCTCCCATTTTTCTTATAAAAATCTGATTCTTCACACACAAACGAAACAAGTTCCTCTCTTCACCTAATATTCAACTGGAATTTGCACAAACGCAGAAAAGTTTCAAAATTTGAGAGGAAACTCAATAACAAAATCGTATTCCTTGATTCTACAAGTTTAAAAATCTAACCTTTAAAAACCCATCAAGCGTTCTTGGGGGTGTAACAATCCGAATCACAACAAAAACCCAGAAATTTTGTATCTCCTTTGCTAAGATTTGGTAGACTCCACGATATTTGGAAAAAAAGCTTAGAACTTTAAATCCACCGGAGATTCAAATTCAACCAGAAGCAGAGGAAAACACCATGAGATATAGAGAGGAATGAATACAAATTAGTAGTCTTTAAGAAACCAAACCACTGTAGAAATCAAAAGATGTTCTTCTGGTCTCACTTAGTTCATAACTTCTTCATGTGCAGACATGGTTCTGTGCAAAGTGAAATATAACTAAAAAAATTGTTATTTTAGATTTATTTTTGGAGCCGACCAAACTAAAATAACCCATTAATGTTGACAAGGAAACAAAAAAGAAAAGGTAAGGGCAGAGAGAAGGAAGATTCGACGACAGATACCGAAACAAACTTCTCCCACATGATCATCTGATGATACTCTTCACTTTCGTTATTTGTTCGTTTCTACTAATTTTTTTTGTGTTTTTTTTTTCTTTTTCTAAAGTGTTTATTTTATTTGCTTTCTCAAAACTCGAAAGTACTCGTTTAAAAAAGTTGATTAGCAAAATAATGACACGATTAAATAGGCTGTCTAGTATCCAGCTTCTTTTAGGAAACTTATTAGCTGGAAGCTACCTAAATGCAATTAAATGCATTGGGAGTATGAGAGAGAGGTCTTGAAACTCCCGTTTCTTTTTGTTAAATTCGTCATTATTAATTATTTAATATAAAAAATAGAATGATGCAATCGGTTTTGTAGACGATCGAGTGAGTGTGTGAGCGAGGCAGAGAACATGCGAATTCTCATGATAAATAAGAAACGAGAAAGAAAGAAAAAAAGCGAGAGAATCCGCAAGAGATTCCGAGGATGGCTCCACATTGGTCTTTACAGTTTCAAGATTTAAAAGCCATACGTGTGCGTGTGCATTCGCATACACACAAAACAAAATTATGATTGTTGTGTTTTTTCCTAATCATCTCGTTGCTCTAAAGATCTTGTAAACGGTGAAGGTAGATGTAATATCTTCTATCTCATTGGGCTCAACTTAGTTGTGATTAATATATCTATGGACTATGGTGAAGAGTTTTTTTTTGGGAAAAATATAAAAAAGCAAAAGTTATAAGAAATTTTTGTTTTTTGCATTTGAAGAGAGAGAAACTGACCGAATCAGAGGGTTTCCAAACGATGAGGAATTTGACTATTGAGTTATGCGTAAAGACACTCTGGCTTGAGTGGCTTTTATTGAAGAAGCTTCGGTCAAAAAGGTTATTGATACTTCCGTGTGCGAGTGTGACATGCAATCCAAATCATGTGGTCTGGATCAAAGGTTCTCAAATGGAAAAGGATATAGTGGTACGGTGTACATCAGATGATCATGTGTGTGATCCCTCTTACATTCTCTATTGGTTAGTACAAAACTCAGCTTACCTAAATATCTATATATCTGAAAAAAGGCTATATATATACGGACTGAAATAGGCATCTCGTGCTTGGTTCGAATAGTTTAGAATGGAGTCATTAGTTTGAAACAATTATGAATCGAAACACATATTGTTTCTCCTCTTTCTCTGTTTTGCATTAACAAACAACTACTTAGACAGCATTTGTTTTAGGAACTTCAAAATATAACTTAGTCGCTTGTTTGAATCGACCAGCAAATGGTTACAAGGACCACATACATGGGGGGGATATTTGTTCGTTTTTGGGGTTTTGTTACGCATCATAACAAAAAATCTTGTTATCATGAGGTCTGCAATACAAAAGCGTGTCCTTGATGGTCCAACTTTCTGGAAATCCAGCACATGTTCGTAAAATTCATTAAAATTAAAGAAGCCAAAAACTACATATGTATATATGACCATATTCAAACATTTGTACATGCTATTTCATGATATATATATATATATATTCTTTGTTTCCACGCCTTGGTATAGATTGTGTAAGCAAATGACAAGAGAAACAATATAATTAATGTCCTCCAAGGCTGAGTTTCTGAATCATTAAATTTTTTATATAGGTTCTGAATCTTTTGATACATCATCATTGTATACGTTTTGGACAACCTAGTTACCGAATCGTCTGCTCTTTTTGACTTGCCCCTCACATCACATGTACGAAGTTAGTAAGAATCTAACATTCAGAAAGTGTACAAGTTAGAAACGACTCATGTGTATGATTTTTTACTTTCAAATTATCTTTTATAGTATAGAAATGCAAACACAAAAGGCATACATAAATTTTCGTTTTGGTTTTTTTAGTTGAAATATTTTGTTACAAAATTACTATAGATGTTTTAACTAAACTTAAGAAAGAAAAAAAAAGAAACAAAATCACTCTCTACTCGACAATGCAATACATAGATAGAACCAACTTGCGCTTAAAAAAGAAGTCAATATCATTCCAACGTAACTATATATATGCATCGTTAATTCTCATTGAACACTAAAAGGATATTTATCGAATATGCCAATTTTTATATCATACAATTCATCCACGTACATTACCTAGCTAAGTCATACTTAAGTTTGTCTTAACCCTAAGATACATGTATATCACAATGTAATATATTGCTGTCACAAAGATGTGAAATCTTATATAGAGACGGCTTTCAATTATTCAAACAATTAACGCTCACTCTCTTATGAAGCAGTCGTCAGGCTTTCACACTCACAACGAGACAAAGACACACGAGACACACATTTACAAACATATTGTACCAAACGAAATGGACGATATCTATTTAATATCACGTGGTATTTTGACCACCAGCGTTATTTAGCTGCAAGCTGTCTAAATTAATCATTGACTGGCCCAAATCTATAAAACCAAATCTCAGGGCCATACTTTTTCAACTTTTGTACTAGTCAACTGGAGTTTCTACAGTACATTTACAGAGAGAATCAATCTTTCCTTTTCTTCCACCACCAATATGTTACATTGTTACAACTTTTTTGGACACCAAGTATAACAACAATGGATTTTAAGTAATTCGATTTAGAAGTCGTGAGCCTCACCAAGTTTTGGTTTCTTTATGTTCTAGACGTGAAACCCATAATTTCATCCAATATACGTACGTGCTCTAACTATGACCTAGCTATACATTTTTCTTTGTTGTATGCAATTCAAATCATGAAAAAAATGAACTGAAATGGTCATCATTAGATCCGAAGATCAACAAAAACTAAAAACCATAAAGTTATATAGAAAAGCCGAAATGTTTACAAGGATTTAGTCTTATGGTCTATTGCACCAAAAGAAAAATCTAATTAAAAACAGCAATTCTAGTTGCTATGTTTCAATAATTTCTAACAAAAACTTCAAAAATAAAAGCCTGAAGTATATATATATATATATAAGATGATCATTAGTTATGATTATGATCACCATCCAAGAACTCCCTAAACAGTTTCAAAATATCAACAAAAGTAACCATACCAATCAAACAACCATCTTCATCAATCACCCACACATAACTCACTCTATGAGCAATCGCTTGTATCATCACTGCCATCAACGAACTCTTCCGGTTACACACTATCGCCACCGACTTCCTCGCCATCCTCGCCGCGTTACTAACCGACCTCCCATACGACGACGTTCTAGTCCTCCCTGCCGGAGACTCTTCATCCGAGGAAGACCCCGAAAACGAAGACAAAGAATCAATGAGTGAGATCAATCCAGCCATCCTTTTATCTTCCAAACGATTCCTAACTACACCGACAAGGCTCTCCGGCGGACCACTACCGTCGATATACGTCATTAAGTCTCCGGCCGAGAGTGTAGCAACCGCTGCTGCAGCTGTTTCGTCGCAGCAAGCTAGTGTCATCGGAGATATCTCTCCTATCAAAGCTATACGTGAATCTTCTTCTTGATCACATCCTTTATCAACCACAGCGACAGAGACATTGTCCAAGATTGCACGAGAGATGACGGAGACAGCACAAGCAGCAGAGGAGTGATAATCAACGGCGAGAATATTGTGTGTACTGTTGATAACACCGAGATCGGAGATAGAAAGAGACGGTAACGGAGAGAAGACACTAATGGAATCGAGAAGGAATCGGATTATGTCTTCTTGTGTGATCCAGCAGAATTGTAGGCTATTCTTGTGAGTCGTTGAGGTTGTGGTGGAGAGTGAAACGACAACGTTTCGGTTCAGAAGTTTTTGTTGTTGTCTTCTCTTCGTGATTGATCTTGTCTGAATCGGAACAATCAGATTCTGTGCTCCTTGTATGATCAAATCAATAGCTTCGACCAATCTAAATCAAAAAGATTAAATTTTTAATCTCCACGAACCATAAAAAACAGAGCTTTAAAGAAACCCAAAAATGATTTGTCACCATACTTGCAAGAAGATTGAACATGGACGACGAGGGGACGAGATTTAGGGATGAGAACAGAGACAGATGCGTCGAAAGCAGAGGAAAGAGACAAAACATTGCTGTCGAATTTTGATAGGTAACAGATTACATCAGCCATACAGATCTTACCCAAACACTCGCACTTGTCGATACCATCTGTTTTCTCATCGTCGTGGTTACAGCTCCAGACGGTGAGAAATGGTTCGTCAGAGGATTTGAGTGCGGCGATGGCGTCAGCTACGGTGGCTGTGGCGACGGATAGACACCGTAGAGGTGGTTTACCGATACAGAGATCAGATACCTCGTGCGACAAAATGGCTAATGCCATCAAAAGAAAGATTGAGAATTTTTTTGGTATGTGAAGGAGAAGATGGAGAGATTGAGAGAGAGAGAGAGAGAGAGAGAGAGAGAGAGAGAGAGAGAACAGAGGAAGGAGGAGAGTAGTTATAAAGAGGAAGAAGAGATATAGATACATTAACACAAAAAACTACTTGGTTCTATGGTTGTGTACAGATAGATTATTTTTACCTTTTTTTGTCTGTTGTGTTTAATTATTATTTTTTACTATAATGTTTGGAATTTTAAGTTTAATGTATACAAATACAAATTCTGACTAAGAACATTTTTAGTGATTTGTTTTATTCTTGTTTTGCATATTCATCCAAATCCAATATTAGTATTGAACAGTGAAATGAGAGATAAGATTAATCTAATACAATGTGCTTAGAATATTCTTTTGTTTTTTGGTTGTGTCCTTCTCTCATAGGTTATAATTAAAATGGAAATTTTGAAATGAATAAAGAGGTAAAGATGCATGAAATGAAAAGATGAATATATAAGTTTTAGAAGAATATTACATTCCATTTATTCTTTTAAATTATAGCTGATCAGGGAATATCTCTTGTTCTTAATTTTGGTTTATAATTGTTCATTTTTTTTTGTCAACAACACACATTTTAATGTTTTATATTTACATTTCATTGTACAGAGTCAAATCTAAGAAATATAAAACTGACTTACATTGTTTTTTCTATTAAAAAAAATCTTATAAACACCATTTTTATATCCTAGTTACAAAATGAAAAAGGTTAAACCACTAATTATTTAGTATTTCATCTAAAATATATAATTAAGACTAATAATTGACGACATATAATCGTAACTGTTTTTTTTTTTTGGTTATATTATTTTACTTTGATAGATGAATTTATGTTTGCATCATACGAGACATTTTTTTTTATGTTGGGATGGCCAAAACTTAGTTCGATTGACCCAGCTAGACTCCAAATCAAAGCTTGGTTCAATGTAATCTCCAAACCTAAGATGGGAATTCGTTGTAGGAGGGATCATGATTCATGAATCACAGTGAACCGAGTTTGCCGGTTCAATGAAACCATGCAAGTGAACTCAAAATTGCGAAGCTCGCAGAGATCAACATCTAGCTCCTCTTAATGGGAAGACCCTAGAGATCGATGAGACATTCAAAATTTCTTAAGCCTCCTAACTCTAAGCTACAACTACTTCAACAATTTAAACATGCATGGATTAATTAGAAGACAGAACTCTCTTAATAATGTTTTATATACCAAACAAAACCAGCTCATACATATATATGACCCCAATGTTAACATTTAAATTAAAAATACAATATGACCTATGGTTTGTTGATAAGTATGATCCAACCACTTGTAAGTTACATATATAAAAGGTTCATACTCGATTGTTACGTTTGTATAAAAAATGATGAATTATATTTACTTTTTTGAAAGATACGATAACGAAAGATATCTGAAATAAATCTTATATGTTTTCCGTCATTCATATTATTGGTCTAGAGTCTCGAGAGACCCATGAAATGTATATACAACAACACTTATGTGATTGTGATATGTAATTAAAAAATAAAGCAAAAAGTATATTAAAATATTGTCGCTTTTTTAGTGATAATAATTACAAATGCAACTTTTGAAATTTTAATTTTACTTTCACTCTCCAACATGATGTCACCGGGTTGGACTAAATTGTCTTATGCGCTTTCAACGTTTATCATGCTCTTTATGTCAAAAATGTTCTCAAGCCAATACATACGTTCACTTTATTTTCAAGATTTAAAAACCTAATCTCATGATCTTTAGATCTTAATTTGTTTTATTGTTAAGCAAAAAAAAGGATGTAAAAACAAAAGCCTAACTAATCAATTTGGCTTAGTACGCACGTACTCCCAGAAACAAGTTTGTATTATTTCATAACTTAATACCAACTTTTGTCTTCGTCATGTCGTTTGAAGTGAAACCTTAAAACGTCGTACGTCATGGAAACAAGTTGGCCAAGTTTCACAACATCTCGTTTTTGTGTTGTCTTTGCTACTTGCAAGTTATTATTTCAACTTTTTTTTAGGTAAGTAAGATTATTCTATAACACTATGACATAATTCACTTTTGCAAATTGCAGATAGAACCAAATTTTGTTGTGTCACACTGTGTGTCGTCTAGGTATTTACTACTAAACCAGACACACTATCCAATTTTTCTCTTAGAATGTTCGGTTTAGAATTTATATAGATACACCGCCCGGTTTAAAGCAAATAAGTTGAGAATGGGATTATGTAAATGAGTGGGCTTCGGCCCGTATCGTCTACTTTTAGGAGGGAACTCACATTACAAGAACACAAACATCCCACATCGCCATCTTGGAACTAAGACTTGTTGGATATATAACTTCGAGAGAGCAGCAATGGTCACGACCTTACTTGAACAGGATCTGTTCTATAGGCTTGTACCTCTGTATCCTTGATTTCTAAGGAGACAGGCTCTTAACCCTGGTTGATGAACCATGACCGTGCGATCAGAGCGTGATTAACGGCTACGATCGTTCTCGGACGTTTCCGGTGCTGTAGAGGATCGTTACTCGGCTAGGTTCTTCCTTGCCGGGGTGGTCGCACGGCGGTCTGACAGGTCCCTTTCCCTTTTGCTCCCTTCACAGCATATTTGACGAGATGGCCGAAGGTTTTTTTTTTTCAACACTTTTCTCAAGTTCTTTTGTATATTTCATTCAGATTTGAATAAGTTACAAAGAATTTATAGAGTAGCGAGAGTTACACTTGAGTCGTCCGTATGTTTTGATAACTTTTGAATAATAACATGGAAGTGTTACACTTTTACATATTGACTCACTCATGTTGTATCGGTTTGGAACAATAAGTCCAAACAAAAGAATTTACTGTTGACTCTTTACATTGTAAGTCTGTAATAAACAAACTTAATACAGGGCTAATAATCAGCAACCTTTTTATGTAGCATTTCAAATTATTTTGGATCGGAAATTTAAAAAAAACCTTTTGTAATAAGCTTAAACGATGTCTCCAGTTGATTATATGTTTTCTAAACTTAAAACCACAGTTTTACAAAACAGAGAAAGAGAGCCTCAAATAAAATTTTCGGTCAAGCTTAGGACTACGATGATCCTTAATGGGCTTTAGGTGATCCTTTAAGAAGCTCATATAAACCCATCAAATTCTTCCACACTGATTTGCTATATCCCACATCGCTTGCAAGGCTCAGGAACAGTAAGTAAACTCTAGTATATATAAAGACCTAGGAGCTGTTTCTCAAAACTCATGGAGCCGTGCAGTGAAGGCAAAGCGAACTATTCTTTCGCCTTTAACTAAAGAATACCGTGTCTTCTCTGTGCTAAACGGCATACGCCTAATTTTGGAAAGGTTTATTTACAAATAAACCTCCATCAATTCTTTAGTTTCAAAATTGCATTATCTTAACGGAGTACTATATCGTTTACTAATGGTCGGAACAAAACGCAGTGTTTGTAGTATTTACAGCACTTGTTGTTTTGGACTCTCATCTGAGAACGTATGAGAAATATATAAAAGAAACGAAGACATTTCGTTTTCTTGGATAACAAGATAAACTCATACGTTGGATCGAGAATGTGTGATTGCTTAAACATTGCGTGGATTTCAACGCATACATTTTAGAGTTTTAATGAATAAATAAAAGCTGTGAGATTAAGCAAGAAACTTGAATTTCTATATTATTTGTATATCTTAATTAAAACCTTGAACAAAGCAACAAACCAACAATTTGGAATTGAGAAAATTCTTCTATAAGCTTATAAAAAGGCCTAACGCCTAATTTATAACAGTGTGAATGATGGTCCGCTAGCTAATTTACTTGTGTGTAGGAGCTGCTGCGTTGATGCGAGAACATTCATTTTTGAGAAGAGGAGGGAAAAACGGATTTAGCGGAAAAATTCGTGGCCAGCATTTGGCATCGACAGCTGAGAACGCCTTGCAACACATTGGTCCGACATTACCAAACTTTCTTGTGACAACCGATTTGTAGATTTCACTTACGCAACCTTCAACGTTGACAAGTGATGACATACATTTTGTGAGATCGATGGGAGAACCTGGGAATTGTGGTGTTGTGTGTGCGGGTGCAGCTGCGCTGATGCGAGAGCACATATTCTTGAGAAGAGGAGGGAACAATGGATTCAATGGAAACATTTTTGGCCAACACTTTGCATCCACTTCTGTAAATGCTTTGCAGCATGTTGGTCCAACGTTTTCAAACTTTCCGGTTAAGGCAGATTTTAATATTTCGATATTGCAACCTTGAACGTTGAAGAGCGATGACCAACATTTTGTGAGATCAATTGGAGAACCAGGAATGGTGGGAAATCGAGGTGTCACAAGCACCTCGGCTCGCCCCGGTCTCAATAGAGTAGTAATGGCACACAGAGCCATGACTAGAAACACGGAGAAAGAAGCTTGATTTGTACCTTCCATTACGATGACTATATCTTGTATTTCTTCTTTTGCTATATAGAGAAGAGCAGGTTGTTTAAGATGGTTTAAGGAATCAGAAGAAAATCACTATTTATAGTGTAGCCTTATTACATAAATAAAGTTTACAGGGAGAGTTACACTTTATAAGTCGTCTGTTGTTACAACCATTCAATTAAATACATTGAACTAACTGTTATACTGTACGACCAGAGAATAACTTAAGTTAGGGAGGTTATAGTTTTACCAATGAACTCAAATATATAAGTCATTTAAATTAATGTTTATTTACATACATTTTAACGGATATATATATACATGTATTCATGATATTTGGTTATTTTTGGTAGCTTTATCTTTGAAGCTTCCCTAAAATTTTGATTCAGTCTTCATGTTATTACATATTACGTTGTTCACAGAGAACAAGAGAGACTTGAGACTAGTAGAACGATCATTGCATTATTTCAAGAAATATGCACCATGAAGAATCGTTGATCACGTCTATAAGTATATACCATATCCGCGGAATAAATAAAACCATGAAGGCTTTTTTTCTTACTGAATTGACTGAGACATCCCACATCGCTTGTAAGACTTAGGAACAGTCAGTGAAACTCTAGTATAAATAAAGAGCATAGAACTGGTTCCAAAGATTCACGGAGTCGAGCAGTGAAGACAAAGCAAACTATTCTTTCGCCTTTTACTAAAGAATACCGTGTCTTCTCTGTGCTATTCGGCATACGCCTATTTTTGGAAAGGTTTATTTAACAAATAAGCCTCCATCAAATCGATTAGTTTGAAATTATGTTAACAATATTTGTCTATCCAGATTTTACTAATGAGTCAATAACTAACGTTATGTGTGATCAACATTTTGAACAATTGCATCCGTAAGAGAGAAAAAGTCCTATTAAATATAGATTTTGATTACCCTGATAGAGCGACCTTTTGTGTTAAGGTTAGTATGTGTGAACAACCTCAGAAGGAAGCTATGGAGTCACTGAGAGAAAAGGAAGAATTGTTTTGAAAATACACAAAAAAAACAATAATTGTGTATGAATGACTGTTTTGCTTGTTCTAACAGGTTCTGTTTTCACTCATTTCTGATTTCTGCGTGTAATATAAGATTGTGAAGATGGCTTCGTTACTGCACATAATGCTCAGACGCAAAGATTAAGAACAAGAATGTGTCGCACTTGTTACTAAAAGTTTAACTCCATTGTTTTGTAACAAATGCCATACATATTTCGCAAATCACATTGGTTTCTTGACCAATTTTGAACGCTAAGTTAAGGATGGGCTTGGTATATGTAATTACGTGGGCCTTTCACCCAAATACCACTATAACACCATGCATGTCTTTTTTAGTTTTAATATGATTCTTTAAATTCGTCCCACATCGCTATTCTGAAGAACAATGTTTTTTGTATATATAACTTTGGGAGAGCAGCAATGGTCACGACCTTACTTGAACAGGATCTGTTCTATAGGCTCGTACCTCTGTATCCTTGATTTCTAAGGAGACAGGCCCTTAACCCTGGTTGATGAACCATGACCGTGCGATCAGAGCGTGATTAACGGCTACGATCGTCCTCGGATGCATCCGGTGCTGTAGAGGATCGTTACTCGGCTCGGTTCTACCTTGCCGGGGTGGTCGCGCGGCGGTCTGACAGGTCCTTTTTTTTTTTTCTCTTCACTCGTTTGCTTATTGTCAAGGATCCGTGTGGGCACAAAGCAGCTGCATTGACTCCATGGAAACATTTGTGGCCAACTCTTTGCATCCATATCCTAATTAAAACCTTTAGCAACGCCTAACTCCAACGTTAAGACATATTTGTATAGTTCCATTACGCAATCTTGAACATTTAAAAGTAGTGAACAACATTTTGTGAGATCCTAAACCACAAAGGTAGGGATTTGAAAAAATTAGCATTACCTTGCCAAAGGATGATTACATGCATAAATCAAGAAATAGTCCAATCTTTTTTTTTTGGTTCAATTTATGAAATACATTTTCTGTCACCCAAACAATTTTTTTTTGTGTTTCATTTTCTATCTCCCAAACCTTTGCATATTTTCCAAAAGGAAAAAAGTCATGTATATAGCCATTGACCCTTATTAAGAAACCATGTGAGTATTATGATCTTATAAATTATCTCTAGTTTTCTTGTTTCATGGTTTCATAGAGCGATGTAACGGAGATTCCAATTTGCATTAAAGTTCATTTCACTCCGCAACAAAACCGGTTCACATCATGCTGCCCCATTGGGTTGGCCCTCCAAAAAAGATAAATCCAAATTTTTGTATATTGCACACATAAACAAACTATATATATATACAATATTTTTGTAATTTTACACAGCTAAAATTTATCTACAACACAAAACTAAGATATATTTACCAATCAAGTTTTTCATTTTGAAGAATTCATTACCACAATTCTATATTGGGAAAAACTATAGCTACAACTTTAACCAAATATTGGTCCATATATCATATTTTAACATGAATGTTCTAAAGTTAAACTCTTCTGCATTTTTATATTTAGGTTACAAGACTTAAAGTCTTATTATCAACCGTAGACCTTGTAACGTTTGTCTCGTATACTTAGTTCATAAAAAAATATATAAATTCACATTTTTCGTGAAAACACAAAACTTTTGAGAAAAATTCAACAAAAAGTGACTTTTAAATACCCAAAGAAATTATCGAAAAGCAAAGTATCTTTTTCACACTTTCATTGTTTGAATAGCTAAACCATAAAAAGTTAGGTCCAAAGCAAGAACATTATGATGATGAACAAATTTTCAGAAAGTATTTCAAAAGTAATGAAGAACATTATTAATCTCGCACTAGCTACCAAAGTCCATATGGGGTCTTTTTTTACAAGTAGTTTATTCATAAACCAAAAAGCATACTATAACAATATAACAAATATAATCCTTGAATAAATTAGTAAACTAATATGTCTTATTGTTTTCATTTTCTCCTTTTTCCAACTTCTGTGAGCCTAGAGGTCCCTACGCTTTTATCATACAATTGCATGCGTTGAGATTTGACAATATATATAGCAGAAGAGGCTTAAGTTAAAAATGAATTTTAGAGCTATAAAGCTTTCTTCATAAAACTTCTAGGGCTGATTAAAAACGGAAAAATATAGATATATTGATCCTCGACCAAGATCCATTCTTTTTTTTAATATACGAATCATCTCTTCTACTTAGTTTTTATAACACAAAAAATGTTATTGTGAAATCTAATGGAGATATTTGGATGCATATACACGAGTTGCTCTCTATCTTTTCCTTAGCGTAAAAGGAACGGCTACATAAAGACACAAAAAGCAATCCCCCCATGAAATGATTGAGATGCTTCCACGGTTTTTTTTTTTCCTTCTTTTTTTTTTCTCTATATTTTTAAATATTTCCTCACTATGGAAAAAGCCAATTATAGATTCCTCATGTCTTCCATGACATTAACACATTTTAGACGAATTTTTATAGTCTGTTATCCAATTGTATTCTTTTATTTACAATTTAGTAATTTACTCACTCACCATAATTCGCTTGGTGAAATTAATCCACTTACTTTAAAAAATCCATTAGTTTTCATAAATCCAAAAGAAGATTGTATGTTTATATTAATATAGGAAAATCAAACGAGTAAAAATACTATTCGATATATATTATTCTAGTATGATGCTCTTATTGATTTATATAATAGAATAGGTGTTATCCAATTGTTTTTTTTATGTGATTAAAAAGCTGCTTTTGTGGAAGGAAAAAATCTAAGCTTTTCATAGGATGAAACTTTTTAAAGCAATATGGAGGCGTTGATTCTTGTACGTTGATTTTTTTTTTTTATAGTATATGGTTTTATGTTTCCAAAAATAATAATACGTACGTACGTGGGTTGTCTTATGTAAATACGTACTACAAATCGACCAAATTAAAAATTTTATAACGCTCTAGGTTCCGACAAAAAGGATCTCCGCATGCATCTATGGTTCATTCACATATACCGTAAGGCTCGTTCTCTTTCTTGTTATATTCATATGAATCTATTGACAATATAGAATATACTTTGTATACATCTTATTATAATCTTTATGAATATACTATATAGAATATACCAAAATGTTTTGTTCAACTATTTTCTTCTGTATCATTTTACGCCATATTGGTCTATTCATCTAAGTTTTTTCTTTTGGTTTTGACTTTTGATCTAAGTGTTAAGTTCAATCCTACACTTGTGCTCTCTTTAAAGTTTAAACTAACAAAATCATCGATATTGGTTTTAGTCTACACATTTGAGGTATTTTATGAAATCGGTTTCTTCTCATAAAATTTTGTCTTTTAACTTTGCATGTTCTCAAAAAACACTAATCATTTGAAATTAAAGAAAAGTCTGCAAGAAAATTAAGCTTTTGCTTTTCGAGACATTTCAAAGTCTCACGATGTGCTAACTTTAATAATAATTTGGTACGTGTTTGCCCTAACTAATCAAGCATGTATAATAATATAAGTAACTAAAACGTTCACGCAAATATATACATAAAGAAAGACAAAAAACGACAGCAAGAAAACAAAAGTCCATTATTTATCGGTTAATCCAACGGTCAATATTTTCACACCTTCACAAGCAAACAACTAAGTCAAAAAAGCATTACTAAAGACCACAAAGATAATTGCCGGTTAAGTGCTTATAGCTTTCTTCTTCCACTCTTTATAATCCCCTTCACATTCTCTCCTCCTTCTCTGTCCCTCTTCTTCTTCTTCTTCTCATCATCATCATCATCATCATCTCTCTCAAAATGTCTCAAATCTCCATAACTTCTCCGAAACATTGCGCCAAGAAAGGAGGGGTTAACATAAACAATCGTCACAAGAAACTCTTCTTTACATTCTCAACGTTCTTCAGCGGCCTCCTCCTCATCATCTTCCTCGTTTGGCTCATCCTCCACCCCGAGAAACCCGAGTTCTCTCTCACAGAAGCCGATATATACAGCCTAAACCTCACTTCCTCTTCTACTCATCTCCTCAACTCTTCAATCCAACTCACTCTCTTCTCCAAAAACCCTAACAAAAAAGTAGGGATCTACTACGACAAGCTACTCGTATACGCAGCCTATAGAGGACAACAAATAACCTCAGAGGCTTCTCTACCGCCTTTTTACCAATCCCATGAAGAAATCAATCTCTTGACAGCTTTTCTTCAAGGGACTGAGCTACCTGTTGCTCAGTCCTTTGGCTATCAAATTGGTCGTGATCGGTCAGCTGGTAAAGTAATCATCGGTATGAAGATGGACGGGAAGCTACGGTGGAAGATTGGGACATGGGTCTCGGGCGCATACCGGTTCAATGTAAACTGTCTTGCAATAGTGGCTTTTGGAGTAAACATGACCACTCCTCCATTAGCTTCCATACAAGGGACTCGTTGCTCAACAACTATATGATATATAAAGAATAATCATAGTTTCTTTTGACTTATGCCGTTATGCCTAATCGTTTTCTCAACCAAACTATGTATTTTGATTTTTTGATGGCGTTTTTGTGTGTGTGCTGGTAATTACTACTTCTTGTAAAGCAACATTGAACTGTTAATATAGAATTATATTAGATGTAAATAACGAAAAACAGAGCATATCCGTGGTTAAAAAGCAGAGGAACATTGAATTGGCTATTACCGATATATAAAAAAAAAATGGTGATGAAGAGGAAAATATACAGGAGCAATGTTTTCACCTGACTGTTTAAAACCTTTTTGTCTTCAATAATTCAGGGTGTTTGCATCTTTCCTAGAGCTATATATACGCATAAACATTTGAGATTATTGGGTGACTTGGGTCCATATGTATATTGTATGTGTTTCTTGAAATCTGTTTACTTTTGGGGAAGTATCAAGTAAAAGTTATCTTTTCATATTGGAAGAGTTTATATGTTTTCCAACAGATACGAGGAAGCATGAGCAGAAGATTCAATATGACTCATGAATAAAGAACATTGCAGTTGAATAATATGATATAACATATTCTTGCAAGAATATATTCTGTATGTTCGTTAATTAGTTATTCATGCATATTCTTTTTTGTTTTTGCGTCAACCTTAATAACAAAACAGTTTATAAAAGTTTTTCTTTACAATCTGAATGAGATAGAATCTAAGAAAAAGTAGAGTATATAGGTGATATACTCTGTTTCAACAGAAGCAATGATATATAAAAGTCTACAATAGTAATCTCTCTCACTTAGCTAATAATATAAAGTTAGTCGAACTAAACCGAGTTCACTAGGAGAATCCAACAGACACAAGAAGCTTCATGTCTTGGATTGAGATTATCACGTTTTAATACGGATGGATACACAAGGTAACATTGGTAATACTGATGATGATTATACGTGTCCCTGTATTTGAAAGAAAAATAAATGAAACTAATTAGTTCAACACCATCACAATTTGCTAGCAACTAGTTTTACATAAATTTGTATATGTAAACATACAAATTTGATGAAAATGATAACACAAACAGAGCATATCCTTGGTCAACCTGTCATGTTCTAGTATTTTATGTATAAAATCCCCTGTAGACAAAATATCTTATAAACTAGAAATCTTTATTTCGGATCTTCCATTGTTATTTTTTCTTTTTGATATGACTTCTCTACAAAATAAAGTATTGGAGGTTAGTATAGAAGAAATGAAAGGCATGCAGTAACTTTTGTTTAATTATTGCTCTATATATAAGAATCCTTTTTTTTTTTACTAGGATATGGAGAATATTAGCATATACAACTCTTTATTCAATTTTTGTTTTTTCTTATTGACTTAGAGATCACCATTAATCAAATATAAAACATGAAGTAGGTTTCATCATGACTATACCACGAAGTATTAGACAAGCCATATGGTTTTGTATTTCTTATAAAGTCGGTACAAAATTAATGTTTTATATTGTATGTGCAAGAACCGACCTATTGTGCATACGTGTGAACATTTCCAAGACTTGCATCTCTAATTTTCTTTTGTTCATTAAGATACCCATTGATCCGAATCTGTTACATTCCCACCTACTTTTTTTACTATCCACTCCAATTTCAACACAACCCATGATTTTAATAATTGCAGCATCTTTCTGTTTGTTTATATATAGACACATCATAAGAAAGTGAATCTCATAGTTTACTTAGCTTATTGTAATGTTATCTAATTACGAACACATAGTGATGAAGAAAAGACTAAGCTTGAAGCAAATCTTGGTGACTCTCTCCAACCTTGGTGTATGTTTGTGCGTAAAGCATCTTGATAGTAGCAAGATTCAAGATTCTAACATAAAGATCAAGAATGGATCTGTAAGTCACGAGGATGGTTCGGTTTCTGAAGAGAAGAAGGCTATCGAAGGAACAAGGAGAGTCAAAGTGGTGATAACTAGGAAACAGCTGGATTACTTGTTGGCGAAGCAAGTTTCATTGGAGCAGCTGGTTTTTGTGAATGAGAGAACCTCTCTCAAATATTTTGACGACAGTAAGTGGATCCCAAGGCTTGAATCTATCCATGAATCACCTGAACTGTAAGATTTTTGGGGTTTAGATGTTTCTTTTAGATTCTGCGGCTAATGGTATATTGTTATATTGTGTTATGAAGATATGCACTAGCTTTTAAAACATAATGTAAGTATCATAAAGTGTTTTTGTTTGTAAGTAACTTCAGTTGCTAAGCGAACAGAGCAAAAACAGGGGAAGCAGAAGAAGAACAGGCGAAAACATGATCTATCGATGACTTTGTTTTCTATGTTTCTTTTAGAAACAGTTAAAGAGTAAACACATTCAAAATTATGATATATGCTCAAAGCAAAAAGTTGGAACTCAAAATCTGTTACAAAACCACAATAACAAGCTTTGTTGCTTCTAATATTCAAATGCTGCCTCTAGAGCATATGGATTATTTGATGCTACTCCTGAATCATCAAATCATAAACATTCATCATAGTGCTTTCTTTTCTTATTACATATGACTTTACCAGCAACAAGATCATGCTCCTTCTTTTGATTCATCAACCTCTCCTCTTCTTGCACACAGTGAGAGATGAGTTCATGAGTGGACCATGCAAGTTGCATACGGTAATAAGTCTTCCGAAGAAGATCATACTCCGAGGGAAGACTATCGAGTATTATATCCGCCATGACATTATCAAGAATACTCATCCCAAGCTTCTTCAACTTAGCTGCAACGCTCATCTTCATCATAATATACTCTCTAACACTCTCATTCTCTTTTTTCTTTAAACCAAACTCGGCTAGGACCATTGCCACTTCTGCCCTCTCAGGTTTCGCATAGCATTTCTCAACCGCAGACAAAGCTTCTTTGGCTGTTGTTACATCCTCGGGGACAATGCCTCTAAACTTAGGCGGGATCCGGTTTTTCATTATCATCATACTAATGCGGTTGGAACGGTCCCAATGCTCGGTTTTTTCAATGGCATCCGGACGATCTTCCCTTAGGGATATATCAAGATCCATGAGGGCAAGCACAAGTAACAAATGTTCCTTCCATTCAGAAAAGTTTGATCCATTTAGTATCGGGATCGACTCGACATTGGAGAAACAAGAAGTAAATCCCAACACTGAAAACAAGAAAATAAGATTGTGTCACATCGTAAATCAAATTTGGACTTGTGTTACATCGTAAAACCAAACATTACAATATCTTTAACACCACAACTAGAGTTTGGGGATTAGATAACGCAAACTCTAAGGTTACAAAATTCTAACCACATGAAAAACTTCCGCCACCGTACCCTAATCTTATCACTCAATCTTAGGGTTTGAAGATCTATTGCAGAACCGAAAAGGTTTTTTCTGTCACAAAATTAAGTAACTGACCATAAAATTGACATGCGTTTCTCTAAACCATCACAAATCTGTTCAATAGAAACAGCCAAAGCCGAAAAATACTGAGACATCGTAGTTAGCGAAAATTCGTAAAACCCTAATCACAAAAATAACCTATTACCTTGATTCATGATTACCAAAACTCGAAAAAACCCTAACTACTGCGATTTCGAAGTTTTGGATTATCTCCACAATAATAGAAATATAATGGCAACGAAACCTAATATCACATTATAACCGTCAGTGACGTGTTTGATGGGTTTAGACGTTTTTGCTTTATTGCCACGTTTGATTAAATAATTATCCCAAAATTTGTATATTACAAAACCAATTAAACAAGATATTAGGAGATGTATCTAAGTCGGATTCTATAATCATATGTTATTTCATTTTGAATTGAATTCAGATACCAAAAACAAAAAGGAAAAAATAGAAGAGGAATTCCTAAAAATGCCATCATTTTGGTTTTCTTTCCAAAAATACAATTAAAATCAAATTATTGTTCAATGGTATGGAATTTTAAATTTTTGGTTTGAGTTGATTATTTGCAATTTAGGATATAGTATTTAGGGGGAAGGATGTTTAGAATTTATAATTTAGAGTTTGAAAATTTAAAATTTAATTTTAGTTTTGTGGTATTTTTGTCTTAAAAACAAAAATGATGGTATTTTAGAAAATGATCCAAAATAGAATCATAGTAAAGTAGGAACATTATATTATTCAAGCATGACTCAAAAGTCATCATATATAAAACGATGGAGATGCAATGGATTTAGAAAAAAAATTATAAAATTACATTTAGCTATAATATAGTCACAAAAACCAAATTTTTTTTTGTTTTTTTTGACATAGTCACAAAAACCAAATAGACTTAGTAGAAGCAACATTGATATTATTAAAAGTATAACATAAGAATTAATCTTCAAACTCCACAAGTCGTCTAACTTTGCTTGTTTCCACCAGACCCTGAATCATCACTAGTATTATTCTTAGAAGTCGTTTTAGGTGACGAAGACTCTGGTGTGGTGGAAGCCAACTCCGTCTGCTCTGGTGGTGTAGCCGACGTGGAGCTGCTCGATTCTAGGTTAACAGCGTTTATAAATTGCTGCTGCGTCGGATAGTCGCAGTACTGGTTCGTGTTCACCATAGGGTAATATTGTTCGTAAGACACCGGCTCATATTGAGGATAACATTGCGGATACTGTTGAGGATAATCGTAAAACTGTGGATAGTTGTAGTACTGTTGAGGATGTTGCGGATACATTTGGTTCCTGAACATTGAAAAGATTTACCAAAAAACTACATTAACTCAAAGAAACCATATGGATAGAAACTTATGTACTGTTACTTTTATTCCAAGAAACGTATTATAATGAAAAAGAATTGCATCGGGGTAAGAAAAGATACCATTGAGGAGGAGCATGAGGTCCAGCGTACATAAATGGTTGCATGTTTTGAGAAATACTCGGGGATGTATTGTAACGAAGGTCAACATGACTTGAAGGGACGAGGTTGGTATTGGATTGGTTATGTTTAACTTTAGCACCAACGTAAGCGAGGTTGCAACTTGCTACTCGTCCCTCTATTGTCGGATTCGGATTCTTGCAAGCCCTAGTTGCGGATTCAGCATCTTTAAACGTGACCTGGAAGAAAGAAAACTCATGATTGAAATAGTCTCTTAAAACGGTAACCTAAACGTTGTATATGCTTGTTTTCTTGGGTTACTTACAAAGCCATAACCTTGAGATCGGTCTGTTTCTCGATCGCAAACCACGTTAGCATGGATGATTTCTCCGAAACGTTGGAAGAAGCTTATCAACCCTTCCTTTCTTGTTTTCCAAGGCAAACCTCCCAGGTATATCTTTGTGAATCTTGTATCGAAGTTTTGGTGTCGAGACATGTCTCTTTGCAAAATCTAGAAAGGTGAAAAGAAGAAAAGTCGAACAATCTGATGAAACCTTGAAGAAAAGTGTTATGGAGGAATGGGTGAGTAAAAAGTGTGTATTTATAGACGAATCCAACAAAACCTAGCTAGGAATAATCAACTTTTTTCGATTCCAAATAGGAATTGCAAGAAGATACTAGAAACAATTTTTCGATTCCAAATAGGAATTGGATACTAGAAGATTTAAAATGAAGTAAGATGTCAAAATAGATAATTATCGAAATATATATTTGTGAAACAAAACAGAGTCAAACCAAGACTCGTAAAGAGTAAAACCTATGTGCATAACCACAATGAACTATTGAAAATTATCTGTGAGTTAATTATGTGTTATTTTATTTTAATCCAAAATTCACTTAACAAATACTAAACTCAATAAAATTGCATTGATTAAAGATAACTCCATAATTAATCAAAGTGACTGTTTACAACAAGATTAAATAAAGGCCAAGAAAAAAACAAAGAAACAAAGAAACCAAAACAAAAAGTCTTTATTACCAAGCTCCATAATCTCTAAATCTGGCTGCTCTCGTCAGACACTGAACTAGTCATCGTCTTCTTCACCACTCTAGATGGCGACGAGCTCGGAGTTGCCGTCAAGCTATACGATTCAATATCGCCGGAGATAGCCAAATTTGGACTAGGCCTTAGTATCTCCGCTAATGGTCCGCCAGGCGTGGTAGACATTGGAGCAAGCCAGCTTGACATCTCCTCTAGTGATGAAGCCACACCATAAGGACCATACCCGTGATGATGATCCTCACGATCCGACCCGATTACGCCTAAACCCATTTGGATCAGGCCCATTTCGTCTTGGCCCATTAAGTTGTTTCCTCCCATTGATAGATCAAGCGAGTAAAGAGAGAGGTTGGCATTGGATGAAGAAACAGGAGTTGAAGTTGTTGTACTCTGTTTTTCTGATGATCTTACTCCATCGGACCAAACATCGATGAAGTTGAGATACTTGTTTTCTTGGTCTGTTGTCGCCGATACAGGAAACATCTCGCTTCCTCTGTTTCCAATTTAAAACAAATACGGTCAAAACAGAGACAAAAAAAAAACAGAGCATAGTTATGAGAAGAAGCAAAACAGAGTATGATTCTGATGTATACTAAAACACAATACCTAGATTCTCTGTAGTTTGAAAGAGATGGTGAAACCTCCATTGGCTCAAGTATCTTCTCCTTTACGGAACTACTAGCTAGCTTCTTAGGTATATTTTTGAGATCTCTGTTTTTTACAGAGGCACCATTGTTGTTAGGGCGAGAGTAAGGAGGTTCCACATGCTTTCTTGAACGAGGACGGCCTCTGTGTAAGTGTCTCTCACAGTATTTGTGATGAGAGACGACTTCTTTAGCACACCTCCATTTCTTTCCGTCTGTTCTCCGGCATCTTCCCGGCTCTAAATCTCCGGCCATGTTCTTATTATTACAGGGAGAAGCAGAGGATGATGAAGAAACAAGGAGATCGAAAGGAACAGGAACAGATGCAATCATGTACTTGTAAATCATCGCTTGTCTCTCAAGCTCCTTCAATTGTGCGTTTGTGAAAGGGTAATAATAATAACAACCCAAAACTCCATTTCCTGAATCTGTTACAAATCAATGAGAAGAACATTTCGTTAGTTATGCTCTGTTTTTATTATAATCAAATGAAAAGAAGAGAACAGCAAGGAGAGAAGTTGTTACAAGGAGGAATGAGATGAGGTCCATGAGGATGAGGATGAATCTCCATGTCTCTAAATCCAAAAGATGAATCTTTGTATTGTTGCTGATTCAAACCAAACATAGAGTCACTACTTCTACATGGAATTGTTGTCTTGTCTGAAACTTTGAGAAAGTCCATCAAAAGATTTGAGATTTAAAAAAGTCTATGTAAAGCTTTGTTTTCACTTAAGAACATGTGACTTTTTATCAAAAAAAAGAAAGTGAAAGATCCGTTTTACTGAAGGTTGTAGCTTGTGTGGGCTATATAAAATTTGGTGAGGAGAAGATAATGAGTAAAACGTTGCTTGCCTTTACTTCTTATCATAACGTAACATATATACATTATAGGGAGAGAGAGAGAGAGAGAGAGAGAGAGAGATTGGGATGGATACAATTGATATGGAGTAGTGATGGGTTGCCGCCAAGATTGTCCTATACTATGCTTCCATGCTTCCGACATTTGGATCAATCCTTAAAAGACAAGACCCATCTTGAGATCAATATCATATCTATTAGGGGATGTAACCATCTAACGGTGGGGAAGTTTTCTCTGAGTCTACTTTGTAGATATTTTTTTTTTCTTGACGGCTGATAGATATGGAGACTAACATGGGCACATGGAAATGTAACTACAATGTAGAGTAGTCGTCTATTTAGAACGTTGGTTCTAAAGACTCTTGTATATGGCATCCTAACCACAAATCCACTCGTATATCCTATGGCCAAATCAAGGTTGATTGGTGTGTACTAGGGATGCTATTAAGGATTGGTCCGTCGCAAACATCTTAATCACCTAAATTTCATAGATTAAATAAAGTGTAACACACTAAAAATAAAGAAATTAACCAGTTTAGATTAAGTTGTGTAAATATCTTTTGGTCATGGTTTTGAACATGGGAATGCTCAAAAGGAATCAAATGATACGTTAGATGTAAGGAAAAAATGGGTTAAGATTGTGACAAGAGCAAAGAAAGTGAAGTTGTTAGGTAACCAAGTAACGAACGTCTTTCTATTTGTCTCAAGCTTTAAATCCAATGAAGCAGAAGCCACGAGACAAAATAAAAATGGCAAAAGTTGATGTGGACACACTCTTCTCTTCAGGACCCCCCCATATCCCCACCACTACTTGTCCTTTATTTTGTTTTTCAAAAAAAAAAGTTTTCTTCTGACTTCTCAGTCTATTGCCATTTCAATATTGATGCTCCTCTTCTTTCACATCCAATTAAAAGTGACATATGAGTTCATTGGAGTCTGACAAAAGACTATAGAAGTAAATATCCATCACAAAAGACTATAGAAGTAAATATCCATCAAACCTTTTGTGACACTTACCTATCTCTATAGTAAATAAATCCTCATCTCGAAAGAAATGTTCATAAGTTTTAAAATAGTAAACAAGTGGTTGGATGCGATCCAACATTAATTTACGTTTTCAAAAATGTTTTCTTGATAAATGATGGAACAACCAAACAAAACGATCCGTGATTGAGTGTCGTATCTACAATAACGAAATGTGTAGAAAGAAAAATAACAATAATGATAGTATTAGGTGTATTCCAAATTTGAGGAGGTGTCGGGTGATAGTGAAGCCACCATACCACCGCCAAGGAGACAAATGCATCACTCTCTCTCTCTTTCTTCTCATATTATTGTTTTGTTACCACTTTTTCTAGTTCTCACATTGGAATCTGACCCACATTACAAAACTCACCATGTGCTCTCGACATGTCTTTCCATTATGATTCCTTCTTTCTTTTCCTTATTTATTGTGTTTCTTTCCATTATGATTTGTTTTCTTAACACATGAGATATTGTATAACGGGATTGGTAGATTAAAATGAGTGAATAAGATCTTTTCATTTGAGTTCTTGCAGTGTCATTATTGTTAAACTTATGCCAAAAAGCCAATTGTTTTTGAGGTTTGTTTCCGAGTTTTTCTTTTCATTAACACATACATAATGTTGAGTTTGAATCTAGAAGGGTGATAGTCAAATTACTAGAATAAATGAACTACTAAATCTTTGCGATGATATTAAGTGTAATTTACATGCAAAACTATAAAATCCAGACCTGCATGTGACAAAGTCTGAGAGATATTGTAACTTCTCAACTATTGAACTGGATCTAAACCCATCAAGAAGCCCATATTAATTGTAATTGTAAATGCAAAACCATAAACTCTGTGACAGAGTCTGAGAGACATTGCAACTTCTCTTCTATTGAGAAGGATCTTAACCCATCAAGAACCCATACTAAAACAATGGGATCCTTGGCTAAAAAAACACAAATGACTGCATTGTATCACAGACTAAAAAAAACCAGAAAGAGCTTTGCCTTGTCCTAATTAAGGAGAGCCTTCTACTTCGTAGTTTTCTTTTTCTTCTTAGGATTCTCCATCTTCTTTATCTTAGCCTTCTCCATCTTAGCCTTCTCCCTCTTCTCCATCTTAGCCTTCTCCTTCTTCTCCATCTCAGCACTTAGAATATCTAATATGAAGTATAAACAACGAAATTAACGAGAGAGAGGTTATAATTATGCAAATGTTAGATGGAAACCACCAAAAAAAAAACAAGAAGGAAGGAGCAAAATTTACGTACCTGGATGTTCACAGCCAGTAAGCTTTACTTTATTGCGACGACTAGGTAGCCCGAATACAGAAGCAATTACAATATTCCATCCTTGTGCGTTACGTCCACTTCGTTCCATCGCCTTCTCTACACATCCTTCTCCCAAAATAGTAACCAAATTAAGTCTGTAAAATTCGAGTCTTTAGTTAGAATATAATAAAACTTGAGAGAGAGAGAGCTGGGGAGAAGAAGGCAAAAACAACCTTTCGTGTTCAAAGGGTCCGTGGCCAAGAAGATCAATACAGGTGACCTCTCCACATGAAGAGAAATGGTCACACAAGCCTATCGTGAGATCAATGTCACGCACCGAAGAAGGTACATCATATACCTTAACATACAGACTGACAAGGAGAGAATATTATAAATAGATGATCGATCACAAAGAACAACACATACTAAAAAGAAATTGTTTTGCATTTGCATTGCATTGCAGGAGAACATAATAATAGTGATCATATTAATCTACTTACTCGCGTTCTCCTTTACGGGAAAGGTAGCTTAATCGGTGACGATCTTCCTGGTGGGGAGAAGGCTTAACGACAAGAGTCCATCCTTCCAGGTCACTTCCATTGAGTTTCAATGCATTGTCTCTCTGACCTTCTCCACAAAAATCAATGAAGAGAGGAGTCTTGAGGGTACGCGTTTTTAAGTCCTGTGGAATAAAGATTTGCGACAGGTTTCCGCATAAATCGAAATGCTTCATCAACTTGAGCTTGAGCGGATACAGAGGAAGGCTACTGTCATATCCCTCTACGGAAACGGTGCAAATTCTACAAATACAATTTCATTGCATTGCAAGAAATCATTTTAGCTAACATGACAAAATCTCATAGTTCCCCTAAAACAAAAACTAAAAAGATAAAAGAATGAATTTTACCTTTCTCTAATATTATTTTCCGGCGATCCCAAACCCTAATGTACAAGCAAAGACATAATCAGACACATTATACTAGTACCTCAAATATTATTCTTATGAAGAAGCTTAAATCATCTAATAGAGAAACAGAGGAGGTTAAGCAAAGAGAGAGAGCGTAAGAAGAAAACCATAAGGAGGGAGAAGAAGATTACTTACCTTGATGGCGGATTCTTCCATGGTTACGATTTTTGACAATGAACACGATTTATTGTTTACAAAAATCGTAAAGATAATTTTGTTGTGCCAAGGTAGTTAGACCATCTCCAAAGGTGAACCTATGTATGGGATTCTTAGGTAAATTTTAATTAAATTTTGTAATTAAATTAATTATTATGAACCTCTTATTAATGTTTTTTTCTTACTCTTTCAATGGTGAACCTTTGTATGGAGTTCTTAAACTTTGTAGACATCACACACTGAATCAAATACATCCAATAAACACAAGCCACATCACCTTAAGAGACTGCCTCTTATACCAACATTATCAATGGGATCTTAGAGGCTAAGATCCCTCGGTTTTTGCAAAGGAAAGATCTTATATAAGATCTTTTCTTTGTAAAAACTGGGGGATCTTAGCCTCTAAGATCCCACCAATAATGTTGCCCTTATACCAACATTATCATATAAGATCTTTCCTTTGCAAAATCCGGGGGATCTTAGCCTCCAATAATGTTGCCCTTAAACCCCTAATTTAACAACCCATTCTTACCATATTAATTTATTTTGATTTAAATTAAATCATCAAAAACCTATGAACCCCATTAAAAACTCTCCTTCGGAGATGCCCTTATAATTTTTCTTAATATATATTGAAGTAACCGTCTTATAAGAATTATTGGGCCTTCAACTTACTTCAGGCCTGGACTAAGCCCATATAATCACATTATTAAAAGTTTATATGTTTAAAGAACGAGTCTACTGATTTCTAATCCAAAATGGAACATAAACTTTTTTCATGAGAAGTGTTAATAAAAGTTTCAGTCCATTGTAGACTACTACACCTTAAACCTCATTGTTTTATAACAGTAGAGTCGTACAAGAACTTCCAAGTTATTCATAAAAGCGCAAAAAGAGCATCTCAACTTCAAAACATCATTGCCAAGCAGAGAGTGTCAATGTGGAGACAGATACTATTCAGTTGTCTCAGCAAGCTGAGGAGCTTCACTTTGTCTCAAGCTTTCGAGAGTAGAGATTCTTCTATCCAGAGAGTCATGAAAAGACTTTGCCTGTAGAAAACATATACAGTCAATGGCCATGTTTAAAGCTACAGACAAAATGCTGTTATGGTTCTTCACAAAGATAACGGTTCTGTGACTCAACTCAACCACTCACATTACTAAAAAAACACTAATTCCAAGCATGTTAAATCATGCAAATGTAGATATAACGAATAGAGTTAAACCTTTACCATCAAAGCTACAGAGAAATGGCTACAGATATTCACAATGATGACACACCCTTGTGACTAGTTCTCAACTCAACCAACATTCATCAATACCTAATGTTTAAGGGTTCCTTCCTCTCAAGATTCCCATTAACACAAAATGTAAATGTAGCACTAACGTATTGGTGGCTATGGAAACTCAAGCATGTCCATGGTCCAGAACTAAAATCTCACCAGTAGCTAAAACGGCAACACAACCAAAAGCCCTAATTCCTAACATGAACATCAAAATTGTGCGAATCCTTCTTCAACCAATGACTAAAACAGTTTGCATATGAATCTAAATCGAAGAGAAAACACGAGAACCCTAGAAATGCTACAAATCAGATCACCAAATTCCAATTCTTAACAACATCTGCTAACGAAATGTATCGATTCAGCTATTCGAAATCAAAACCTATTGTTCCCAAGCGACTATAGCTAGAAATGGATCCGATACAAGGATCAGAAATTCGAAATCGATTCGCTAACCTGCTGAGAAATCGATTCATGAGCGACCTTGTAGTCCTTGTAGAGCACAGATAGACCGATAAAAGATGCAGTCGCAGCTCCGGCGAAGAAAGAAGCCAATCTTACCCTCAACACGTACCCCATCGTTCTTCTTCTTCCTTCCTTCTCCTCTCAAATCTCTCCGATTCTACGAAATTTTTTATGCTTCAGAGAGACCAACCGCGAATCAAACGCCACCGTTTAGCTAATAACGACGCCGTTTTAATTCTGCATTTACGTGACCAGTTCCCTGATCAAAACAACGTCGTTTAATTCCCTCATAAGAAAACGGTGTCATTCTCTTTTTAGCTAGGCCGTAAACCCAATTTAATGGACCGTAAAAGCAAAATAATGGGCCGTAGATAGCTTGGTCCAATAGGCCCAAAAGAGCTAAGAACACGATCTTCTTCACTCCGAGGAGTAGAAAAACTGCGAAATGATTGATTGATTCTGTAATTTCACAAGTTTCGGGTCGTCGTCTTGCTCTGCGTCTCTTCAGCGTCAAACATTTCAACCATCTCCCTTCCTTTTAAACCTTTCATCATCCTCTAGTTTCTTGAAATCGTGTGTTTTTTTTTTGATTCATCATCTCTGTCTACACTTCTTCATCTAAAATCTTCTAGGGTTTACTCACTTTTCCGATAAACCCTAGTTTTAGTGAATCTTCGTTTAGCTTCGTAGTAATGGAGACCGCTTCGAGCGTAGCTGCGACTCGTGGCGGTTCTCTTCAGAATCCGCCGCTGACTCCGTCTAGGAAAGAGTGGCGCGCCGTTTCAGATTCTCATAACGTTGGAAACTCCACTGACTATGTATGTTTTTCCTTAAATCTCTAATTTTTGCTCTGTCTGATACTATAATATATCACTGTGGAGATGACATTTTCGAATCTTGGTTTGTGTGGCTTCCTAGTTCGCATTTTGACTTCTCTTTGTCAAATTCGTTGCAGGATTTGGAACAGTTGAAGCTAAACCAGACTGATGAGAGAACCATATATGAGGTTAATTACTTTTGTGCTTGTAATTCTACTTAATCGTGCTGCTTTATTGGAGAGTGGAAGATGATATTTTTTTTTTGTGGGGTTTTCTTCTAGTGTAGAATGGAAGAGAGCCGGTTGATTTGGGTTACTATTCGATTACTATGGATGGTGAGCTGTTGCAGCAGCAAATTCATAACATTTCTAAACAGAAAGGTGAACTGCAGCAGATGGAGATTGAGCTTCGAGCTCAAATGATGGCAATGGAAATCAAGAGAAACTTTGAATCTCAATCCACAGAGTATGCTAATGCTGCTGCTAGAATGCAGGTTGGGTTATTTTCTTCATGATTTTTTTTTTTTTAATTCATTTAATTGAGCACTTTATTGTTGCAAGGAAGATCAAGGAATGTTTTTGAACTTTTAGGAGCAACTTCATGAGAAGGAGAGATCCATTCGGGAGATGGAGAGAAGGATAGAAGAGAAGGACAGAGAGCTGCATGCGATTAAGCTGGATAACGAAGCGGTATGCTGGTTTATGTTGTATACCCTATCTATTCGTAAGATGATTTGAATGATGCATCTAAGTTGCTCTTGTACTTCTGCCAGGCCTGGGCGAAAGAGGGTCTCCTAAGAGAACAAAACAAAGAACTTGCCACTCTCAGGTGCTTTTAATTCTTAAAAATCTTTTCTCTTCTTTACTAAGGTCTTCGGGGTTTCCTTGTTTGTCTAGAAAGTATTGTTTTGGGGCTTTTATATATGATGTTTCCGGAGTGAGAGATTTTGGAATACGTAACAGGCCACGTTTTTGTTTTGTTTTTTTGATATGCAGAAGAGAGCGTGAGCACTCTGAAGCTGAGAGGTCTCAAAATATACATAAATTATCTGAACTACAGGAGCATATCCAAGAGAAAGAGAGCCAACTCAATGAATTAAAGGAACAAGTAAGTGTTCCCATGTTTTTATGACACAATAAAATCTGTTAAAACATTTCATGGTTTTGGATATTTTATTTATATTGCATTGTTATATTAAAACTTTAATACACTAAAACAATATCCTTATCTTTAATGGCTTGTAGCATAGGATTGCTCAAGAAACTATCTTGTACAAAGATGAGCAATTGAGAGAAGCACAAGGTTGGATTACCCGTGCACAAGAGATGGATGCTTTACAATCTTCTACAAATCACTCATTGCAGGCTGAACTGCGAGAACGTACTGAGCAGTACAACCAGCTCTGGCTTGGTTGTCAAAGACAGGTTTGGTTACCTGAATTCCTTTAGATTTCTAATTGATTTGCTGCTTGAGACGTTTCTATTCTTATCCTATGATGCTCCTTGTCATTGGTTTCAGTTTATGGAGATGGAGAGAGTGCAGTCACATACAGTGCAACAGCTTCAGCTTGAGCTTGCCAATGTAAGGGAAGGAGGTGTCTCCAAAACAAATTCCAATGGTTCCTCTCAGGTTATCCAGAACAGTGGGAACCAATTTGAGGCTCATGGAAACAACTCAGAAAATGCAAATGTTATTGCCCATTCAAATGGAAAAAGCGCAGATAAAATATCATCTTTTACTTCAAGTGATGATAGGGCTACCCAGGTACATGTATGTTTCTGTTGATTCTCGTAAACAATTTCCTCTCGTTGAACCTTTTTTTTTTGTTGGCTCTGCAAGATGTTTGCGTATCCGCAAGACAATGTTTGCGTCTGCTGAGATGAATCTAAACATTTGCATTTTCAGTTGGGCTGGTCAGTCGGTAAATTTTAGGTGTTAGATGCTAAATATTAAATATATCCATCAGCCCAAAAAGTATATATAAAGAGGGTCCTTACAGAAGTTCAGGGAACTTGTAGTTGGAATATTTGTCTCATTCCTTGTCCTCACAATTATATGATGGTTGGTAGGAATTCTAGTTTGTTTCATGTTGCGCATCATTGAATATCTGTTTTTGGGTCTGCTATCCAGCGTTTTTGATTGCTTGTGGTCTTGGCAACCAAACAATCTGCAAAAAACACCTACAAAGATCTTATTCTATCTGTAACTGCATTTTTGCTTGTGATTATGTGTAGAACAACCGTGTTGATGGTGTATCAACTTCTCATCTTGGGATGCATGGGTACTCTCAAGCGGGTCAATCTCCTCTGCACTCTCTTATCATGCATCAACAAGAAATGCCTCAGCTTGTTCAGCCTCAGGGACCTTCACCTCATGTTGTACAATCAGTGTTGCTGCAGCAAAAGGTATGAGCTTAGAATGCATCTATTGTTTCATTTTGTTGCAGTTAGTGAACATTGTCTTTCATGTTTGTTTTTGCAGGCTGTACCACATAGCTCACAGATGCCTATGCAGAATCATGTGCATCCATCTCAAGGTGTTCATGGCTTGATAAGTTCTGATGCGAAGAGTGATTACCCAGTGCCAGCCAATGGACAGTCTCTTCACCAAGGGTATGGAGATCTTCAAGAAGCACAATATGGATCTCCTACACCGGCGTCCTCTGTGAATGAACAGGTAGGTGTTCTTGTTTCACATGTGGTTATACATCTTCCATATGGTATAGTCTTAAAAATTGCTCCTTAACAGGCAGTTAAATCTGGCAATGGAGATTATCTTGGACCCAATCACTCAGAGAATAACTTTCAAGACATTTCTTCACAGTTCCGCGATGCCCTAAGGATAGACTCCAATGCCCTAAATCAGAGACCTGAGGTATGCAATGCACATATCATCTGCAGATTCTCTTGGCTTGTGGACCCTAGTTCGGTTGGCAATAGGAGAAATGTTCTAACTGTGTCTTTCTTTGTAGGAGACTAATAGTCAGGTTTCTCCTGGTAAACATAATGGTGCTGGATCCATCATGCCTGAGACTCTAGTCTCATCCGGGAAAGCTGAGAGGAACTTAGAGAGTGCTCTCCTTGATGAAAGGTCCCTTTTGACATGCATCCTCCGTACCATACCAGCTGGTGGGAGAATCAGAATCAGTTCAACGGTAAGAGAAAACTAATTGTAACAAGAATGTGAGTGAACAATTGAATTTGAAATTGGGTTTTTATATAATGTCTGTTTCTTTTGTTCAATACAGCTTCCAAACCGTTTGGGAAAAATGTTAGCGCCTCTGCACTGGCATGATTACCGTAAAAAGTACGGGAAGTTGGACGATTTTGTTGCTAGCCACCTCGAGGTACGTGTCATCCCAAAATGCCCAAACAATTATGTGTTCTTCTCAAATCTTTAAAGTGCTAAACTGGTTTTTGCTTGCAGTTATTTGTGATAGAGGACGACTACATCCAAGTTAGAGATGGTGCACAGAATATTGTAGCAGCTTCAGCAGCAGCAGCTAAAGTGGCAGCAGCAGCTGCAGCGTCGTCAACTCCAAACTCCATCTATGTGGCTATGACTCCTATGGCTCAGTCTCAAGGGCTAAAAAAGAATGACAAAACAGTCCAAAGAGGTAGGCAAAGCTCTGATTACATGGTGAAGCAATAAGGGAATGCTTCAAATTAAAGGACGCTCTTGTTATCCTTATCGTCAAGCAAGTGATTACTCTGAGAAATATGAAAAGGCATAGAAAAAATGAATTTGCCATTATCTCTCATCTTATTTCTATTTATTGTTTTGGTTTCTTGGTGTATGCAATCTCAACAATCATCAAAGCTAAAAAAAAAAAAAAAAGATCGTTCGATTTTACTTCTTAAGTGTCTTGTTTAATTAACCATCTAAAATTCTTAATGTTGACCAGATACTAGTATATTAACTTTCTTTTCTCTAGTATATTCACCATCTAAAAAAGAATCTGAAATCTATTCTTGGCAATTGAGACAAAATCAGAATGGTTACATGTCCCATTGGCCTGTTTACTCTTCATAAATTTGATTAACCTTAATATAATTGGTTTGAGACCCTCTTTTTAACGTTTAACCAATAAGGATGCTCCAAGAGCATCTTTAACTACAGTCTCTTACTTTCTACTAAAATAACCAATGATGATGCTCCAAAAGTCATCTCTACATTGAAAAACGCGTAAGATACATTTCAGTTGTTCATTCATAAGATTAAACTTTATAAGAAAAATAAAAAATTAAGTAAATTAAAACAATACATTTAATTGTCCACTGAATCTTGTGAGTTTCATAACGCTCGAAATGCTTTATGCGTTTCTATCTACACTTGTCCCATTTTTCTAAATGGTTCATTTTTGTATTCAAATTAAGAATTAAATATATAATAAAACTATGTTAAAATATTAACATTTTAAAGTTAAAATAATATTTTGAACATGTACGTTATTGCATGCAACAAAAAATATTCGACAAAAAAAAAACTTTTATTAAAATTAGAAGATGTTGTGGGGTCTTTTTAGTTTTATAAGAAAGATATTTACTTTATAAACATAAAATAATACTTTCTTATGAAACTAAAAATGTCCCACATCGACAATAAGAGAAACCAACAGCTGAAATCATATCTTATAAATCGGAATACAAACTATATTCTCGGCATTCGTATGAAGTTCGATGAATCCAAAGTCGAATCCTCTCAAATCTAGTAAAATTATAAAATAAATCAGCTGTATATAGCAAATTGTCGACTGATTGGTCCAATCGATTAAGATATCCGATTTGGCTATACTTGCCCGGATAAATTCTACTAAGGTGTGTTCTTCTTCTTCTTCTTTTTTTTTTTTTTTTTCTTCTTCTTCTTCTTCTTCTTCTTCTTATATTGTTGTTTAATTTGATTCTTAGTCATCTTTGGTTGCATACTTGCATGTGGTTAATATATCAATTCTTCTTCTTATTATTATTAGTATATTGTTGCTTGGTTCTTATTCATTCCATAAAACCCCTTGCATGTGATTTTAGTTCATCTTGATCATATTGATGTATGGCTTGCATAGGGTTCATTCGAAAATTTGTGAATTTTGGGTAGCTGTGAGTGCAATTTTATCTCTTGGTTTGATGTAAGCTCGTGTCTTAAATTTGACTCCAACTATGGTTCTTTCTGTGATTATAGTTGGATGGGTAGTGTGAAGAAACCCAAACTATGTGACAAAGTGTCGCATGGAGCAGATAGGATAAGCAACTTACCGGAACCTTTGATGTTAGAAATACTTGCTCGTCTTCCGACAAAGTATGCTGTCAGAACAACTACTTTGTCTTCCAAGTGGAGAAAAATCTGGCCATCGCTTCCAGAGCTGGACTTAAGCACTCTCGATTTCAAAAATTTGGAGGCTTTTGTGAGTTTCGTCGAAAGGTTTTTCAATTCAAACATGGAGTCCATAGGCAAACTCAAGTTAGTTATCTATGATCCTTATGATAAGATTAAGGCTACTGCCACCCGGTGGATTGATGTTGTGACTAGTCGTAGGAATATTCAGCATATAGAGTTTGTTTATAACACTAACTACCTTCGCAATGATAAGATACCAGTCCAGAGCATATATACATGCGAGACACTGGTACACTTAAAACTCTGTGGAGTCAGCTTATTCAATGCCGAGGTTGTTTCCTTACCTTGTCTAAGGGTCATCCATTTAGAATCAGCTGAGTATCGCAATGAGTCCACTTTGGAGAAACTGATCTCAGTCTCCCCAGTTCTAGAAGATTTAACGGTCATCTCAACCTTTAATGAAAATCGTTTTCATGAAAATGTTTTACAAGTGCGCTCTCAGACGGTAAAGAGAATCCACATGGGTCATATTCGAGTTGTGATTGATGCTCCACTACTCCAGCACTTGATCATTGATACTGGCTCAGAAAAGCACTTTGAGGTCATCAATTTGGGGCTCTCTACGAAACTACATATTTATGATGACGTAGGCAATGAGGTCTATAATTATGTTTTCATTCATGACATCCTCACTGATATAGCAAAGGTCAGAGACCTTGTTGTTAGTAATGGTTGTTTTTGGAAGGTATACATCTCAACGTTTGAGCTATAAGAATATTTATTATACATGAATGTTTCTCACCAAGAACAATTCTCTTTTTTTACTTGTATAATCAGAATCTCTTGCGATACTCCAACTTGGGACCGGTGCTTCAGTTTCGTAACTTGTGCCACTTGAATGCAAGATTTCCTATATCTGATCTTGAAATGTTACCAACCATTCTTGAGAGCTGCCCAAAACTTGAATCTTTCACATTGGTAACGTTAATTAACCATTTGATTTACTTATATCTTAATTGTTTGTGAGGAGCCTTTTATGTATCTACTCAATTCTTTTTCTTCTGTTCTTTTGTAGGAATTGGTCAAGAACCGATACACGCGTGGTGAGAAGAAGAAAGATCCAAAGGTGATGTTTTCGACAGTGCCTCAGTGTTTAGTTACATCGCTCAAGTTTGTGGAACTGAGACGCGGGATCACAAGGTATGAAGGAGAAATAGAGCTAATAAGATACTTGCTGAAGAATTCAAAAATCCTGGAGAAACTTAGGCTTGATGTTTACTATACACAAAAGACAAAGTATGACTTCCTTAAAGAAGTCGTTGCAATTCCAAGATGCTCTAACGCTTGTGAAGTCCTTGTTCTTTAGGTACGTACTAAAACTACAAGCAAATATTTTATAGTTTAAGAACAATCAAAGAATTAAAGTTTGATTACTCTTTGGTCGTTAAATTAGTTGATTTTAGGCTGCTATGAGTCGCATGCAAATATTTTCAGTTTAAGTCTTTCTTATGTTACTTGGTGGTTGCTGATAACCTGATAATTACTAAGCACCAACTCTATTTGGAATTTGATGGATACTTGCACTTACCCAAGCACTAATTTAAGAATTGTAAATTTGCAGGAAGTTATCAAAGGTCAGAGGAAATGAGTCCCTTTCAAGGTTTCTATGTCAATGCAGTTGTCTATAATGAGAGTTATGTCACAGAAATGAAGCTAGAGTAATGTAAACTTGGGAAATCGACTAGAAAACTCACTCTAGGTTTGTGAAATTTGTAACTGCATTTTTATTTTATTTTAATTATGTCCCTAAAACATTGAAGATGTTTGAGTGTACTGGTATATTTATGATTTTCTTGGTATGTTGAGTTTAAAGAACTAAATTAAGAAGAATATAGAGTATGCAAAAAAATATTTTAGTGATGATAATTTTTATATAAACTGATATTAATTAAGAATACTGAAGCTGAGATTAACTTTGAAAGCTTTACGCACTTTTTCAATATTTGACATATATTTTGGGACAGAGTATGGTATACACAAGAAGACATGACCATGAACTATATAGTCTTGATTCTTGAGCGCAATGCAGTGAAGTGAACTATGTGGATATCTTAAATTGCATTAAACCATTTTATCTTCGTGCATGCTTCAATTTATCGGGTCAGACCGGAACAAACCGAGTTGGTTTAATTTAACAATTATGTAAAGTATTTAGAAGCCGCCAATATGATTCACGAAACACGTCACACACTTTTCATCAACCCTAACCTAATCTGCTACATAACTGTGAAGGAAGACGAATTGGTTTGATTAGCCGTGGTGCGTTATTTTCAGGAGAGCTTTCATCTTTCCTGTTTCATTAAATTGGTTAACTGTTTCTGTAACTTTCATTTAATTTAATTTGACATTCTTAAACATAAAGATGCAGAGATCGTAGTTGTGTGAATAAACGAGAAATGGTGAGTAGAAAGAAGAAAACCAAAACATGTGACAAATCTTCACCAAAGGAAGATAGGATAAGCCAGTTACCAGATCCTTTGATATGTCACATACTTTATCATCTTTCGACCAAGGATTCTGTAAGAACAAGTGTTTTGTCTACTCAATGGAGAAATCATTGGCGATCAGTTCCAGCACTGGACTTAGACTCCGCTACATTCTCGAATAAGCATGCCTTTGTGAGTTTTGCTGAAAGGTTTTTCAAGTCCCATAGTGAGTCATGGATACACAAACTCCGGTTACATATCTATGGTGAGTTTGATCTCACGTCATGGATTGATGCTGTGACTAGGCGTAGTATTCAGCATCCCTATATTGATTATTTCGTGCGTGGTAAGATACCCCTGAGCATATATACTTGCGAGACACTGCTACACTTACGACTCTGTTACTCTTTCTTGCCTGATTCTGAAGTTGTTTCCTTACCTTGTCTGAAGATCATGCATTTAGAATATGTTAGATTTCCCAATGAGTCCACTTTTGAGAAACTCATCTCAGGCTCCCCTGTTTTGGAAGATTTAACCATCATCAGAACTTCGAATGTTGTCAAGGAACATGTTGTAGTACAATTAAGCTCTGGTACGCTAAAGAGAATGTACATCGATATGGATGACTCTAGTGAAGTTGTTATTGATGCACCTCTACTCCAGTGTCTGAGGACTAAGATAGCCTCAAAAAAAAACTTTCAGATCATCAATTTAGGTTTCCCTGCTAAACTTGATATCGATTTGCAATCGCTGCGTGGCCACCTCAGGTTGACACACCCTACAAAAGTGATTCGGGATATCCTCACCGATATTTCGAGGGTCAAGGATCTAGTTATTACTAGTGATATTTGGAAGGTTTACATCTCAACGTTTGAGTATATTTATTTACTAAAATTTGCTCCACAAAATTTTTCTCACCATATAACATTTTTTGTTACTTCTTTTGCAAGGAGTTCTTTCTATACTCAAAATTGCGACCAATGCGTAAGTTTCATAACCTATCCAGCTTGAATGCTAGATTTGCTATATGTCATCTTGAAATGCTGCCAACACTTCTTGAGAGCTGCACAAAACTAGAATCTCTCATATTGGTATTATAACAGCTTTATTCCTCCGGTTTACGAATATTGTTTCATTTGATTTCTTACTTTTATTTATTCGTTTGTTCCTGTTTTTTTGTAGGATATATTCAAGTAGTCATCCATACGTGATAAGGAGAAGAGAGAACCAAATGTGATGTTTGCAGCAGTGCCTAGGTGTTTGGTATCATCGCTTAAGGTTGTCGAATTGAAACTTTCAATCCCAAGATGCGAAGGAGAAATAATGAAGCTAGTAAGATACTTGCTGAAGAATTCAAAATTCCTGGAGAAATTAAGCCTCAATGTTTGCCACAGGGAGAAGGCAAAGTGTGAGTACCTTACAGAACTCGTTGCAATGAGAAGATGCTCTAGCTCTTGTGAAGTCATTGTTCTTTAAATTACTTAAAAGATGTTGCTGATCATTTCGTTTAAGGTTCATCTTTTGGTCGTTGACTTACTTGATATTAGAAGACTATTAGGCTTTGGCCTTTGAGAGCAAGAAAAAAACTTTTCTCAAGGGATGAGATCCTTCCATCTGATCCATAATCTCATTAACTTTCGAATACGAAGTGCCCAAGTTAGACAAATATTTCTGAATTGTTAGTATTGTAAACAAATTACGGTCTTAATCAATATATGTGTCAAAACGTTGGCTAACATGTAAATCAATAAAACCATGGAAATGTTTCCGGCCGGTTTGGTCTTCAGTCGGACTTTTGGTTGTTTCTTGGTTTAAGGTGAGAGATAAAAACAGCAAGGCGTTTGTAAGAAGAGATGAAAAACGGTACGGCGTATGTGTCAAAAAGTACTCGATATACATATACTTTTCTTTAATCTCTAGGTTGAAAAATGAAAACCCTAAACGGCTAGACTAAGAAGGCCTCGCATGTAATGTTAGTTCTTCTCTCTTGGTAACTAGATTAGTCTAATATGCAAGCTAGTGTGTTCGTATCTCGTAATAACATTCGAAATTAGTTGGTTCTAAGTTTGTCTAACTTTCAATTTCCATATTTTATTAACTTTGATGGTGCAGATTGCAGATTATATATAGTTTGTGTGAGAAAACAGTATGGTGGGTAGAAAGAAGAAAACAAAAAGACCACAGGAGGAAGATTTGATTAGCAACTTACACGAACCATTGATATTTGAAATACTTACTCATCTTCCTACAAAGGATGCTGTAAGAACAAGCGTTTTGTCCACAAGATGGAGATATCTTTGGCAATCAGTTCCTGGATTGGACTTAGCCATCTGCAATTTCTCAAATGTCAATGCCTTTGTGAGTTTTGTTAAAAGGTTTCTTGATTCCCAAGAGTCGTCTTGGATACGCAAACTTCGGTTATATTTGGGTTATCGTCATATTATATGTGATCTCATACCATGGATTGATGCTGTGACTAGTCGTAGGATTCAGCATCTTGATGTTGATTATTACAGCGGTGATGGTATACCCGTGAGCATATATACATGTGAGACACTAGTACACTTACGACTTTGTTGGTGTAGCTTGCCTAATGCCGAGTTTGTTTCCTTACCTTGTCTGAAGATCATGCATTTAGAGCGTGTTAGATTTACTAGTGATACCACACTTGAGAAACTAATCTCAGGCTCTCCAGTTCTGGAAGATTTAAAACTCTCTTGTTCGAATCATAAGGCAATACAAGTTCGTTCTCATAAGATAAAGCGAATCGACATCGATATGGATGAGTCTAGTGAAGTTGTTATTGATGCACCTCTTCTCCAGTGTCTGAGGACTAAGATAGCCTCAACAAAACAGTTTCGGATCAACAATTTGGGTTTCCCTGCCAAACTTGATATTGATTTGCAATTGTGGCGCGGCCGCCCCATGGTGAAACCCCCTAAAAAGGTGATTCGCGATATCCTCACCGACATTCGGAGGGTCAGGGATCTAGTTATTACTAGTAATATTTGGAAGGTTTACATCTCAACGTTTGAGCATATTTATTTATAAATATTTCTACACAAAACCATAACATTTTTGTTCACTTCTTTTGCCAGGAATTCTCTCTATACACAAAATCGAGACCAGTGCGTCATTTTCGTAATCTATCCCGCTTGAATGCTAGATTTGCTATATGTGATCTTGAAATGCTACCAACTCTTCTTCAGAGCTGCACAAAGCTAGCATCTCTCACATTGGTAATGAAATAGCTTTAATCCTATCTAACTCTCTAATTAGCTTTCTTACTTTTATTAATTTGTTTGTTCCTGTTTTCGCAGGATATATTCAGGTACGCATACGTACGTGATGAGGAGAAGAGACAACCAAATGTGATGTTTGCAGCAGTGCCTCCGTGTTTGGTATCATCTCTTAAGTTTGTCGAACTGAAACTTCGAATCGTGATATGGGAAGAAGAAATAATGAAGCTAGTAAGTTACTTGCTGAAAAGTTCAACAATCCTGGAGAAATTAAGGCTCAATGTTCGCAACAGGGAAAAGGAAAAGTTTGACTACCGTACAGAAGTCCTTGCAATGACAAGATGCTCTAGCGCTTGTGAAGTCATTGTTCTTTAAGTTACTTAACAAAATGTCGTTTAAATTACTTTCTTTTAGAAGGCTATTAGGAATCAAGGAACATGTTAAATTTGCAGTCAAGTCCTTATGTTACCTTTATTGGTTTGCTGCTCATGTAATAATCACCACTCCAAGTGACCAACTTTGTTTTGAATTTGATGGATGCTTCCACAGCATACGATCAAGCACTAATTAATCATATATAGGAGGGTTATATTACAGTTTCAGTCTTTCTTATGTTACTTGGTGGTTGCTGCTCATGTTATATATAATCATTAATAACCAACTCTATTTCGAGTTTGATGGACACTTGCATAGTTTACTTGAGCACTAATCTAGAATTGTCAATCTACAGGATGCTGTTCGAACTTCGAAGTGCAGAGAAGTAAAGGCAGAAGTTTTATAATAGAGAAGTTGGATTCCAAAGGTCACATGAAATGATTATACGTATCATGTCGCTTTATTGCATTGAGCTGTGAGCCTAGCATCCATGGCTCCATCTGTTTTAATTTGATCCGAAATTAAGTATACCAAATAAGAGAGCCAAATACACAAAATCAATAAAACATTGTTCTGCTCTCAACAATCATCGAAGCTACAAAAATTTCGAATTTGCTTCTAAAATTGTAAATTCGATTGAAATAGTCAAATCGAAAATATTTGAAAATGTAGTTTTTGTCTTTACACATAAAGAATCTGAATTATCTTTCATCTATTCTTGACAATGAATCTACTCGACTTTATAATTTTCTCAACTTTGTGAAGCCTTCTGCCTATCTTTTCATTGTTAAACCATGAATTTATTAGAAAAGGCTAATCATATTTAATCATAAAAATGTTAACCATAAATGATTCAAGTTCATTTTTTATTGTTTTATGATAAAAGATCTACTATTTATGATTTTCTTTTTTTTTTAATAAAAAAAAAATGGACTCTGTTTTAAACCTAGACTAGTGTTTATATAGTGCATTGCGTCAGGTCAAAGCAAAGGCTAATTAAGCGAATTTCTCAACATATAAGTTGTGAGCCTATATATTTCCATCCATTCACGTCGCTAAATCACGATCTATAGTTCCCACAAGAAATCTTACACTGTAACTTCTTCTTCTCCTTACTCAACCCTTATGTTGTTTTTTTTTGTAACATTATCATAACATGAACTTAAAAACCCTAACCCTAACCCTAACTAACCTCAATGTGATTCGTCGTCTCTCTCTCTCATTGTAAATTACTTCTTCATATGTCAAGATGAGTCTTCTAATATTAATTTTGTCTCTCATGAAACTTGCGGTTACAATTATTGTTTGCAGATTTCGTAGTTAGACAATGGTTGGAAGAGCGGAAGCTAAACAGGCGTGTTCCAAAGGGTTGAGTGAGAGATTGAAGGAAGATAGGATAAGCGAATTACCAGATCCTTTGATATGTCACATTCTTTCTCATCTTTCTACCAAGGAAAGTGTTAAGACAAGTGTTTTGTCCACCAGATGGAGATGTCTCTGGCTTTGGCTTCCTAGTTTGGAACTAGATTTCAGAAAATTCCAGATCCCACGTTTAATAAGTACCTTTGTGAGTTTTTGTGACAGGTTTTTCGAATCCAATAGAGTTTTATGCATACACAAACTCAAGTTAACTATTGATGGAAGTGAATACGTTGTAGCTCGTGATACCTCTAATATCACGTCATGGATTCATGCTGCAGTTAAGCGTAAGATCCAACATCTAGATGCTTGTTATCATCTATATGTAAATCCTTTGGAGATGCCCCTAAGCCTTTATACCTGTGAGACACTGGTTTCATTGAAACTTGATTGCGTGCTCTTGGCTAATACCGAGTTTGTCTCCTTACCTTGTCTCAAGACTTTGTCCGTAAAAGATGTTAGGTATCCCAATAGTGCCACTTTTGAAAGACTTGTCTCATTCTGCCCTGTCTTGGAGGAGTTAGAGATTACCACATTTGTGATTAGTAATGCAACACTCTTTCGGGTGTTCTCTAGGTCATTAAAGAAGCTCAAAATAACGCAATCTTGTTGGTCAGGAGTTGTGATTGATGCTCCTCTACTAAGATTTTTGAGCATCAATGATGACTTATCAAAAAGCTCTGTTGTGATAAACAAATTGCATCCCGACGCCAAGTTAGATATTTCTACTTCCTATGGTTTGGAGTTTTTTCGTGGAGCAAGTTTTTCATCAAAGAGAAATAGCATCCGCAGTTTTCTCTCGCAGATTTCGAAGGTTAAAGATGTAACAATGTGTAGAGAGACCATCAAGGTATATATGTCATCAGTTCTGGCATTGGACATGTATATTTTTCTATCATTTAGGTTTCTGACCCACTTTAAATTTTTTCTTTCTTGGTTCCAGATCATCTTCCAATACTTAGAATTACAATCGTTGCCTCGGTTTGATTACATTTCCCGCCTGCATGCAACTTTCACTAACTCCAATTTCGAATGGTTACTAACCTTTCTTAAGAGCTGTCAGAACTTGAAATCCCTCGTCTTGGTAATGATTTACAAAACCCAATAAGTTTTATCATTTGTACATTTTTCACTATGCTGAATTCCTCTGTTCTTTCTTCAGGTATACTATGAGGAGAGGCGTCGAATCATTTTGTCATCTAGGCCTGAGTGTTTTCTATCGTCTATCGAGTTTATTGATATCGAATTCCTAAACCGAGGATATGTTTCACAGTTGAAAATAGTAAGGTACTTCCTAGAGAATACGCCCGTACTCAAGAAGCTCACTCTACGTTTCCCCAAGTATTCAATACAAGAAAAGTCTACTTTCAAGAACCTCCTCAGATGGACAAATCTCTCTAGCAAATATGACATCGACGTCCTTGATTCGTAGTAGAGTAGACTTTTTCTATAAAGACAAAGTGACTATAGCCCTCAACTGTAGTCTGATTTTTCAATGTGATTCCTATTTTAGTTTGAAAATGACAATAACGATTCCACAAAATTGGGTATTCTGATTTAGTTCAGTCCAAATTTGAAGTTGTTTTTGGTTCTTGCGTTGCAAATTTATTTTCATTGGACCATCAATCTTTTGGTTTCTTTATTGGTTATGATGAGACGAAACCAAATTGTTCCAATCTATATTATACGCTTTTTTTTATTTTAGACAATCTTGAGAATGTTTGATTGGTAAAGAGTACAATCTGGATAACGTATAATCTTAGAGGCTTTACCAAATGTGAAGTCATTGCCTTTTGATTGGTAAAGAGTACAGGTTTTATGATTTTATTTGTGTAGAGAGACAAAGTGAATATGAGTAGTAGTAGTAGTTTCATTGTTTCTTTTGGCTTTGGTTTATGTATGAGTTAGGACATCAAATTTTAAAACCAGGTTTATGTTTAGTATCTGTGTTTCAGGTTTGGTCCAATCGGACTTTTGATTGTTTCTTAGTTCAAACGGAGATTAAAAAAAACAGCACGGCGTTTGTAGTAAGAGAAAAAAACGGTACGGCGTTTGTGTCAAAGGTATACACGCATCCTCTTCCCAATGGGAGTAAGAGAGAGGAGCCATTATTAATTCACCGCGACACAGTGGTCTAAACCTAAAGGCACATACTTGACTTTGGAGGAAGATGAATAGGTCATTAAACTCAGAGTTTAAACCCTGACCTATTCGTTTGAGCATACACCTTCGGAAGACGAATAGGTGTGTTTCTTCTTCTTCTTCTTCTTCTTACGCCTTGAAAACCCTAAACCTAACAAGTAACAAACATGTAATTTTAGTTATTATCTATCGTATATATCTGTTTAGAGTACTCTCCCACTAATATTTCATGTGGTGCAAGTTGAAATTTACTAACATTTCTGAGCAATTTACTTTTTTTTTTTTTTGGTTAGATTTGATTAGCTTGAAGAAAGAGAAATGGTAGGTAGAAAGAAAAGGACCCAAAACTGTGACAAAGTGTCACATGAGGAAGATAGGATAAGTCAGTTACCGGAACCGTTGATATCTGAAATACTTTGTCATCTTTCTACAAAGGATGCTGTAAGAACAAGTGTTCTGTCTACAAAATGGAGATATCTTTGGAAATGGGTTCCTGGATTGGATGTGGAGTTCAACACATTCCCAAACAACGATTTGTTTGTGAGTTTCCTTGAAAGGTTTTTTGTTTCCTGCAAGGAGTCATGGATACGTAAACTCCGGTTAAATATCTGTGATCCTTATCGTAAGTGTGATCTCAACTCATGGATTGATTTTGTCACCACTACGCCTAGACTTCGACATCTTGCTGTTAGCTATTGTCCCACTAATGAGATACCCCTGAGCATATATAAGTGCAAGACATTGGTACACTTGGCACTTGTTCGGGTCGCCTTGGCTGATGCCGAGATTGCTGTTTCCTTTCCTTGTCTGAAGATCATGCATTTAGAAGACGTTGTATATCCCAATGAGACCATGTTGCAGAAGCTTATCTCAGGCTCTCCAGTTCTGGAAGATTTAATGATCAGCACATATATGTCTCGTAAGGCAAAGGTTTTACAAGTGCTCTCTCATACGCTAAAGAGAATGAACATCGATGAGTCTACTGAATTTGTGATTGATGCACCTTTACTCCAGAGTTTGAGGACTACGATTCACTTAACAAAGAACTTCAAGATCATCAATGTGGGCTTCCCTACGAAATTGGATATTGATGTCGTCTATGGCAATTTGACATACGGTAAAAGCTTGATTCACGACATCCTCACCGATATTTCAAGGGTTAGAGACCTAGTGATTACTAATGTCATTTTGAAGGTATACATCTCAACGTTTAAGCATATATAAGAATATTCTTTCATGAAAGTTTAACTCCCTAACATTCCATTTTACCAGGAAATCTTTTCAAACTCCAACTCAGGACCGGTGCTCCAGTTTCGTGACTTATCTAGTTTGAATGCTAAACTTTGTAAATCTGATCTTGAAATGTTACCAACAATTCTTGAGAGCTGCCCAAAACTTGAATCTTTCACATTGGTAACGATTCACGCATATTGTTTGTTGAAAATCTTTTATGTATCTCGCCACTCAATGTTTTTCTTATGTTTTTGCAGGAATTGGTCAAGGACCCATCCATGATAAAGAAAGAACCAAATGTGGTGTTTTCAGCAGTGCCTCAGTGTTTGGTATCATCGCTTAAGTTTGTAGAATTGAAACGGTTAACCCCAAGGTTAAGGTATGAAGGAGAAATGGAGCTAATAAGATACTTCCTGAAGAATTCAAAAGTCCTGAAGAAACTAAAGCTCAATGTTTACTACACGAAAAAGGCAAAGTGTGACTTCCTTACAGAAGTCGTTGCATTGACAAGATGCTCTAGCGCTTGTGAAGTCCTTGTTCTTTAAATTACTTAAAAAGATATTTCTTCACATTTCGTTTTAATTTTAATTTTAATTTTAGCAAAACATATTCTAAACCTAACAAGCCCGTCGCCTAAAGGCCTTAATTAACCATATAGCCAAAATTCGATAAACCAGTTTTGTAGGATTCTGAAAGAAATTAGGTATTTCCGGTTTAGTCTATTCGGACGTTTGGTTGTTTCTTGGTTATTGCGTTGCCAAATTACACGCACTATCCGACATGTTTTGCATTGAACCACTTAATCTTCCTGCTTATATCGGTTCAGACCGAGGAAAAAACGAATTGGTCTAATATAATTATGTGTATGCTTTATGCTTTAACACATCACAATGTTTTCATCAACCCTAACCTAGTTAAAGGTGCGATGGTGCCTTAGCTTAGACCATCTGCTACATGACTCTGGAGGAAGACTAATAGATTTGAGAAGCCATCTCATTCTCCATCTCTGTTCCTTGGTTTTTAGTAGTCTTCTTCTCTCTTGGTTATACTTATACTAGATTAGCTAGTTTGTCCATTCGAAATTGGTTGGTTGTTTCTGTAACTTTTAATTTTAATATTTTGTTAAATTTTGATGATGCAGATTATTATAATTGTGTGCTGAGAAACAAAATTATGGGTAGAAAGAGGAAAAACAAAATATGTGACAAAGTGTCACATGAGAAAGAAGATAGGATAAGCCAGTTACCGGAACCCTTGATATTAGAAATACTTTATCATCTTTCTACCAAGGATGTTGTAAGAACAAGTGCTTTGTCTACCAAATGGAGAAATCATTGGCGATCGGTTCCAGGATTGGACTTAGACCTCGACGCAGTCTCAGACTCGTATATGGATGACTTTGCGAGTTTTGGTGACAGGTTTTTTTATCCCCACAAAGTATCATGGATACACAAATTCCGGTTAAAAAATATCCATGTGCCTTATGGTGAGTTTAATCTCCCGATATGGATTGATGCTGTGACTAGTCGTAGGATTCAGTATCTTGATGTTGATTACTATGGGCATGATAACGTTCCCCTGAGCATATATACCTGCAAGACACTGGTACACTTGCGACTCTGTTGCGCTTCCTTGCCTAATGCCGTTGTTTCCCTACCTTGTCTGAAGATCTTGCATTTGGAATATGTTCGTTGGCGCAATGAGACCACATTGCATAAACTTATATCAGGCACTCCAGTCCTGGAGGATTTGATACTCATCCGATCTCCGAATAATTTCAATGCACATGTTTTACAATTGTCCTCTCATACGCTAAAGAGAATTGACATCGATATGGATGAGTCGCCTACTCAAGTTGTGATTGATGCACCTCAACTCCAGTGTCTTAGGACTAAGGTTTACGCAGCAAAGAGCTTTAAGATCATCAATTCGAAGTTTCCTTCCAAGCTAGATATTGATTTGCGATCAGCGCTCTTCTACCCCACTGAAAACGTGATTCACAATATCCTAGACGATATTTCGAGGGTCAGGGATCTAGTTATTAGTAGTAATACTTGGAAGGTATACATCTCAACGTTTGAGCATATTCATTCAAAAATATTTCTACACAAAATTTTCTCACCGTAACCATCTTTTTTTTTACTTGTCTTGTTACCAGGAATTCTTTTTTTGTTCACGTCAGTTTCTTAACCTATCCCGCTTGAATGTCAGATTTGATATATCTGATCTTGAAATGTTATCAACCATTCTTGAGAGCTGCACAAAACTAGAATCTCTCACATTGGTAATGAAGTAGCCTTAACCCTCCAATCTAAGCTTATAGTTTGTGAAAATATTTTAATTGTGTGTCTCTCTACTCAATCTTTTTTTATTCATTTATTTTTGTGTTCCTGACTTTGCAGGAAATAATTAAGGACCAATCCATGCGAAGTCACAAGGAGAAGAGAGAACCAAATGTGATGTTTTCAGCAGTGCCTGAGTGTTTGGAATCATCGCTCAAGTTTGTAGAATTGAAACGTTCAATCCCAAGCTATGAAGGAGAAATGGAGCTAATAAGATACTTCCTGAAGAATTCAAAAATTCTGGAGAAACTAAGGCTCAATGTTTACTACACCTATAAGGCAAAGTGTGCCTTCCTTACAGAAGTCGTTGCAATACCAAGATGCTCTAGCACATGTAAAGTCCTGGTTCTTTAATTACTAAAAGATAGTTCATCTTTAGGAGGGATATATTAAACTTTAAGTCTTTCTTATGTTACTTGGTTGTTGCTGCTTATGTAATGATCATTAATTACCAGATTATTATTCTCAAATTTGTTGGATATATCTACACAAGCAAATTTGAGATGGGTTCCAATGCAAATACATCAAATCGCGCTTTCAAGGTCTCTGTCAATGCAGTTTTCTATAGTAAGGTAAATTTTTGATATACTCACTCTAGATTTGTGAATTTGTAATTGCATCTTCTTGTCAAATGTAACAAACCTTTTAAATATATATATGTTCCCAAACCATCAAAGACATTTTCAAACTTTTATTACCGTAAACAAATTATGGTCTTTTTTGCTATGTCGACGAACAGATTATTGTCTTAGTTTCATGGTTTCTTCTTGCTTTGGTTTTAGAATGTGTTAGCAAATTGACCAGTTTTGCTGTTTCGACGAACACATTACTTTAGCTGAACATCATAATTTAAAACCAGTTTTGATTAATTAGTATGTGAACAAAAGTGGGTGTTTCCGGTTTTGGTCCAATCGTTCTTGGTTCAAACGGAGAGATAAAAACTGCAAGGCGTTTGTATTAAAAAATAAAAACGGCAAACCGTTTTTATCAGAGGTACACACACGATACACGAATCTTTCTTACCAAGAGCCTTTTTCTTACATAGGGATGGTCAAACGTCATCTAGAAACCCACCTATCTGCTGCTACACGACTCCTTAGGAAGACACATAGGTAATAAATCTCAAAACTTGTGCGTTCTTCTTCTCTTCTTCTTCTTCCTCCTAGTCATCTTCAGAAACCTTAAAAACCCTAAACCGAACAAGCCCTGGCTTGTGTTCTTCCCGATATCTGTTTTTGACTTGTCGCAATTTATCTGTGTGTGTGTCCGTATCTTTTCGATTGTTTATGTTTTTTTGAGAATTTTGATTAGTATGGCTTTTCATCTGGTTCACTATTTGAGAATTTTTTTTGACTAGGGTTTTTTTTATCATTTCATCTGTCTCTGAGCTCTCTACGCATCTAAATGGATTTTTTTTTTCCTTATATTTTGATGGTGCAGATCACTTGTGTTAAGAAAGAAAAAATGGTGAGTAGAAAGAAGGAAGAAGAAATATGTGACCAAGTCCCACATGAGGAAGAAGAAGAAGATTTGATAAGCAAGCTACCGGAATCTTTGATATCTGAAATACTTTATCATCTTCCTACAAGGGATGCTGTGAGAACAAGTGCTTTATCCACCAGATGGAGAAATCTTTGGCAATCAGTTCCTACACTAGACTTAAGCTACTACAGATTCGCACAGTTCCATGCCTTTGAGAGTTTTGTTAAAAGGTTTCTTTGGTCCAACGACACGGAGTCACAGATACGAAAACTCCGGTTACGTTTTGGTTATCATCAACGTTATGATATGTGTCATTGTGATGTCACCTCATGGATTGACGCTGTGACTACTCGTAGGATTCAGCATCTCGAGGTTCACGGTTTTCGCGATAGTTGGATGCATATACCCATACCCCAAAGTCTATATACATGCGAGAAGCTAGTACACTTACGACTCTACGAGGTCGCCTTGCGTTATGCTGAGTTTGTTTCCTTACCTTGCCTGAAGGTCATGCATTTACAAAATAATAAATATTACGATGAGACCACGTTGCAGAGACTTATCTCTGGCTGTCCAATTCTAGAAGATTTAACCATCATCACATATTCGGAGCTTAAGAAGCCAGATGTTTTACAAGTGCGCTCTCATACGCTAAAGAGAATCCACATATATCATGACTTCCCCCTAGTTGTGATTGATGCACCTCTACTACAGTGTTTGAGGACTTCCGTCTCCTCACCAAAGAACCTCGAGATCGTCAATTTGAGTTCCTCTGCAAGACTAGATATTGATTTCCCCTTTGACTGTGCGAGGTATAGTAGCAGCATGGTTCATGACATCCTCACCGATGTATCGAGTGTCAGGGAACTAGTTATTAGCAATGTTATTTGGAAGGTACACCACTCAACTCTTGAGCATATATATGATTGAATATTGTTCCAAGAAAGTGTCTCACCATAACATCTGTTACCAGGAAATCTTTGAATACTCGAAGTCGGGACCAGTGCTTCAGTTTTGTCACCTATCGCGCTTGAATGTTAAATTTTCTAAATCTGATCTTGAAATGTTGCCAACTCTTCTTGGGAGCTGCCCGAAGCTAGAATTTTTCGTATTGGTAATGAATAACTTTTAACCTTCTCATGTATTCATATTGTTTGTGAAAATATTTGGTGTATATATATTTAGTCAATATTGTTTCCTTCTGCTTTTGCAGGAATTGGTTACTGACAACCGATTCATGTGCCGTAACAAGAAGAACGTTGAACCAAATTTTTCAACAGTACCTCAATGTTTGGTATCATCGCTCAAGTATGTGGAATGGAAACGTCAGATCCCAGGGTATGAAGGAGAAGTGGAGCTAGTAAGATACTTGTTGAAGAATTCAAAAATCTTGGAGAAGTTAAAGCTCGACGTTTACTATACCGAAATGGCTAAGTGTGCCTTCCTTCAAGAACTCCTTACAATGCCAAGATGCTCTACCGTTTGTGAAGTTCATTGTTCAGTGATTCCTATAAAAAAATAAATAATGTTGAATATTTCGTTTAAAAGGTTTATCTTTTGCTCGAACATACTACTAATTAGGTCTTTAAGAAGTGCTTGAACAAGACCTACAGTTCCGGCAAGTGATTTAGTTACTTTCCGTAGTGTATGTTCTCCTTCTTCTCCCTATCTTTTTTTTTTGTTCTTTCTCTTTTTTTATAATTGTAAAATCATTTCCATAAGAATTTGAAAACATAACCCTGACTAGTCTAATGTGGTTTCATCTAGTCAAATGGATTTTGAAAATTCTCTTCAGTATAAGTTTTGACTAGGTTGCGAGCTATGTGTCCCTTTTAGTAACTTTGCATTTGCATCTAAATAGCTAGTCTTTTTGAAACTTTCATTTTCAACTTTGCCATATTAGATTGGGAAAACCATCTGTGTCCCCCCCATTAACTTTCATATAACATCACAACCACACATATTTTCAATCTCGATCTCAGTCCACCTAAAATGAAAGTTAAACTCCAGTTTCCATCCATTTTAAAAATTCGAAACCTCAGGCCCCATATCGCAACTTCAGTCCCCACATCGAAACCCGGCCCATAATACAAAATTCTTGGTTTATCATTGGTTTATGACATCAATCTGATACAAAACCAAAAGATACCGAATTGAAACCCCAATTCGAATATCCCCAAATCCAAAATAAGTTCCCACTAAGAAATCCCCAAATTGAGTTATTAAGAACCCTAATTTCAGTTTCTTATTTTAGCGATCTTGTGATTTTTGGGGTTATTGGGATAGTTAATCGGGTTAATCGAGTTAGTTTATGAGTACATCTGGTTTGTTTACTTTTTTATTTGGTTAATGATGAATTTGGAATAGTAAACCAATAATAAACCAAGAATTTTGTATTATGGGTTTCGATATGGAGACTGAAGTTGCTATATGGAACCTGAGGTTTCAAACTTTAAAAATGGGTGGAAACTAGAGTTTAACTTTCATTTTAGATTGATTGAGATAGAGATTAAAAATGTGTGTGTGTTTGTGATGCTATATGAAAGTGGGGGGGGGGGGGGGGGCACAGATTGTTTTCTCTATTATATTAAGTTTTTTACATAAAAAAAGGCAATGGTTGGTAGAGGGAAATCGAAATAGGCCTCTTCCAGAGGGTAGTTAAGCCAGTTACGGCCTACTCCTTTGATATGTTAGATTCTTTCTCATCTTCCAAAAAGGACAGTACTGTTAAGACAAAATCAAAATAAAACAGACAAAATCTAGTTAACTTATTACAATGGTGTGGATGATACGGTTTGTATTAAGCGTAAGATCCAACATCTAGATATCGTGTGTCCTCCCTGTCTTATGTAGGAGCTGCCACTAAGGCTTTAATACTAACTAGTATCCCTAAAGCTCTTTGAGGTACAGTATCTATCTAGACTTGTCTTTTTTCTTTTCTTTTTTTGGGTCACCACACTTGTCTTCTTTAATTGGTTTATTTTTGACTTAATGGCTTTAAACTATATTAAAATATTAATATTTTAAAGTTTGAGAAAAGCTGATGATATTTTAATGTTCTTTATAAATTTAATTTTTCCACATCAACACTAGAAAGAACCTTTATTCAACTTAGAAAATGTTGTGGGATTTTTTTTTTAATTTTGTAAGATATATTTTCTTACAATTTTATGGAAATAAAGTAATGTTTTACAAAACTCAAAATGTCCCATATCGGCGAAAAATAAACCAACCATTGAAATCGCGTCTTATAAATAGAACTACAAACTATGTTCTCGGAATTCATATTAAGCTCGATGAATCTAAAGTCGAATCATTTTAAATCAGCTATACAGCAGATTGTCGATTTAAGCGCTTGATTGCTTTAAGTGGCGAAGCTGATGAATCAATTCAACAATTAGTACATGGCCTAATTGTCTAATTATTTTTTAGGCGGTTACAAATCAGTCAAGCAATAAAAATATCTGATTTGGCTACCTTTGCAAAGGAGAAATCCAAGTCAGGTGTGTTCTTCTACTTCTTATACTATTGTTTCACTCTTAGGCCATGAATGATTGTGAGTTTTTAAATAGTTTTTAGATTATAGGTTTTGATTTTTTATTTTTAGTTTTTTAGTTTTTTTAGTTTTTTAGTTTTTTAGTTTTTTAGTTTTTTAGTTTTTTAGTTTTTTAGTTTTTTTAGTTTTTTAGTTTTTTAGTTTTTTAGTTTTTTAGTTTTTAGTTTTTAGTTTTTAGTTTTTAGTTTTTAGTTTTTAGTTTTTTAGTTTTTTAGTTTTTTAGTTTTTTAGTTTTTTAGTTTTTTAGTTTTTTAGTTTTTTAGTTTTTTACATAGATATATTTTTGGTTGTTTTTTTTTTTTTAATTCTAAGTCATCTTTCAGAAACCCTCGGCATGTGATTTTAATTCATCTTGATTATACTATATTAGTGAATTTATCTCTTAGTTTGATGCAATCTAGTATGTCTCTACAACATTTAATTGACTCGAACTTAGTTGTGGTTGTTTATGTGATTGTAGTTAGGTGCAGTAAGAGAAATGATGGGTAGAAAGAAGAGAGCCAAAACATGTGACACTTTGTCACATGTGAAAGAAGATAGGATAAGCCAGCTACCTGAACATTTGATATCTGAAATACTTTTTCATCTTCCTACCAAGGAGGCCGTAAGCACCAGTGTCTTGTCTTCGAAATGGAGAAACACTTGGCGATCCGTTCCCGCACTGGACTTATACTCCGCCAAATTCTCGAATTTTGATGCTTTTCTCAGTTTTGTTGAAAGGTTTTTGGACTCAAACAGGGAGGAGTCCACTGCTCACTCTTCGGGGCAGCTACGCAAATTCTGGTCAAATTTTCATGATTTAGATGGTAGGTTTAAGGATTTCCCAACCCGATGGGTTGATGCTTTGACTAGGCGTAGGATTCAGCAAATCGATCTTACTTTTTTCATCTTTTATCCGGCTCATAAGGTACCAGCCCTTAACATATATACATGCAAGACACTGGTACACTTACGTCTCCGTGGAGCCAAACTAGCTAATGCCGAGTCTGTTTCCTTGCCTTGTCTAAAGATCATCTATTTAGAATATGTTAAATACCCCAATGAGTCCACTTTGGAGAAACTTATCTCAGAGTCCCCAGTTCTTGAAGATTTAACGCTCGTAAGCCTCTCAACCGCTAATGCAACTGGTGTACAAGTGTGCTCTAAGACGCTGAAGAGAATCCGCATTCATAAGTTCCAAGTAGTGATTGATGCTCCTTTACTTGAGTGCATAAGGACTGAGATTGAGTCAGGAAAAGACTTTGAGATCATCAATGTGGGTTCCTTTGCCAAACTAGATATTGATGTTGCCTTAGGCAATGCGACATACAATATTAGCATTGTTCCTGACATCCTCACCGACATATGCAGATGGGTTAGGGATCTAGTTCTTAGTAGTAATGTTTTCTGGAAGGTACACATTCTCAATGCTTAAGCATATTTTAGTTTCCTTTTGTAAATAGGAAAGTTTCTCACCAAGAATTAACATTCTTCTTTTCTTGTTTACTTATGTTACCAGGATATTTTGCTATACTCCAACTCTGGACCGGTGCTTCACTTTCGTGATCTATCCCGGCTTGATGCTAAATTTTCTAAATCTGATCTTGAAATGTTACCAACAATTCTTGAGAGCTGCCCAAGACTAGAATATTTCAGATTGGTACGTAGTGAATTACTTTAACCATTTTATTTTTACGTATATTGTTTGTGATTTTTTTTTTATGTATATATATCTCTCTCTCTCTTCTGTTTTTTTGTAGGAATTGGTCAAGGACAAATCCAAGCGTCGTGAGAGGAAGAAAGATCCAAAGGTGATGTTTGCAACTGTGCCTCAGTGCTTGGAAACGTCACTCAAGTTTGTGGAACTGAAACGTTTGATTCCGGGGTATGAAGGAGAAATAAAGCTGGTAAGGTACTTGCTGAAGAATTCAAAAATCCTGGAGAAACTTAGGCTTGATGTTTACTATACACAAAAGAAAAAGTGTGACTTCCTCAAAGAACTCGTTTCATCGCCAAGATGCTCTACCGCTTGTGAAGTCCTTGTTCTTTAGGTACGTACTAAAACTACAAGCAAATATTTTGTAATTTAAGAACAATCAAAGAACTAAGGTTTGATTATTTTATGGTCGTTAAGTTAGCTGATTCTATGAGGCTATGAGCCACACGCATATATTGTATAGTTTAAGTCTTTCTTATGTTACTTGGTGGTTGTTGCTCTATTTCAAATTTGATGGATACTTGCACAATTGACTAAAGCACTGATTTAAGAACTGTCATTTTGCAGGGAAGATATCAAAGGTCACAGGAAATGAGCATACATCAAGTCGCTTTCAAGGTTTCTTCGTCAATGCAGTTTTCTGTAATGAACTTGTAAATTTATCTTCATCATTTTTTCATAAAAACTTCTTAAGCCATTAGATATGTCTGAGTCTTGCAAATGACAATAATTATGATTCTCCTGGATTTCGTTTTTAATTTGTTTTTGGTCATCTGGATATTTATATATATATATATGAATAAACATTGTGAGATTACAATTTGACTTGAGAAAAGTTGATTCCATGAACAAAATTAAAAAAGGAGTAAAATCTACTTGTACACCTCTAGCCTAACCACTAAGCCATTTCTTATTATGTGATTCCCATAAGCTTCATCTGGTGGTCTTGCATAATGCATTCCTTGCTTTGTCTGAGGATCATGCAATCTAGATTATGTTAGATGTCCCAATGAGGCCACTTTTCAAAGACTTGTCTCATCCAATCCTGTCTTGAATGATTTTGGAAGGACATGTTCATTCTCATGTAAAAGGCTTTCGAGTGTTCATCATAAGAGAATGGGTTTTAGTACCCTTTCTATCCTCAGGAGTGCCATGATGATCATGAGGGAAATACCAGAAATGAAGCTAGTACTTCCTAGAAAATTCGGATATCCTCAAGCCACTTACTCTGCCTTTGGATTCTCATGAAATTTTCAGATTCAAGACTTTGTCAAGAAAGTCCTCAAAATCCCAAGACACTATAGCAAATGTAAAGTTGTCTTCCTTTGATTGGTATAAGAGTAGAGGGAACATTGTAAGGTCTTGTGATTTTGTGTAAAGACAATGAGGAAATCTCAGCTGTCCTTAGTAGCAACGGTATTAGACTTTAGTTTCATTATTATCACTTGGTTTTGTAATATTATTAATTTATTTGTTTGGTGATTTTTACAAACGAAAAAAAAATACAAAACAATCATAACTCAACAAAATCTAAACTCAAGTTATTGATAACAAATCATGATCGGTGAGATTTTAACAAGAAAAATCAAATCTTGACACATGATGATAATAAAGGAAAAAAAAATTACAGTGAAAAATGAAATAGTTAACCATGGAATTGTTGTTTTTTTAGTCATGTCAATTTTATTAACTCAGATTTAGTGGGCCTGGTTGGATCGTTGCGTTGGGCTTTCTTATTGTATTAACCAATTACACTCATTAACCATGAACATTACGAACACAGTCTTGACTCTTGAGAGTGGAGACAATCCAGTGCTGAGTGCAGAGAACTCCGGCAATTCCAGCAACTGATTCTTTTCACGCCGGCAAAATCACGATTTTACAGTTCCGGCGAGTGATTCCTTTCCCTTCGAGCAACACATTGTTAGGTTCGTCGTCTTACTTTACCCTTTTTCGGATATGTTGTAAAATCATCATCTTCGAAAGGACTTTGTAAAAACCCTTGCCTGGCTTAGTCTCACTGTGGTTTTTGGATATATGTCTAAGATTACTTATCTAGGGTTTTATATCTTTGACTGGGTTTCTCTGTAAGATGTTTTTGTAAGTCCTACGCATCCAAAAACCGTATCTTTTTACAACTTTCATGTTCAATTTTTGCTATGCAGGTTAGGTTGAAAGATGTTGAATCAGATTCTCTGTTCCAATTGGTTGGAAGATAGGATAAGCCAGTTACCAGATCCTTTGATATGTCAGATTCTTTCTCATCTTCCCACAAAGAAAGCTGTGAGGACAAGCGTTTTATCCACCAGATGGAAGAGTCTCTGGCTTTGGCTTCCTAGTTTGGAATTGGCATCGTCGAAGTTCCCTAATCCCAATGCCTTTATGAGTTTTGGTGACAGCTTTTTCCATTCCAGTAGAGTTTCAAGCATTCACAAGCTCAACTTAACTTTGAACTTTGGAAATGTCAATACTCACTTCGCATCTTGGATTGATGCTGCAGTTAAGCGTAACGTCCAGCATCTACATGTTCGTTATGCTTGTGAGATGCCCTTAAGTCTTTATACCTCTGAGACACTGGTATCCTTAAAACTTTATTGGGTGGTCTTGCCTAGTGCCGAGTTTGTTTCTTTGCCTTGTCTGAAGGTCCTGCATTTAGAATATATTAGCTATTCCAATGATACCACTTTCGAGAAACTTGTCTCATCCTCCCCTGTCCTGGAAGAGTTAGAGTTTGGACTTGTTAGTTCTGTTGAAAATGTCTTTCGGGTGCTCTCTAGGTCATTGAAGAAGCTCACTATAAGTATACGCATCTCTGTGGGTGTTTCTGAGAGAGGAATTTTGATTGATGCCCCTCGACTAGACTTTCTTGGCATCTGTGATAACTTATCAGAAAGCTTTATAATAATGAATATGGGTTCCAATGTCAAGTTAGATCTTGATCTCAGCCCTGCTATATTATTTGAAGTATTAGATGTTTTATCCAGGAGAAATAGTTTGCACAGTTTTCTCCCCCAGATTTCAAAGATCAGGGATATGTTCATACATCTAGGCACTTCCCAGGTATCTATGTCAATTCCCGTATACGACATGTGCATAATCTATCATGAATGTTTCTGACCCACATCAGTTTTTCTTCTTGTTCTAGCTCCTCTGTGAATACTCGAAACTAGAACCACTGCCTCAGTTTGGTTACATGTCCCGCCTGCAAGTAGAGCTCTATTATTCCCATTCGAAATGGTTACCAACCTTACTGGAAAGCTGCCCTAACTTGAAATCTCTCATCTTGGTAAGGATCTGCCAAAACCAATATGTTTTACATTTTTTCGAAGATTCTGTATATTGTCTCTGTGTTTTAATCTCCTCTTCTGTCCTCAGCTATGCTACAACGCAGTTCATGAGGAAATGCCATTTGAGGAGACGAATCAAGTCGGTTTTTCGACTGTGCCTCAGTGTTTGCTATCGTCTCTCGAATTTGTTGATTTCAAAGTGAAAGTATCGGGACTTGCTGCAGAGATGAAACTAGTAAGGTACTTTCTAGAAAATTCGCCAATCCTCAAGAAGCTCACTCTTCCTTTGCGTTATGATAACATTCAGATTCAAGATGACTTGGTCAAGAAATTCCTCAAAATTCCAAGACGCTCTACCGAATGCGAAGTCGTCTTCCTTTGATTGGCGAAGAGTAGAGAGAACATTGTAAAGTTTCGTGATAATGTAAAAACGAAGTGAATATGCATTCTAGTTTCATGGTTGGTATGGCTTAGGTCCATCTAGGCGTAGGCTTTCATATGTTTCTCTTATCATTTGTGTTTAAGTAGTGAAAAAGCTTGGAGATCTCAGTTGTTCTTATTTTGGTGACTTTGTGTAAAGAGTTGGATATGCGTAACAGTTTCATTGTTATTTGGTTTGGTGATATTATGATAGCGTAATTAGTTTGCTCATTCGTTTCTGAATTCTTCATGGATATTTATATCTGTTCAGATGTTATGAGCTTTTGATAATGAATATGAATTACTAGCCACACAAAACATTGAAAGCTCATTTTCTCAAGCAAGTGTTGGTGGTTGTGTGTCAAGTCATTGGCTTCTAAGTAGTAAAAGTTAGAGAGAACATGTGAAGCTTGTCTCTGATTTATAAGTTTGATGTAGGAAACTCTTGCCACACAAGAAATCGAGTTGTTGTTATGGAACTATTTCTCCTTCTTACGGTTTTACCTTAATCTGCAACTCTGTTTTGCACCTTTGTACTCTAATACGCTCTGTTTCTTGCTTTGGTTTTTTTTTTAATTATTATTCGGTATTTCCGGTTTGGTCCAGTCAGAACAGAGAGATAAAAACGGCAAGGCGTTTGTAGTAAGAGATAACCAACGGTAAGGCGTTTGTAAACTAAGGATCACGAATCCTCTTCCTCTTCCCAAGGCTAGGTTTTGTTTTTCTGAAAACTTTCGTAAGACATGGTTGATAGAGAGAAATTTAAACAAGCTTGTTCCAAGGGGTTGAGTGAGAGATTGAAGGAAGATAGGATAAGCCAATTACCTGATCCTTTGATTTGTCACATTCTTTCTCATCTTCCGACAAAAGAAGCTGTTACGACAAGCGTTTTGTCCACCAGATGGAGGAGTCTTTGGCTTTGTGTTCCAAAGTTGAAATTAGATTCCAAAGAAATCGGAGATTTCAATTCCTTTGTGAGTCTTGGCGACCGGTTTTTCGATTCCGATAGGGTTTCATGCATAGACAAACTCAAGTTAACTATTGATAAAAATGGTGAAGGTGTTAATGATACGTCTTATATCACTACATGGATTGATGCTGCAGCTAAGCGTAAGGTCCAACATCTACGTGTTAACTTTCTTGTAAGGTTTTCTTATGAGATGCCCGTAAGCCTTTATGTGTTTAAGACACTGGTCTCTGTCAAGCTCTTTCATGTAACGTTGAATGATGTCGAGTTTGTTTCCTTCCCTTGTCTGAAGACTATGCATTTAGATTGTGTTTGCCTTTCCAAGATTTGCAAGGATGCTGCTTTTGAGAGACTTGTCTCTTGCTGTCCTGTCTTGGAAGACTTAGAAATTGTCCGATGTACGAATGCTCCTCAACCCCTTCGGGTGCAGTCTCGTTCACTGAAGATGCTCAATATCGTACGAGGTTATTCTAGTCAGATTGATTTTTTTCATGGAGTTGTCATTGATGCTCCTCTGTTATGCTGTTTGAGTATCCATGATGCGAAATCAAAAAGCTTCATAGTTAACAATCTTGAGTACAATGCCAAGTTAGAAGTTTGTGTCACCTTTGGTTTAGAGGTTGCTGACCAAGCCAGCGGCATTTCATTGGGGAGAAGTCTCATCAGTACTTTTCTGTCAGGGATCTCGAAGGTCGGCGATTTGACGATACATGAGAAGACTTTCAAGGTATATATATGTATTGGACATACACATTTAGTATAATGAAAAGTTTCTAACTTACTATAGTCTCTCTCTCTGGTCTTAGATCATTTATAACTATTTAAAGTCAGAATCGCTGCCTCGGTTTGGTTATATGTCACGCCTATGCGTCTCTCTCTATCCATCATATATGAAAGGGTTGCCAGCATTTCTTGAGAGCTGCCCGAATCTGAAATCCCTAGTCTTGGAGGTGAATTTGCTAAACCCTATGATCATTTTCTTACCTCTATGTACCTTTCTGCCATATTATTTGATTGTATTTTCTCCTCTCGTTTTTGTTTAAAAGCTACATTGTGGTTATTGTTCCTACGGGGAGGAGCTACATTTGGAGGAGATGCCCAAGTGTTTGCAATCATCGTCTCTCGAGTTTGTTGATTTCAAATTCCCATTTTGGGGAGATGTTGAAGACATGAAGTTAGTAAAGTGCTTCTTAGAGAATTGTGTTATTCTCAAGCAACTCACACTACATTTGCATTCTTATCCAACAAAAGATGAAATCTTGAAGAAACTCTTGGAAGTCCCAGCCAAATGTGAGGTTGTCATTGTTGAAGAGTAGAGGGGAACAAACATGTGAGAGGTTTGTATTTGACAGATCAATCGGTTGATGTAGTCGTAGTTATGAGTAAAAAGGAATGAAACTATTTAGGTACTTTGCAACATATCTCAACTTGATTGTTCTTAGAATCTTTGCACACAAAAAAAAAAGAGTGTTCTTAGAATCAAGTGAATATACATTATAGTTTCATGGCTGGTTTGGCTGTGGTTGATGTATGTCTCAGTTGTTCTTAAAATCGACTGGTTTATATTTTGGTGATTTTGTGTGAAGACAATGTTTGGATATGCATAACAGTTTCATTATAACTTGATTTAGTTTATATTATGACATCGTAATAATTTTGTTTATTCGTTCCTATAATTTAAGATTGATCTTTATATCTGTTCAGGTGTTAGAAAACTCTTAGCAAAGTCAAATCGAGTCACTAGCTTTTGCCACACAAAATGCAGGTTTAGGCCTTCTTGATTTGATTTGGTTTGGTAAAATTAGAAGCTCATTTTTGTCCTAGCAAATTTTCATTGTGTGTCAAGTCATTTTCATCGGATTAGTAAAAATTAGAGAGAACATGTAAAGCTTGTCATCGGAAGATCTTGCCGCAGAAGAACTTTCAGATCGTCAATTTGGGTTCCTCTGCCAGACTAGATGCTTCAAGCGATGCGACATGCAGTAGCAGCATGATTCATGACATTCTTACCGCCATACCAATGGTCAGGGAGCTAGTTATTAGTAATGGTATTTGGAAGGTATACATCTCTTTGAGCATATATATATGAGTTTCTTCTGCAGAAGCTTATCACCATAACATTTCTCTTAACTTGTTTACTTCTGTTTCCAGGGAATATTTCAGATCTTGAAATTGGGACCACTGCTTCAGTTTCGTGACCTATCCCGCTTGAATGTTCAATTTTCTAAATCTGATCTTGAAATGTTGCCAACCCTTCTTGACAGCTGCACAAAACTAGAATCTTTAGTGATGGTAATAGATAACTTATAATCATCTGATTTAATAAGCCTCTGATTCATGCATATTGTTTGTGAAAATCTTTTGTGTATATTCTCTACTCAATTTGTTTTCTTCTGTTTGTGCAGAAATTGGATAAGGAACCATACATGCGTGGTAACAAGAAAGAACCAAAGGTGGTGTTTTCTTCAACAGTGCCTCAGTGTTTGCTATCATCGCTTAAGTTTGTGGAATGGAAACGTTCGTTCGTAGGGTATGAAGGAGAATTGGAGCTAGTAAGATATTTCTTGAAGAACTCAAAAGTATTGGAGAAATTTAGGCTTGATACTTACTATGCCAACAAGGCTAAGTGTGCCTTCCTTCAAGAAATCCTTACGATGCCAAGATGCTCTAGCGTTTGTGAACTCCATTGTTCTTTAATTGCTAAAAATAGATATGGTTAATCATTGAAATCAAAGTAGGTTGATCTGTTTGGTGGTTAAAGTAGTTGGTTTTAGGAGGGATGTATTAGGCTTTGAGCCATAATCAAATATTGCAGTTTTAAGTCTTTCTTATGTTACTTGGTTGTTGCTGCTCATGTAATAGTCACCGGTTACCAACTTTATTTCAAATTTGATTCTCCACAAGTTGTTCGAGCACTAATTAGATTTTTTTTTTTTTTTTTTTAATGTTTATGTTCTCTTTGCTAGCTGTTTGGCTTGTTAATGAATTGTCAAATTTCAGGAATGATGTTCAAACTTTGATTTCTAATCCCAAGATATATCAAAGGTCAGGGTAATAATCATACATGAAGTCGCTTTCAAGGTTTCTAGGTCAGTGCAGTTCTCTATACGATAAGTCACAGTAATAAACCTAGTTAGGTAATTTTTCGGCAATCGTCAAGAGACTCACTTTGTCTCAAGTAAATGAAAATGTTTGAGAGTCTAGCAAAAGTACAAACCATGGACTGACTATAACAAAATTATATGATTTACCAATAAAAATCAACATAATATCTCTTTCAGTATTTAATTATATTCTTATAGCAAAACGGATCGACACATCACCAGAAAAACCTAATACATCAGCCGTCTTCTTCACCCTCTCCTCAGTGCAGTAAAAATCAGTATTGTAATTTCAAACCCTAAGGATTCGTCTCTCTCTCTCTCTCTCTCTCTTGCTCGCACCGAGGTACAATTCGTCTCTCTTGTTCTTCAAGCATTCCACAATTTTCGTTCCTTCAACCTCTCTTCGTTAGTCCTGTTGTTTGTTTATACCACGCCATATATAAGGTCATTTATTCGATAGAGGATACTGTATCTCCATCGTTTTATGTCACCATGTGAATTGAACCAACCCATCAATTGGTTCATTCTCCTAATCCATATATAGTAATATCATCAATCATTGAAAATAGAATTTGTTTGTAGTATACTATGATTCAATCTATCGACTCGTCTTCAATTTTCCTATGCAGGGTTCTATGTCATTTTTTTTTTTTTTTTTTGTGCAGATTAGTAGTTTCAACAGAAGAGTTAAACACATGGTTGATAGAGGGAAAACAAAACAGGCTCGTAGTTTGAAGGAAGACAGAGTAAGCAAATTACCTGATCATTTGATATGTCACATACTTTCTCCTCTTCCCATAAAGGAGATTATTAAGACAAGCCTTTTATCCACCAGATGGAGAAGTCTCTGGCTTTCGGTTCCTTATCTGGATCTGAATTCCCAAAATTTCCCGCATGATTTTAATGCCTTTGTGAGTTTTGGTGACATGTTTTCTAGTTCCGGTCAGATTTCAAAGGTCAAGAAAATGTTCATAAATCCAGTCACTTTCAACGTAAGTGGTTCACATTGTATGCTTTTTTCTCTAATGAAAATGCCTCTTAATTAGCCAAAATCCTTTTGTCTGGTACTTTCAGGTCATGCATCACTATTCCAAAGTAGAACCGCTGCCTCAATTTGATCACATGTCTCACCTCGAACTTGTGCTCTGTGTATCCGATTTAAAATGGTTGACAACTTTTCTTGACCACTTCCCGAATCTGAAATCCTTCGTATTGGTGATGATTTGCTATAAAAACCCTATATATGCTTTTTTCATACCTCTAACAAGATTCCGCAACATCATTTTAATATTGTGTGTTTTATATATATATATCCTCTCTCTTATTCCCCATCAGGTAGTGGAAGACTACTTTAAGAATACTCGTCTCGACGACTTGACTGATGATATCAGTTATTTTTCACCAGCTGTGCCTCGATGTTTCTTGTCGACGTTGGAGTGTGTTGATATCAAAAACAGTATAATCATGTCATCTGCTTCAGAATTCTTATTTCTGAATGTAGCATTTTACTTTAGGGCGAGCTCGACAACTCTCAAGAAACTAATTCTACGTTTCCATTCAGAAGACGGTGCTAATTTTAGAATGGCCGTCGTCAATAAGTTCATGGACATCCCAAGACGCTACGTCGATTGTGAAGTCCTCTTATTGTCTGAAGTTTGATTGATAAATACTAGAAATAACATGCCGATTAACTCTTTTGATTGGTTTTAGTCAGGGGATTTTTTTTTGGGGAGCAGAATAGATATTAAACTATCTGAACAAAATTGGGGATTTCATTATTGTTATTTCTTGGTTCTTGCCTTGCCATATGCATTGACACTATCCTAAATATTTTGCGTTGGACTGGACCATTTATTTTGGGGCTTTATTGGTTCAGACCGGACAAAGCCATTTATCCCAACCTCAACGATGTTAATTTGCACTTGCAATTGTGTCAGAGGAGTCGAAAAGACATTATTCAAGCGCTATTGTTTCACAGTGGTCTAAGGAAAGGGCATTTGGATGATCGATGGTACCTTCATTAATAAGGTTTATTCATATGGTACATGACCATGGAGGGTTTTGATCTGCCGTACGTGTTTCTCCCTGGTGAGAAATATGAACATTTCTGGTTAAGGACATTTACATTTTGCATCATGAAAGTTTCTGCCTTGGTTTGGTTTTATCCCGACTGCGTGTTTACTCTCTCCTTGTATCTTATTTGAATAGATTAAGAAAAGAAAAAATTTAGCTTGTGAGAGAAGAAGAGAGTTGTTATTTAAGAACATGCATAGAGTATACTAATTAGAACCTCTATCTCCACTTATATTTTTTTAATTAGCTTCTTTTTATATTAAAATATTCATATTTTAAATTTAATATAATCTTAAGCTGCTTGAGTATCCATGATGAAAAATCAAAAAGCTTCATAGTTAATAATCTTGAGTACAATGCCAAGTTAGAAGTTTATGTCACCTTTGGTTTGAAGTTTGTTGATGAAGCAAGCGTTTCATCGAGGAAGAGTCTCATCTGTAGTTTTCTGTCAGGGATCTCGAAGGTCGAGGATTTGACAATACATGAGCAGACTTTCAGGGTATATATATATTGGACATACATATGTAATATAATGAAAAGTTTCTAACCAACTATAATCTCTCTGTCTCTCTGCTTTCAGATTATTTATAACTACTCCAAATCGGGATTGCTGTCTCAATTTGGTTATATGTCACGCCTGTGCGTTTCTCTCTATTCACAATATATGAAAGGGTTGACTGATAAATCGTTTGCATAGTATTTTCATTATTACTTGAAGCTCGTCTGCTTCCAAAGTCCTATAATGCTAAAAACAAGGGAGCATCTCATTTTAACTGAATACTAAATAAAATACCAAGGAATAAAACCATTTGGTACTTTGCTGGACATCTCAGTTGGTTTTTATTTTTGGTGACTTTTGTGTGATTTGGTGATTATGGTACATTTCAAAAAATAAGCCCAATAAGGCCCAAATAAACTGGAAACACACTATCTTGGCATCTTCTTCTTCACAACTCTCAGCCTCGTACGAAGTGCAACAAGAGATTTCACCAAATCAGTCTCAAATTTCAAAACCTTACGGATTCATAATCTCTATCGCACTTAGGTTTGTCTCTTGTTCAACAAGTATTTCCACCATACTCATTCTATATATGTTAATCCGTTTTTTTTTTTTTTTTTTGTTAATTTGTCTCTCTGCGTCTGAAGATCACTATCCTAGGGTTTTTGATTTGTTTCACTAGGTTTCCTGATAGAAATGTTGATTGTAACCTTTGCTTACCGTAACTCCCACGCCTTCGAATAGTTAAATTTTGTGTAACTTTCGTCTTCACTTTTGCTTTGCAGGTTAAAAGTAAAAAAAGACATTAATGGTTGGTCGAGGAAAAGCAAAACAGGGTCGTTCCATAGGCTCAAAGCGTAGATTGAAGGTAGATCGAATAAACCAATTACCGGATCCTTTGATATGTCAGATTCTTTCTCATCTTCCGACAAAAGAAGCTGTTTCGACAAGTGTTTTGTCCGCTAGATGGAGGAGTCTCTGGCTTTGGCTTCCTCGTTTGGAACTGAATTCCAGAAAAATCCGAAGTTTAAGTGCCTTATTGGGTTTTGGCGACAGGTTTTTCGATTCCAATAGGGTCTCATACATGCACGAACTCAAGTTAAGTATGTCTGACATTAGATTCATAGACAGTGAAGATTATGATTCCTCTTGTTTTACATCATGGATTGATGCAGCTGTCAAGCGTAAGGTTCAGCATCTATGTGTTCGTTTTCCTCCTAACAGTGTTCTTGATGTGATGCCACTAAGCCTTTATATCTGTGAGGCTTTGGTTTCCTTAAAACTTCATCTGGTGGTTTTGCCTATTGCCGACTTTGTTTCCTTACCTTGCCTGAAGGTTTTGCACTTGGATACTGTTTGCTATCCTAATGAGGCCACTTTTGAGAGACTTGTCTCATCCTCCCCTGTCTTGGAAGAGTTAGAGATTAAGGGAAGTGTTAGTTGTAAGGTAGAAGACTTTCGGGTGTTCTCTACGTCATTGAAGAGGCTAACTATATGTTTACGCTTCTCTCTGCTTCATTCTGAATCAAAAATTTTGATTGATGTTCCTCGACTAAGGTTTTTGAGCATTGATGAAAACTTGTCAGAAAGCTTTGTAATAGCCAATATGGATCCCAATGTTAAGGTAGATCTTTATCTCAGCTCTGGTTTTGTTTCTGAGGCAGCATATGATACATCGAAGACTAGAAGATTGCACAACTTTCTCCCCCAGATTTCAATGGTCAGGGATATGCTCATACATCTAGGCACTTTACAGGTACCTATGTTAATTCTGGCATTGGACATATGTACATTTTCCATCATGAGAGTTTCTGACACACATTATTTTTCTATCTTGTTCAAGCTCCTCTATGTTTACTCAAAACTAGAACCACTGCCTCAGTTTGGTTACATGTCCCGCCTGCACGTAGCTCTTTATCATTCCCATTCGAGATGGTTACCGACCTTTCTTGAGAGCTTCCCAAACTTGAAGGCTCTCACCTTGGTGATGATCTTCTAAACCCAATAAGCTTTTTAATCTCTATGAAAATTCCATGTATCTATCTTATCATTCTGTTTAATCCTCTCTCCTGTCCTCAGGTATTCTATGATGATTATGAGGACATGCGCTCCGAGGAGATGAGCCATTTTAGTTTTTCACATGTGCCTCAATGTTTGCTATCGTCTCTCGAGTCTGTTGATTTCAAAGTGCGAATCTGGGGACTTGGTGTACAAATGGAGCTAGTAAGGTACTTTCTAGAGAATTCGGCTATCCTCGAGAAACTCACTCTACCACCTTTCCATTATGATGCAATTCAGATTGAAGATGACTTTGTTAAGAAAGTCCTCAAAATCAAAAGACGGTCTACCAAATGTAAAGTCATCTTTATTTGATTGGTAAAAGAAAGTGTCGTAGAAAGATTACTGAGGTTTTGTGATTATAAGAAGACAAAGTGAACATGATTGTTTTGGCTTCGATTCTTCTAACTTCTTCTTTGGCTACTTGGTTTTCGAATTTTAATGAAAGCTCGTGGATCTTATATCAGTTCAAATTTAAATTAAACATGTAAACCACACTAGTCAAGAAACAGAGGTAAATGACCAAATGACTCTAGCCAACAAAGATCCTGCTGCAGTCTACAGACTCTACACAATCACGTCCCAACGCACAACTGTTTTGCCTGATAAAACGATAAATAGATTTCTAGTGCGTAAATTGCTAAGAGGTATAGATTGGTTGTTTGTACTTTGTAGGATGCACCAAGTGGTGTAAATAATGGTAGGCGTTGAGTTTTGCTGGTTATTTACTGAATTTCAATGGCCGACTCTTAGAATGTTAAATTTAACATTGTTAATTTTGAGCATGGTTACTATTAAAAGGGCAAAAGTAAAATCATGTGTATATCTTAGCTTAGAGCATTGGCGATTAGTTCACCTAAAAATGAAAGCAAGATATGAGAATGTTTTGCCTCATTCTAATATGCCTTCCACTTTTGAATGTTTTGCCTCATTCTAATATGCCTTCCACTTTCGAAAGCTTGACTTGTAAAATCAGACCTTTCGTTGTTGCTTCGCCATATAGTCAGGAGATCTGCCTACCTCTTCCGACTGCCTAACCCCTGAGACTGAGCCATAGGAGTCATAGCCACATATATGGAGTGTGGGGATGACGACGCTGCAGCTGCTGCTGCCACTTTGGCTGCTGCTGCTGAAGCTGCTACCTTTTTTTGTGCACCTTCTCTAGCTTGAATGTAGTCGTCCTCTATCACAAATAGCTGCAGCCAAACCCAATTTAGCATTTTGAAGTTTTGAGAAACCACATGAGTTGAATAGTAACTGGGATGAGACAGACCTCAGTATGGCTAGCAACAAAATCGTCCAGCTTCCCGTACTTTTTCCTGTAATCATGCCAGTGCAGAGGGGCTAGCATTTTTCCCAGACGGTTTGGAAGCTGTATAGCACATATGAAACAGAAATTATACGAAAAGCCTTTCTCAAATTAAAGTGTTCAAACTCATTGTGGTTACAAATAATTTGCTCACCGTTGAACTAATTCTGATTCTTCCACCAGCTGGTATAGTACGGAGGATGCATGTCAAAAGTGACCTTTCATCAAGCAGAGTACTCTCCGGGTTCCTCTCAGGTTTCCCAGATGAGAATAGAGTTTCAGGCACAATGGATGTAGAACTATTGTGTTCATCAGGTGAAACCTGGCCATTAGCTTCCTGGGGAGGAAATTCAAAACACATTCAGAACATTTTCCTGTAGCCAACCAGCCAAGAAAAACTGTGAGGTAATATGTGCATTGCATACCTCAGGTTTCGAATTATGGGCATGGGAATCAAGCCTTAGCGCATCTCGGAACTGTGAAGAAATGTCTTGAAAGTTATTCTCCAAGTGACTCGACCCATTATAATCTCCATTGCCAGATTCCACTGCCTGTTAACAGAGTACTTAATAAGGTTGTATCAACGTATCATATTGAACATGAATAACCCCATAACGTAATAAGAACATCCCCTACCTGTTCATTCACAGAGGACGATTGTGTAGTAGATCTGTATTGTGCTACTTGGCTAGTTTGAACATCTCTATACCCCTGACCAAAGGATTGTCCGTTGGGAGGCACTCGGTATTCACTCTTCAGATCAGAACCTACCAAGCCATGAACACCTTGAGATGGATGCACATGATTCTGAGTAGGCATCTGTGAATTATCTGGTACAGCCTACAAATAAGAGCAGGAAACACAAAGGTCATTAATTATAAAAGAAAAAAATGAAACAAAGTATGCATTCATCAGCTCACACACCTTTTGCTGCAGCAAAACTGACTGCGTAACATGAGGTGAAGCGACCTGTGGTTGAACAAACTGAGAAATCTCTTGTTGCTGCATGAAAAATGAATGCAGAGGGGTCATCTGACTCGCTTGAAGGTACCCATACGCTCCAAGATTAGAAGATGACACCCCATCAACACGGTTGTTCTACAAATAATGACAAGAGAAAAGGCAATTACAGTTATAATAGGATCCATCTCAAGTGTTTCAGCAAAAATTATTTCATTGCCGAGAATATAAGCATTGTACTGAATAGCGAATATGATGTGGAGTATGGCAGATCTAGATTTTTGAACAAACAGCACTAAATTGAATCGACAAGTAATGAAACAAATACTTCCAAACACAAACAGAACTTTTATGCTGTCCTTATTGATTTGCAACAGTACTTTTGGCTGCTGGGGATGTCCAATTATTTCACTTTCGCTTAACAGTTTTAACATCTAATAATTAACAATTAAAAGACTGACGAGACCCAACTGAATAATCAACTGTATAAATTCATGTAAACACATGCTAAATTGTAACGTGTCTACGCTATCATCTTGTAAATCCAACACAATACACCAAACAGAGAGAAACCATTCAAGATAATCAACAGAACAAACATGCACCTGGGTAGCCTTATCATCAGGTGAAGTAAAAGATGATATGTTATCTGAGCTTTTTCCATTTGAATGGACACTAGTGTTTGCACTTTCTGCGCTGTTTCCATGAGCATCAAATTGGTTCCCGCTGTTCTGAATAGTTTGGGAGGCACCACTGGAATTTGTTAGAGAACCACCAGCTTCCCTTACATTGGCTAGCTCAAGCTGAAGTTGTTTCACTGTATGCACATGCAATCTCTCCATCTCCGCAAACTGAACTCAATGACAAGGAACAAAACATAAGTTCGAGTAAAATAATTTCAAGGAAAACCAATTAGTAACTGGAAAATAGCCAAGGAACTGACCTGTCTCTGACAACCATGCCAGAGCTGGTTATACTGCTCTGTACGTTCTCGCAATTCCGCCTGCAACGAATGATTTGTGGATGATTGTAAAGCATCTATCTCTTGGGCACGGGCAATCCAACCTTGCGCTTCTCTTAGCTGCTCATCCTTGTACAAGATAGTTTCTTGAGCATTCCTATTCTACAAAGCCATTAAGGATAAGGACTCTGGTATTAGTGTATTAGAATTTCAAAAATGACAATTATATAACTGAAAGATCCAGATGTTTGACAGATTTGATTGTGTCATAAAATAAGGGAAAACTAACTTGTTCCTGCAATTCACTGAGCTGGCTCTCTTTCTCTTGAATATGCTCCTGAAGTTCAGATATTTTATGTATATTTTGGGACCTCTCAGCTTCAGAATGATCACGCTCTCGTCTGCATATTAAGAAAGGAAAAAAGTAGTTTGTTATACTTTCGAAAACCTCATGCCTAAAACATCTAATAAAGTAGAAATAAAAGGCCGGATACTATATTTCAAAAACAAAAGTAGCAGAACCCTATATAAAGATAAAGAGTAACAGATGAATTCAGTATACAGGAAACCTCATACAACTTAACAAAGAGTAAACGACTTAAGAAATTAACAGCACCTGAATGTGGCAAGTTCTTTATTTTGTTCTCTTAAGATACCCTCTTTCGCCCATGCCTAGTATCAGAACAAAAATAACTTAGAAACAAGTCATTCAGATTTATATCAGAAAAGATTCTAGTAACAATATAAAAACCAGCATACTTCTTCATTATCCAGTTTAATGGCATGCAGCTCTCTGTCTTTCTCTTCTAACTTCCTCTCTGCCTCCCGAATAGATCTCTCCTTCTCATGAAGTTGCTCCTAAAAATTCAACAACACTCTTTTAACTTCCATGTAACATAATGCTCAATGAAATATAAACCATGCTATTATACGAGGGGACTGGACTGAAACCTAACCTGCATTCTAGCAGCAGCATTAGCATACTCTGTGAATTGAGATTCATAGTTGCTCTGGATTTCCATGATCTCATGTCTCGCAAACAGCTGAGCTCGAAGCTCAATCTCTAACTGCTGAAGTTCTCCTTTCTTTCTAGAAACATTAAGAATCTGTTGCTGCAACATCTCACTATTTGAAAAACCATCCTGCTCCCTTCCACTCTACACAACAACAACAAAAAAGTTGTCATTTCCATTCTCCAATAAGTTCAAAAAAAACTAACTAACATTGCAAGACATAAGTAATTAACCTCATATATCGTTCTCTCATCCGTCCGGTTTAGCTTCAACTGTTCCACATCCTGCAAAATTTTTGACAAAGACAATCAAAATATGAACTAGGAAACAACCAAAAGCAAATCACTTTATTCTCTATACAAAGATTAAGAAATGTTAATCACAGTGAAATCAACAAATAAAACAGTATACAAAAAAAAAAAAAATCAAAACTTTCAGATTCAGTCAACTCATTCCTCTTAACATAAACATAACCCAGAAGCATAAACCTTACCACATAATCTGTGGCGTCTCCAACGTTTTGTGAATCCGAAACGGCATGCCATTCTTTCCTAGACGGAGCCGTCGGCGACGGAATCTGAAGGGAACCGCCACGAGTTGCTGCTACGCTCGAAGCGGTCTCCATTACTAAGAATCTCACAGAAGAGACTCCAATTACAGTACTAATGATCGCACTGGAAGAAGGAAAAAACTAGGGTTTTATCGGAAATGTGACCCAGAGTATTGTAACTAGAAATTATAAGAAGATGGGTAAATAAAACCCACGACTGAAGAAGAGACGAGCTGAAGAAAGATCTAAGAAACGAAAATGGTGGAAATGTTTGACGAAGAAGAGACGAGCACAAGTGAGAAAACGACTCGAAAGTTCTGAAATTTTTACAGAATCAATCATTTGCCAAATTCTTTACTCGTGAGAGTGAAGATGACTTTTTCAGGTCCTTTGGGCCTATTAAGGCCGAGTTACCTTTGGCCCAGTAAGAGCCGACAAGCAAAACTTAGCAGGAACGTTGGCATGAACCTGCTACGCATGCCCAGTTGCCACATTGTGTATCAAACAAATCCACGTAGCTTCATTGATGTTTACAACAAAAATCTTACCACGAATGAGTTTACAACAAAAATGAAAAGAACAAACAACTCACGTGACTGTCCATGTTCAAACATTAGCATTGGAGCCGAACCGGACGGTTTGAGTCCCTGTCCGGGTCAGAAAACAAGTGCTTGAACAATTTGTGCGTATATATATATATCCATTGAATTTGGAATAAATTGGTAATTTGTGAAATTACATATCCATCAAGAGACCAAAGAAAGATTCTGATATGCAAAAAATAGCCACCAAAAAAAAAAAGAAAAGTTAAACAACAATTAGTTGGCAAGTGCTAGAGCATCTTGGCATTGCAAGGAATTCTCTGAGGATAAAATCCGCGGCTTTTACCCTTTTCGTGGCTTTTACCCATTTCGTCAGATGCAAATCAGAAAATGTTACACTCAATTTCTCCAGGATTGATGAATTCTTGAGGAAGAATTTGACTAGATCCATCTCTCCTTCATGCCCCAAGATCGGACTTTTGAATTCCACAAACTTGAGCGATGATACCAAACACGGAATCTCCACCATGTGAAACGTTAACTTTGGTTCACTATTCTCCGTATCACATAAGAAAAAATGTCGGTTCTCAACCAATACCTGAAACAAAAACAATAAGATAAGAAAAATAAGTTGAGTAGACATGCATAAAACTAAAACAAACTTAAGAACTATTCATCACCAAGTTGAGAGATTCTAGTTTCGGGCAGCTCTTAAGAAGAGTTTGCAACATTCTAAGATCGTAGTTACAAAATGTAGCGGTCAATCGGGATAAGTAACTAAAATGAAGCAATGGTCCCGATTCTAATCTTGGAAAGATGTCCTGGTAACAAAGTAAACCAAAACAAACAAAACATTTAAGAATGTTGGTTAGAAACTTTTTTTTTTTTTTTTTGTGTGGAAGAATATATTTTATAGGTTCAAACGTTGATAAGTCTACCTTCCAAGAATGCAACTTAATAGCTAGCTCCCTGACCCTTGAAATATCAGTGAGGATATCACGAATCGCTTTTCTCCTTGATACGCGGTTTGGATCCAACGTATCATTCGAACCACCAAAGCTAATGTCTACTTTGGCAGGGAAACTCGAATTGATGACCGTATCCTTCTTTGTTCTATGGAAGACTGTCTTTAGACACTGAAGAAGAGGAGCATCAATCACAACATGGAAAATTTCATTTATGTGGATTCTCTTTAGCGTCTTAGAACGCACTTGTAAAACCTTTACGTTTTCAGACGAACTATCAGTGAGGGTTAGATCTTCCAGAACTGGGCAGCCTGAGATAAGTCTCTCCAAAATGGCCTCACTGGGAGAGTGAATATACTTTAAGTAGAGGATCTTCAGACAAGGTAAGGAAACAAACTCGACGTTAACCAAGTTTAGTCGACAGAGGCGTAAGTGTACCAGTGTTCCACATGTATACACGCTCATGGGTATGTCACCGAAGCCAGAATCTTTAATAAAACTAATATCAAGATGTTGAATCCTACCCCTTGTCACAACATCTATCCATGAGGTCAGATAAGACTTGCCAGCATATCGATCATGAATAGTTAAACATAGTTTTTGTATCAACGAGTGATCTTTATGTAAATCAAGGAACCTGCCAACAAAACTCACAAAGTCACTGAACAACCAGAAATGTCTTCCGGAGTCTAAATCCAAACTAGGAACCAACTGCCAAAGATTTCTCCATCTGGTCGATAAAACACTTGTTCTTACAGCATCCCAGGTAGTAATACGAGTAAGTATGTGACATGTGATCAAATGATCAGGTAAGTGGCTTATCCTATCTTCATATGACCGTGTCTTTTTCAATATTCCACCCAACATTTGTTTCTCTTTAGACAACTAGTCTGCAATACCAAGTTTAAGAAAAATATATATCTTTTAAACAATTGAAAGTTAGGAAAACAACCAAACATGACACAGAAAAATTGCGGCAAACCCTACGAGGCTAGCTAGACTTGTTAGTTTAGGGTTTCTCAACGTTTCTGAATATGACTAAAATTAATCAAGCAACAGTATGAGAAGATGAAGAACGCACCGGGATGAAGTTTAATCACTACCGTAGATCAAACCTATTCGCCTTCCTCCACTTGATTCATGTATATGTCTATCGAAATTTTTAGGGTTCCGATGAAAATATTGGAATTGTAAACGTGTTACGCACGTTTATAAGGGTGTGAACTGGTCTGGACCGACCCGAACCAGGAACAAAAGAATATGTGATTTTTCCAAAATCACAACCTCCGTTTAGACAGGAACAAAGGGAAAATAAATAAATAAATAATAATGAATATATGTCAAAATCAAATTTGTTAAACATTTTGACCTTGCTAAGACGTGACTAACATTTGAACTTGTTGAAAACTATGAGCTGCCATGGAACTTCAGAAACTCAAAGAGAGCAAAAGAAAAAGGCTAATAACATCATTACAAAGAACCGAAGTCAAACCAACCAATAACCTTTGTCATAAACTTCTGAACATAGTCACATTGTCTTTACATAAAACCACAACAAACCTATTCTTTTTAGTTGTTTATAAGGTCAACGGTTCAACCTAACTAACCCCAAACATATATAACAAAAACTCAAATAAAACCTCTCATGTTCCCGCGGCTGTACTGTTAGTAAATCATAGGATGACAACTTCACATTAGGTAGAGCTTCTTGGGATTTTGAAGACTTCCTTACAGATATCATCTTTTGTTAAATGAGATTCCAAACGTATAGACAGTTTCTTGAGGATTGCGGAATCCTCTAGGAAGTACCTTACTAGATTCATTTCTATAGCAAATCTCCTGATTGGGGCTTTGATATCAACAAACTGATGCTATGATCTGAAGTGAAGAGGTAGCTACTTAAAAAAGAAGTAAGAAACTTCAATGCATATACAACAACAATAACACAGCTTCTCTTGTAGAAGTACCTTAAACCAGTTTCATCCTTATTACTCCGAAGAAACAAACATACAAAAGCGTCCTACATCAACCTGATTAACAAAGGATAACGACTTGACATGTGCTAGAGCGTCTTGGGATTTTGAGGATTTCCTTGTATATGTCATCCTTTCTTGGACAATAATATTAACGTCGAGTGAGTTTCTTGAGAAATGCTGAATTCTCTAGGAAGTACTTCACCAGCTTCATTTCTACAGCATCTCCAGAGAATGAGTTACTGAATTCAACAACCTCGAGCGACGATAGCAAACATCCGGGAACAGATGGAAAACTTATTTTCTGTTTCTTGTTCATCTTCTTTTGAAAAATATGAGTATATTGGTCTTGGACATTTTTTTAATGTGACAGTTTCAAACAAGAAACATACATAAATTCTTAAACCATTTTGAGAGTTTCTTTTCACACATAACAATATATTATTGATTTAGATCGAGTTTTTTTAAATAAATAACTAAATAGTATGTATTAAAAACATTATATTTTGAGAGACTTTGACATTCTCTATCCAATTCCACTACATAAAGTATGCTCTAAATTCTCTAACATTTTGAGATGATAGAAAATCATAAGCTGCTACGTAAATTCAATATCAATATCAATCAACACCAAACCATCTATGAAGCTACTACATACCTCATATTAAAGTTTCCCCCTCCACACATAATAGTTAGAGAAAATTACCACTACTATTTTAACCAAGAAGAAGAAAATGAAAGTCTAGTTCACATTTGGTAGAGGCTCTTGGGATTTTGAGGAGTTCCTCCCTGATACTTAACATTTTTTCTATATTTGGATGATAACCCACACATAGTCTGACATTCTTGAGTATTGCCGAGTTCTCCAGGAAGTACCTAACTAGCTTCGTTTCTGTAGCATGTCCCCGGATTAGCGTTTTGAAGTCAACATACTCGAGTGATGATTTCAAACACTTGGGCACAAATAACGAACTGATTTGATTCATCTCCTCGGCGCTCAGCTCCTTGTTCCAACCAGACTGATCAAACTGAGGAAAAACGAAGAGGAGAAACACAATGAAATTATATGGCAAAAACTTGACATAGTGTGAACAAAAAAAAAAAAAAAAAATTGGAATTAGTAGATTACATACCAAGACGAGGGATTTCAGATTCGGGCAGCTCTCAAGAAATGCTGCCAACAAATTCAATTTGCGTGCAAAGAGAAGAACACTCAGGCGAGACAAGTAACAAAATTGAGGATATCGCTCTAATTGGGAATAATGATGAATGCCCTGGTAACACATATAAATATTGTGGTTAGAAACTTTTCACTACATAAATGTGCATGTCCAATAATATATATATACCTCGAAAATATCGTTAGTTATTGTCATATCCCTGACCCTCGAGATCTTATACAATAAACTCCTGATGCGATTTCTCGATGAAACCAAATAAACATCAAACTCGGCAAGGGACTCCATATTGTTTACGATAATAACTTTTGATACGAAATCAATGATGTTCAAACTGCATAGTAGAGGAGCATCAATGATAACTTCCCGATCATAATCAACCTGGAAACATTTGGATGCTCGAGCAAAAGTGAGCATCTTCAGTGACGGAGAGTGCACTCGATAGACTTTAGTTTCATTCCCAGTTACATTAATAACTAGATTTTCTAAGACAGGACAACGTGAGACAAGTGTCTCGAAAGTGGCTTCATTAGAAAACACATTGCATTTTAAACACATAGTCTTCAAACACGGTAAGGAAACAAACTCGGCACTAACCAATGCCACATGGCTAAGTGTTAAGGATACCAGTGTGTCACAACTATAAAGGCTTATGGGGATCTCATATAAATCTGTAGATCCCTTATAGTTCCGAACAGATAGATGTTGAATCCTACGCTTTACTGCAGCATTAATCCATGAGGTGAGATAAGAAGCATCACCATCAATAGTTAAGTCGAGTTTGTGTATGTATGAAACCCTAGTGGAATCGAAAAACCTGTCACCAAAACTCATTAATGCACTCAAATCTTGGAACTGGAGCTTTTCTCTGGAATCCAATTCCAAACTAGGAAGCCAAAGCCAGAGACTCCTCCATCTTGTGGACAAAACACTTGTCGAAACAGCTTCTTTTGTTGGAAGATGAGAAAGAATGTGACATATCAAAGGATCTGGTAATTGGCTTATCCTATCTTTCTTCAATCTATTACTCAACCCTTTGGAGCGAGCCCGTTTCATTGTACCTCTCTAAAAAGCTTTATCTGCAATAAATAAATTAAAAGAATTGAAAACGAAAGCTTCAGAGATACAATTTGGATTTATAACTCATAGAAGTTCGACTTGGCTTAACCTAACCCTAATCAAAACTGTTCACCAAGTAAAGAAAATTCTCAAATAAGCTTACATCAAACGAATCAAAGTGCTAATTAGGTTTTTGATAGGAAAATTGTAACTGAAACGTTTTAAATAAGGATTGATGAGATAGGAAGTACGAAGACCAACTTGGTTTTGTCTGACCTGATCGAACCATTGATGGTTTAATCCCAAAAATTTCGAGCATCGCAAGAAACAAGCACAATTAAAATCCGATTTGGCTAAACCGAAGATACCCTATTTTGCTTAGATTCTAAAACTGGTTTAAATATTGGGTTTGCAGATTAGACACAGTCCTACTTTTATATATTTCTTTTTGGTTTTAGAATTTCTTTTCACTTGACCGTAAGCAACATAGAAAGTAACATGATGAGTTGATTTCCAATAACTATTAACTACAAGACATAAAAAAAAGGCACTACATATTTTGTAAAAATTATATCAAAAGAAAACTTATTTCTTGAGCTTAATGTTGAAAAAAACAAAAAAGATGTCATCACTAAAAACATTGAAACTTAAGTCTTGAACCACAATTAGTGAAATAAACAAAAAAGATGTCATCACTAAAAACATTGAAACTTCAGAAGTTTTTAGTTATTAGCGTCCATTACATATATATATTATTAGAACAAAATATCACAAACGAGATTTATATATAAGTTTTATGAAAATATCATTTTTTAATTAAACTTTAATGTTGACATGTGCCGATACTTGGGTCGGAATAAATAAGGTAACCGGTATTGTTGAAGCTACAAGCATTATAAGTGCGAGCATGGCTCTGGTAGTAAATGTCCATGACATAGGACGCATGATCTAGTAAAGTATTAGGGTAATAGCAATATCCACCAATTTGGATCGGTGAACAATCGATACGGCTGCAAGCGAAGTTAATGTTGTCCTGTAACTGCTCCGGTGTGGAAGCAGGCAACGCCACGCACCATGGTTCGCAAGTCACTACGGGGATGTGGTAGATCACAGCCGCAGATAGGATGAAGAGGAGCGTCAAAAGTTGCGATGACATTATAAAGTCTTTCTAGCTCGATATGAATATTCTAGAGTTGTCTATTTTTGTTGTTGTGTGTATTTTCTTGTGAAAGTACATGTATATTTATAATGATATGCAATAAGACTTCTCCTAAATAAGGCTAAGGAGACCAAATCTTATAACTATATATGCTTTTATTTGTTTTGGGAAAGAGATCTAAAGAATGGGAATTGTAAGAGATAAGTTAATAAATCAGTAAAACACTTACTCATCATTATCTATAAAAATCATTCCATTAAATTAAATAATTTATGATATGTGTCTCATTTTATAGTTAGTATGATCTTAACTAGTAGCTTTAATTTTTTTTTGTAAAATCTTTACTATAACATATTAACACTACACATGTACACAATATGCTTTATGTAATATAAATATAACTATATTAAATTCTTATCTAAATATATAATCCTTATAATTTAATATTATTTTGATTATTTTTTTTTTTAATGAATGTGAAAATATATTTAAAACAAAAAGTCCTTTTTACAATGAATGCATCCTTGATCCTTGTATCAAAACTAAATTTGAAAAACCTTTAAAAAGTGTATAGAGAAGGGAAGAGATCCTTGTATCAAAACTAAATTTGAAAAACCTTTAAAAAGTGTATAGAGAAGGGAAGAGATTAGCTACGTGTAGCTATCCAAAGCTGTAATCCGTCCCCAAATTTTGTTGTGTGTTTCTTGCACTGAAAGAAGCTTATTACGGACCATACAGTCTAAAATCGGATAAGCTCGTCTCTAGTGCTTGGCGTGTCTCCATGTCGGCGTCTGTTGCGCTCATCCAGAGCGTTTGAACCGATGCCTTCAAGGTTATATATATAGTAACTTTGACTCTATATAGTTTTGTTTTGGCCAATGTTTGCATACATAAAGATAAAGACCACAATTTGTTTCAGTTTTCTATAATTAAATAAATCTTTATAATTGTAAATTTAATGATTATATTGAAAATAATTAAGATAAATCTTAACTGCAACAATCAATAACGTCACACACAATGTTTATGATCTAAAAACGAGATTTCACAAGAACTAGAGCCTCTTGGCATTGCATGAAGTTCTTTGTGCATTGCATGCTTTGCCATTACCCTATTATATTTTACACGTCTTAGAGTCAATTTCTCCAAGATGTTTGAATTCTCCAGGAAGTACCTTATTAGATTCATTTCTCCTTTATACCCCATGATCGGTCTTTTCAGTTCCACAAACTTAAGTGATGATACCAAACACACAGGCACTGTCGAAAACATCATCTTTGGTGTTCTTTTCTTCCTACAACGAACGTGATACGGGTCCTCCTCCAGTTCCTGCAAAGAAACAGGAGAATACTATTTGAGTGGGTGGGAGATGCAATAAAAGCTTGAACGACATAGTTTACTATCAGAAATGTTAAAGCTCATCACCAAGACAAGAGATTCTAGTTTAGGGCAGCTGTCAAGAAGGGTTGGTAACATTTTTGCATGTGAGTAAGTAAATTTAGCATCTAAGCAGGACAAGTTAGGAAACTGAGGCAGTGGTCCTGGTTGCGTGTATAGTAAGATGACCTGGAAAACAAAGACAAGAGGAAGATAATGTTATGGTGTCAAACTTTTTTCATGGAAGAAAAAAAAATGCTCAAATTAAAGTTGACATGCATTAACGCATACCTCCCAAGTAGCACTCTCAATAACGAGATCTTTGACTCTCGATATATCGGTGAGGATATCGCGAATCACGGTAGTGTTGGCTAAGCGATCCGGAATTAACCCAAGACGAGGACGGTTAAAGTTGACACTAATATCCACTTTGGCAAAGAAATCTGAATTGATGATCTTAAAGTTCTTTGTATTGTAAACCTTAGTCTTCAAAAACTCGAGTAGAGGAGCATCAATCACAACTTTGGTAAACTCATTTACGTGGACTCGCTTCAATGTCTTAGAGCGTACTTGTAAGACCGTAGCATTATCAGTTGACAATCTGATGAGTGTCAAATCTTCAAGAACTGGAGAGCCTAAGATAAGTTTCTCCAATGTTGCTTCATTGGGAAGTATATTATCTTCTAAATGGATGATCTTTAGACAAGGCAAGGAAACAAACTTGGCATTAACCAAGGTGGCACCATGGAGTCGTAAGGGTACCAATGTCTCACATGTATATAAGCTCAGGGGAACCACAGGATGATCATTATATCTAGAAATATGAATGTCAAGATGATTAATCCTTCGCGCACTCGCAGCATTGATCCATGGGGAGATAGCAATCTTAGTATCATAAGTATCAAAGCTATTAAAAATCCGTAGCTGGAGTTTGTGTATACATGAATCTCTGTGGAAATAAAAGAAACTGTTAGTGAAACTTATAAACCCACTGATCATCAACCTCGGGAAGTAGTTGGAGTCTAACTCCAGTTTTGGAACCAATCGCCAAAGACTTCTCCATTTAGTGGACAATATGCTTGTTTTCACAGTTTCCTTGGTAGAGAGATGGCTAAGTATGTTACATATCAAATCATTAGGTAATTGGCTTATCCTATCTTCTTTAGATAATCGCATCTTTTTCCTTCGAACCACCATTTTAATTTTCTTCTCTTCACACAACTAATCTGCATCACCAGGTTTCAAAAGAATAACTGAGTAACGAGACATAGCAAGCAACCTAAATAATCTTGGATGCCAAGGAACTACGCACTAATCATCAATTACTACTCATAATCAACGTTTTAATTAACCTGAAGCAAACCAAATTGTCTCGTATGAAATTCAGAGAAGGTCCGCAACCGAATCAATCATTAAAGCCAAAGAAATAAAAGTACATCACTGGGTGATTGAATCTGTCTCTAGAAGAACACAAGCACTAAGAGGGAGAAACTAAAATCAAATGGAGGCTAGGGTTTCTCATGATTGTTTCCTAAACAATTAAACGTTAAACGGAGGACGTACCTTGTCTTCGCCGACTAAAATCTGCAATAGTTACTTGTTCGTCTCCTATTTATTTTGTGATGTATATTTTCTATAGTGTAAATTTAGAAAATTAACTTTTTTTTTGTTTACAGTTTTGAAAAAATATTCTCTTTTTAATAAAAGTTACTTTTAAAAATGTTAAATTACTAAAATAACTCAAAAATCACAATGAAAATCAAAGTAACCAGCAGGGTTATATGTATACACAAGTCACTTTGACTCTATAGAAAACCAAAAAAAAAACTCTACACTAATACCAAATCACGGACGACGATGTCACATTCGCAAGAGCTTCGTCTCATTCCGAGGAGTTCCTCCTCCAAAGTAGACTTTTCACGTATTGAATAGTTGGGCAAACGTAGAGTGAGCTTCTTGAGTATTGACGTATTCGTTAGAAAATACCTAACAATCTTCAATGGTGCAACATCTCCCTGGCTTGGGAATTTGAAATCAATATACTCGAGAGATGATAGCAAACACTCAGGTATAGATGACAAACTGATTTGATTAATCTCTTCCAATGACATTTCCTCATAACTACAATAGCATACCTGAGGAAAGAACAGAGGATATATACAAAAAAAAAAAAAAAAAGAACAGAGGATATAAACACAATGAAACATGGCATGTTCATAAAGATCAAACAAAAACATATTGGGGGTTTTTAATATCATTACCAAGATGAGGAATTGCAAGTTCGGGAAGCTCTTAATAAAGTTTAGTAAGCATTTCAAATCGGAGTAAGGGAAAGATGCATGCAGGCGGGACATGTAAGCAAACCGGGGCAACGGCTCTAGTTCCAAGTATAGACAGATGATCTCGAACAAATTAACGTGGGTCAGAAGCTTTCATGATAGAGAAATGTACAATGCACAATGCCATAATTGATATGTTATATGTATATACCTTTGTTTTCTTACAACAAGAGCAATACCAGAAAACTTTGTTTTCTTACAACAAGAGCAATGTAGAATCACATAATTTGGGATCAAGTATCTTATCCGCTTTATTTCTACTTCATACCCCGCCAGGCCGCGAACTCACACGTTTCAGTTCCACAAACTTGAGATGTAACCAAACACTGAGGCACCTTTTGAAAAGATCATCTCTTGATCTTTCTTCTTGTCACCACGCATGGTTTGGTCCTTGACCAATTTCTACACACACACACACACACACAAAAACAGAAAAAAAACGAGTTGAGTTGAGAAAGACACATAGAAGATTTTCACAGAATAGTCAGAACTTTCATGATTGAAGCAAATGTATATGTCCTATAGAAGAATTATCAAATATATTACCTTGAAAATGTCTTTACATATTTTCATATCTCTGCCCTTGGTCCAAGGGCCTTGGATACTACTTCTCCTCAATGAAACACTAGCTTGGAAATTTGGAATCACTCACTTGCCGGAACTCACTCTCTACTGAACATTTCTTTCAAAGACTCTTGTGTATAGAGTTTCTTATATAAGAAAAATCCCAATAATGAATCATGTATTGTTCTTCGGTTCTACTAGGAGATGCATAAACATACCTTTCGCAAGAATCTCAAGCATTTTCAAATTCACAAAGCTAGAGTGAGTTTCTTTTTTTGAGTAAATTGTTGAAGTATCCATCAAATTCGAAAGAGTTGGGTCATTAGTGAATTATTACATGAGCATAAACCACCAAGAAAGACTTTAACTGCAATATTCGCTTGTGGCTCCAAAGTCTAATATAGCACTCCAAAAGATAAACCTTTTAAAACAAAATGTCTAAATATCTATATTTTAGGAATCACTGAACAATAAACTTCACAAACGGTAGAGCATCTTGGCATGGTAAGGAGTTCTTGAAGGAATGCACACTTTGCCTTTTCGGTGTAGTAAACATCGAGCTTTAACTTCTCTAGAATTTTAGAATTCTTCAATAAGTATCTTACTATCTCCACTTCTCCTGTATACCCTGGGATCTGACGTTTCCATTCCACAACCTTGAGCGATAATGCCAAAAAAAAAAAAAAAGAACTCTAAAAAAAACAAAAAACAAAACAAAACAAAGAACACCAAGAATCAAACAACAGTAAAAGAAAGAAGAAGAAAAACATACCAGACTGGAATTCACCTTTGCAAATATAACCAAATTGGATATCTTTATAACTGGACTGATTTGTTGACTGCCTAAAACAATTAGACGACAACTTAAGTCATGCACAAGGACTGACTTATCAGCAGCTGAAAGCAATCAAGTGTTTAACTCGACAATCTGCTATATAGCTGATTGATTTTACAATTTTTACTAGATTTAAAAGCATTCGACTTAAGATTCATCGAATTTCATATGAATGCCCTGAACATGGTTTTTAGTTCTATTTATAAGACATTGTTTTAGTGGTTGGTTCTTTATATGATTGATGTAGGACAATTTTAGTTTCACAAGAAATATTATTTTATTTCCGTAAAATGGTAAGTAAATATCTTTTTCAAAGCTACAAATATCCCACGTCATTTTTTCAGACTTTAATTAAAGTTTTTTTGTTGTCGACGTGGAATATTTTTAGTCTAGAAAGATCAAGCACCTCCCATGGTTTACATATCCAAAAAAATATTTCAAATTTAAAATATAAAATACAAGTGTCAAATATAGAGGTTCTAATAAGTATACTCAAGGTTCTTAAATAAGAACATTTCCCTTATTCTTTTTTTTTTATAAAAATAAGATACTCCATTGGAGGTTCTAAAAGTATCACCTATATATTTAGCTTTGCAAATAATACATCATACTGCATATAAGATTCAAGATCTATTTAAGTATAATTTCATACTAACAAACTGTTGTATGTCAATAATTTGATATGATATACATATAATGCATTTGATGCATAATTTTTTTGGATAATTTCTTTCTTATATTTTAAATTCTGAATTTTAATTTTTAAAGAACATTTATTTTTAATATAACATTTTCTATTTAATATTGTACATTCAACATTTTTATGTAACTAAACAGGCTTGCAAAAACAAATCTTCAATTAATCTTTAAGAAACACTGTGTTCTTTGTTTTTTTTCTCTATGTCATGTCCATACTCTCTATATTTGAAGCATTGACTTCTATAATGAATTAATGATGATACATGGTATGGTATCTACCAATGTATCATAGCAAAATTTTAACACTAATTTGGATGCTTAGATAAATTGCAACAAAGTCGGCTAAAAACAAAAAAAAATACAAAAAAAAAATACAAGATAACTCATGCGAGGAATTGAAGCTTATGTTTTTGGGTAGCAGATAAGTATAGGTAAAATATTATTAAGGTTTTTAGTAATCAACGTCACCTGCCAGACAAGTTAATTAGTAACCAAATCCATGAACCTAGTACGCATATTCACTTTGCGAATTACACGAAAATCATGAAACTTCACTATACATGTATGTTCTCTCTACTCTTTATAAATCAGAGGACGACGACTTCACATTTGGTATAGCCACATACTATATATGTTTTGTTAGGAAATATTGTTTTTTTGTTTTTTTTTTGACATAGAGTATTGTTTTTGTTATGAAAGTTTTGTATTGTTATTTTTCTTTTTTCTGTTTACCATATATATTTTAGTTGTCTTTAAGAACATTGTCTGCTGAACTACTACGTACGTACTTCTTTCTTTTGCAAAATTCTCTATTAGCATTACCAGCAACAACAAAAAATCATCATTGAGAAGCATCTATTGTGAATTTCAATATAAAATGAATAAATTAAATAACGTACTACTGGAATTTGATTTAAAAGACTTCACATATTAAACCGGTCAAAGCCATGGGATACGACAACTTCGCATGCTCTACAGCGTTTTGGGATTTTGAGAAGTTTGTTGAAGATGTCATATTGTCGTATTGCATTATAGTGCAAACGTAGAGTGAGTTTTTTGAGGATTGCTGAATTCACTAGAAAGTACCTTACCAGCTCCATTTCCGAAGTATATCCCAAGATGCTCGTTTCGAATCCAACAAACTCGAGACACGATAACAAACACTTTGGCACAGATGAACATTCAAACGGATTCATCACCTTCAAGTGATTAGAGCTATCTTCCCATTTCTGTGGAAACAAAAAGAGAGGGAAGGAATTAAAACACAATGAAAAGATAAGCATATATATACATATAGCCTTTAAATTATAAGGGTTAGGATTAGAATTCATTACCAAGATAAGAGACTTCAGATTCGGACAGCTCTCAAGAAAAGTTGGCAACCATTTCAAATCGAACACACAGAGTGTAACGCAGAGGCGAGACACGCAACCAAATAGAGGCAACGGTCCAAATATCGTAGCATATTCTTTGATGAGCTGAAACCAAAAGATGAAAATATGATGAGTGATATAAACGTTCATAATAGAAAATTTCAAATGTAGCAAGACCTACATTGAAGAACATATACCTTTATAGTCTTTGCACACATGGTCATATCTCTGACCTTCGAAACCCCGAGAAGAAAACCGCGGATGTTAATTCCATTTGATGGAAAGGCGAGAGAAATATCTAACTTGGCATTGGAGTCCATATTGGTTATTGTAAAGCTTTCTGATAAGTAACCATAGATGCTCAAAAAGTGTAGCTGAGGAGCATCAATCACAACTCTTGAACCATACTCTTGCAGAGAATAGCGTTTTCTTATAATGAGCCTTATCAATGACTTGGAGAGCACCCGACAAAATTTTGTGTGATGATTAAAACATTCATCAATCTTTAACTCTTCCAAGACAGGACAGGATGAGACAAGTCTCTCGAAAGTGGCTTCATTGGGATACAAAAAATATTTTAAATGCATAGTCTTCAGACACGGCAAGGAAACAAACTCGACATCATCAAATCTCACTAGAGTGAGTTTTAGGTATACGAGTGTCTCGCAGGTATAAAAGGTTAGGGGAATCTTATGATACCCAAGATCAAGACGACTCTTAACATCTAGATGTCTGATCTTAGACTTGACTAGAACATCAAACCATGTTGTGAAATAAGACGGATCATCTACACCATAATCGGGTTCTTCTATAGTTAACTTGACTTTGTCGATGCATGAGACTCTACCATAATCGAAGTACCTGTCACCAAAACTCACAAAGGCATCGAAGTCTTGGAACTTTTGGGAGTTCAGTTCAAAACTAGGAACCCAAAGCCAAAGACTTCTCCATGTGGTGGATAACACACTTGTTCTAACAACTTCCTTAGTGGGAAGGTGATTAAGAATCCGACATAACAAAGGATCGGGTAACTGACTTAACCTATCTTTCGAGATCAATCTCTTAGTCGATCTTTCCATCTCTACCTCTTCTGTAAGAAAATTTTATACAATAACGAAATCAGTTAAACAAATATTCAAAACGCAACTTTAGAGAGAAGATTTGGGTGCAAAGATATTACACAGTCTTTAGACTAATCCGCATAGAGTCACGGAGAAAAAGAAGAACTCACCGATTACAAAGACAAATATATAGGAGTGCGGCTAAACCAAATTAATAACCTAGCTTAAATGGAAATTGGAAATCTAGATTCGTTTTTGGTTTTTTAAACGTTTTAGAAATATAAAATTTTGAAACACACATAAAAATGTTATCGAAACGCGATTTCAACATATATTAGCAAACTCATGTTTTCGTTTCTATCAGTTAAACAATGATAATATTTTTTTTGATTGTGTTGTTTCAAACATTTTTTCTCAATAATATGGTTTTGATATTCGGTATTTTTTTCTCTATAACAATATATTTTACATGTCAAAAACGTATATATTTTTCAATTTAATATAAGAAAATCTTCTCACTTCCGCAAATCTCTTTCCGTTATGCAATATAGTTAATAACTCCTTAATTTGTAGTTTGAACATATTTGTAGATTCTAATATAATAAACTACAGTAAAACCTCTATAAATTAATACTCGATAAATTAATAATCTCTATAAATTAATAAATTTCTCCGGTCCCAAGTTGGGACCAGTGTAATTTTAGACACATTTCGATAAAATAATAAGATAATATTTTTTTTGAAAATTCTTTATAAATATATGGTCCCAACAATATTATAAATTAATAATTAGGTAAAATTTTCAAAATATATGTATATATAGACACATTATTTTTTGTTAGAGTTTATTTCTAATATTTTACTATATAAAACATTGTTAGAATTCTCTTTCAAGACATAATAATTATTATTTTCTTTGTTAATGATTATATAAAATACTAATTATCATGATTAAATCTTATTTTTAAATATTTTTTTGAAAACAGTTTCCAAATTAGGAAAATCTCTCTATAAATTAATAATTATTAATTTATCGATAAATTAAAACCTCTATAAATTAATAGATTTTCATGGTCCCAACATTATTAATTTATAGAGGTTTTACTGTAATATGTGAGAAAATTTCGGAAAACTAAGGGAGAAGATAATATATTCATACAACTGATGTTAAAATCCATATAGATTTATTTCTGTATGTAAACAGATTCTATGCTAATTTTAGTGGTCAATAATAATCAACATAGTAATATTTAATTTAATTTGACCGTGATAATTGCAGTAATTAGTTGACAAAAACGAAACAGTTGCCGCAATTTAGGTAGATATCATATAATTTTTGGTAACAATCTCATTCAAAGTCAAAGTATATTTGCTTATTTGGTAATTCTAAGATATGCTCGATTTAAAAATTTGAATGAAAAAAAAAAGAATAACATATTCGAGACACTTGGCGTGAATGTAATCTTAACGAGAAAAAGCAAAAATAACATGGCCCACTCCCAAATATAACGCGTTAAAATCAATTAAATAAAAGAAATATTCACATTCGTTACAATAAAATTTAAAATCAAAATAATATGATTATTCCCTTATTCCTCACGATTACATTCTTTAAAAGAAAAGAAAAAAGCATTCACATTGAATTGCTCTTATGTTTTGTTTTTTCATCATTATCATCATCATCAAACTAAACTAAACAAGAGATTAAGCAAACTAAAAAATAAATCTCGAGATTAGTCAAACCAAACCAAACCAATCAAACCCAATTACATGTCAAACCCCAAACCAAACCAAATCGAATTAGACTTTTAGAAACACCGGAGATGGTTGTTGTGGTGGCTATGGTTGTGGTGGCCGCCGTGACCATGACTATGACGACGGTGATGAGTCTCCTCGTCGATAATCTCCTGAACATGCTTAAACTTGTCAACACGGCAAGGGATCGTAATCGGACCGGCGTGTTTGAATCCATACTCCTTCTCAGCTTCTTTCAAGAGATCCAAGAACAGAGGATGACTCAAGAACACCAAAGGAACAACGAACCTGTGTAGACCTTCTTCATCGTCTTCGTGTCCCACCATGATCGCTACACACCCTTTAGGAACATCATGATGGTTGTTGTGGTGGTGGTGGTGGTGGTGATGATGGAGTATGTGGAGATGCGGAACATGGAAGTGAAAATTGAACACCATCTGCTTCGGACTCTGTTTTGGGCTCTGTTTTTGGTTTTCTTCAAAACCCATCAAAAAAGAACCAACCTTTATCACCGTAACCGAACAAGAAAACACAAAGATTTGAGTAGTAAACAAGATCGACGACGAGGAGGAGGAGGAGGAGGAGGTTAAAGAAGTGTAGAGATGCTAGAAGACGGTGATATTGAAAGGCCAAGGATCAACAGCAGAAGAGATTGTGAGAAGAAATAGAGAAAGATCTGAGTCGGTGAGAGATCTAGGGATGTTGCTCATGATAGGCTAAGCATGAAGAGATTTATATGTTTTGGGTTTTTTTGTTTTTTGGGGAGGAGGTTGAGAAGATTTTGGAATTAGGAAAAGATATTGCATGTGTATATATACAATTTTGGATTTGGATTTGGTGTTAAGGGTTTTTGCTTAACGCGTACATTTCCAAAGTGCCAAAGGCTTCTTCTCTCCTATTTGTATTTTATTTTTGTTTTATAATAACAAACAAAAAAAATAAAAAATAAATAAGATGTTGATGAGGTGGAATTATTATTTGACGTGGTAAATATTTGGAGCGTGTTAAGGAGGAGAGGAGTAGTACTTAGGGTAGGGTTTTACCGACTTTAGGAGGTTTGTTACATCATCTTATTATTATATTTTATGTTTTATAATTTTTATACCACCAAAAAACCAAAAGAAATATATATATTTAAGTAGTTTTGAACAGTCAAATTCGTTTAATTTTTGGATAAAAATAATGTAGGATATTTCTTAGAAATTACATATAGTACTACTATATATCAATTTAAAGTATGTATTGCACATATAATTATCTTAAGTGAGTAATTATATAATTTAATTATTTAGCTAATAGGTGAAAATAACTTGGAATCGATCTAGTACCATTAGTATGTGATATAAAAAATATATATATATATATATATATTTGTGTACCTCTTGTCAACTATTTGTTTTCTTAAAGCCCTTGCACAAATTGAGAAATGGTCAAAAAAAATTTAGTTATATCACCTAATTTTTCAATAAACAAACTCAAATCATTTTTTTTTTTGTGTTTGCTGTTTTATTTGTAATGATATAGCTTAATATTATACTCATGTGTGTAATATAAAATAATTAATTACTAACTAATCAGCAGAACGAAAACAAAAAAATCTTTGTTAACCATGGACATTCCAAGATTTTTCTAGACTCAAAGATTAAATCCCACTGGACCTTATATCCGGGCGCGGATAGGTGTCTAAGACGACTCGAACGCAGGACTCTCACTAAAGGAAAATGATCGTTGTGGCATTCACATCTACGGTAGGGGGTAACGATTACACTGTTACCTTAGGGCACCTCCAATGGAGGTGCTTAGAGAATTATTAAAGAGTACTCAACATTAAACTGAATTATTTTAATGCAAAAGTAGGAATAAAAATGAAGCATCGATGCTTAATTTAGGTTTTTAAGCAAATGTTAAGCACTCAGTATGTGTCACATTGTGAGTGGTTGAGGGAAAATTATTTTTAAAAAAATCTTTTCATATCTTTTTCATTTCACAAAAACTCTTCTCTCTTCTCCTCTTCTCTCTCTTCTCCTCTTCTCTCTCAACCCTTTCGACAGCGATGTAAGCGATTCCGGCGAGGCGCCGTTTTGAAAGTACAAATCATTTAGAATGATGCTGTAAGGAAGATACGGATCCGTTTAGAATTGTAGGTATGGCTACTCAGATTGTACAACCAGACAACAACTAGCATATCACACTTATTTGTTCTCTCTTCTTGTCACTTTGATCTTCTTCAAATTTAAATCTAGACTTGCTTTGTATGTAATAACTGGATCACACATATAATTTTATTTAAAATATATTTTTATAAGCATCCATGATGGGTTCTTACCATTGGACATCAATATTTGTCAAGTTTTGCCAAAAGGTGCTTAAGTTTACAAATATCAAATTTTATCATTAAAAAGTTAGTAAGCACCCATAATGGATGCTTACCATTGGAGATGGTCTATAAGCTAAGAAAAAAAAAATGAACTAATCAAATTTGGTTGCTGTGTTATACTTTTGATCAGCTGGCACCAAGGCCCCTTAAGCATTTCAAAAAGCCAACGACTCGGTAATTAAATGGATAAACAATCTTATATATAAAAAAAAGGTATATATATTTGTGGAACTTGAACATTATAATAAACAAACCGGAGATTTCCAAAACATCGAAAAAGAAAAGAAAAATAAATCGGGATAGAGATTGAATTGTATAATGAATGTTTTTACTGGTTAATCGTTTCATGTTGTGTGGTCACCTGTCACCGTGACTAATGGTAAATGGATAAACACGACTAAAAGGTCAAACCTAACAAGCTATGTATCAGTTTTAGATATATAGTTCCAATGTATTTAAAACCGTTTCCGTGGAGAGGTGCATGGGAAATTACATCCCCCGTATTCACGTATTATTATATCACTATTACTTAGTACGTAATCGAATTGGTCAGTTTTTGTATAATATATTTGACTTTATAACAATTTAAGAAAGTCATATGGGAATTTAAAGAATGTATAAAACATCAAATACATATATATAACGTGTTAGATACTTAGATACATAGGATCCATTAGAGAATATGCTTATTTACATTAGTCTGAAATCATTCAATAGGCAAACTCTTAATGAATCAATGACGAAATTTTCATATATATATTATAGAAAGAAAGAAAAAAAAAATGATCCCAACATTTTTGAAATTTGGTGGCTTGCTTTTAACCAAACAAATCAAAATAATGACTTGAGGCTTTTTTGAGATTGCTATAGGTGGTGGAAGACATTATTCATTAGGATAACACACTCGTGAAAACATTCAAATTCTTCCATCTCGATCGAATTTTTTTTTTCTAAAGCGATCGAGTGGTTAAAGACTATGCCACATAATCAAACATGGCCCTGATTAAAACTATACATTATAAATGTTGTCGTATACAAAACACGTCAGCGTAACGTAACCTTACCTGGGATGAGACTAGCGCGTCACCCACAAAATGATATATAAAGAAGTCCTTTGCCGAGTAAGCAAGCTCATGTCGCGCCTCCTCAGGTGCCTATAACGCCGCCGATCAAATCACATGTCCAATTACTATATGACACTTGTTGCTTACTTTGGTTTTGCTTCTTATCCGGTTCATCGTCTATAGTTCTATTACAATGCTTAATAACGAGGTTTGGTTTCGAAGTGTAAGCACAATCTCAATCCGAATGTAGAAGTTTACTAGGCCAATTGAGAGACCAGCTCGGTTTAGTTTGGTTATGATTTCATTAGGTTAGTTAAGAATAAGAAGGTTCCAAAGTTTGCGGACCATCGTGTCGGCACGATATGACAAAAGACCTTACGGATGAGTAATAGCCGTTGGATTGCCAAGAAAGTTGGAATCATGTGCTCTCTATGTTATAAGTTTTTTTTCTTTTCTTTTCCTTGATATAAAAGCAAACGACGACTTTTTGTCAAAGAGTCCATACACGCCAGAGAAGGCAGGATCAAACGCATTATCAAAAACCAAGTGTCGTTAGGTTTAAGATTTATATAATCATTAGTTTACTCTTAATTATGTATGGAAACGTTTGAATAGAATCTAATCAAAAGATCAAACATAACCAAGTAATCATATATACATATATTCAATATGAACCAAATACATTATAATAAGAAGCAAACCATATCAAATTTAACCAAAGGATCGTCTCAGTTCTAAGTCTATCCCAAAACCTAATAAGCAAATAGCGACAGCTAATGTAAACTAGTGCCTTTTGTTATCATAACAAATTTATATGAATGGAGAAGAAAAAATTAGCAAAAGTCGAATCATATTCTATGAATATGACACAAGCATCCTTTGGGGTTTATGGGCCACATCTCCCACATGTCAAAAGGATTTGTCTTTCGAATGGCTCCTCAAACTCTCAACCAAACGTTTGAATATGTGTGTTTTCTAAAGTCATTTGACCTAATATTAAAATCCATGTACAATTATTTATTTAATTGCATGTATCTATATATGCTGAATATATAGAGGTTCTCCACCCACACAATCTAAGCTTTTCATGTTTCAACCACTCCGAGAAGAAACATACATTATTTTTCTATTTCTACCAATAATAAACATATCACTACAAGTCTACAATTACAAAATGTATCTTTTCATCACCTGAAAATGATGCCTAAATATAAAATTCAATACATGTGTCGTTTTTTACGTGGATGTGATTAGAGCTACTTATCAAGACACGCATGAGCTCGTCATGTAAAAACTTCCAAAACTAATTTTAAAATGCATGTGTTCATGTTCGTTTTGACTATACGTTAAAGTCTACCCACGAATAAATAATAAACTACATACTATATGGTAAAAAAAAACCAATGACACGTTGGTGATGAAACTGATGCCAAAAGAAGAATTGTATAGTTTACGTCTCTATTTATCTATTTCGTATTCGTTTTGGCATTGACAGAGTCACATTACATATATATATAGCATGATGATTTCATTTTATATGCGTTTGGATATCCGCGGATTTTGCCTATTGCTGAGATAGTGAGAGATATAGCTAGGCCTTGGTGGTGGTCCAAAATTGTTTCGTTCTCGTGATTGCATTCTCTTTAGGAATAATCTTCGCAAAGTCAATACAAGCGAGAGAGCAAAGCTCTTATGATCAGTTGTAGTAGACTTGTCGACGTTGCCTAGTTGGGTATGAGTATGTACATTGTTACAGTAATTAGATTATCGTAAGCCCTTCGTTTGGACATTCTCTTTTTCTTTTTTCTTTTTTTTTTTTGTTAATCATTCTACTTTTTCAATTTTCTATGCTTCCTGTTTCTTTTTTGTTATGAAACTGCATGTATATATATATTCTATTCTATACCAAAAAGTTATTATGTTATCCCACAACACACTATTTTGCATGGTATCAAATTATTTTGTAGGATATAGAAACATGTGAAAACAACTTTTATTTATTTAAGTTTTTTTCAAAAAAAAAACTTCTATTTATTTAAGATTTTGTCACCACAGTTTTTTTGTAAAATAGATTTTCAATTCTCTAAATATTATATTGAGTGGGCTACTGGGCTTCCACAAAATTATGATACTGGACCTGGTCATGGATAGAAATAGAAGCAAAGGGTTGCAAAAGACTAAAATCTTCTGACCCGAACAGAAACAAATCTAATTTTTTAGTTTGCCATATTTATTTATATCTCTATTTTATTTTTGACATTCTATATTTGATTTCTTTGATGGATTGTAAACTATTATTATATTTTGGTTAAAGAATTCATAATTGCAAATTTATATGTAATATTAAATTCCAGAAAAATCATAAACAGTTATCTCTAAAAACATCCATTTTTATTTTCTTTTTTCTGCCACACAATGAGAAACAGCTGAAGCCTGAAGAAAGGCTTTCAGAGCCTTCTTCTTCTTCTTCTTCTTCTTCTCCACACTCTACTTCTCTAATTCGAACCTCTTTCAATGGCTTTTACATTGTCTACTACAAAGACCTTCACTAACATAAACTGCTCAAACACTCCTTCAAACATAACCACATTTAAGCCCCTCAAGCTTCCTCTTTTCTGGCCATGGCAAAAGGTAATACGCCAATACATATATAAAAGCACCAAACGTAGCAAAGGGTTCTCTTTTCTTATGTAATTGAGTGAATGAATCGATGGTTTTAGGTAAAAATGGGTCCTTTGAGTGTTTCTCCAATGGGATTTGGGACATGGGCTTGGGGAAATCAGCTTCTTTGGGGTTATCAGACTTCAATGGACGATCAGCTTCAACAAGCTTTCGAATTGGCTTTGCAAAATGGAATTAATTTGTTTGATACTGCTGATTCTTATGGTACTGGTAGGCTTAATGGCCAAAGTGAGAGACTTTTGGGCAAATTCATCAAAGACTCTCAAGGTCTGTTCCTATATCATTGGTCTTACTGATCTAAAGTTCCTGATTCATGTGATTTTCTGAGAAATTTGCCTTTAGCTTGGTTCTGAGTTATATCTTAGAACTGGCTTGATATGTTGTTGCTGTAGTGGGTTTGTGTGTTGTGCTTAAGCTGATGATTGGTTGTTTTCAAATTGCAGTCCTAAAAGGGAAGCAAAATGAAGTAGTGGTAGCTACAAAGTTTGCTGCTTATCCATGGCGTTTAACTTCTGGACAGTTTGTGAATGCCTGCAGGTCCCTGTAGTCTTAATTTTGTCTCTTACTCTCTTTTTTACTTTTTGGTTTTTTGGAGATTGATGGTAGATTGAATGTTCTGTTCTTGTCTCAGAGCTTCTTTAGACCGGCTTCAGATAGACCAGCTTGGGATTGGACAGCTTCACTGGTCAACTGCAAACTATGCGCCTCTACAAGAGCTTGTTCTTTGGGATGGTCTAGTGGCAATGTACGAAAAGGTTGCTTAAAAATCCACTGACATATGAAATCTCTTCAGTCTCATTAAGCACTTGGAAAGTGGATGATAAAGGTTCCTCTTTCTCAGGGATTAGTTCGAGCGGTTGGAGTCAGTAACTATGGACCTCAACAGCTTGTGAAGATTCATGATTACCTCAAAACCCGAGGGGTTCCTTTATGTTCTGCTCAAGTGCAATTCTCATTGCTAAGCATGGGGAAAGAGCAACTAGAGATCAAGAGTATATGCGACGAGCTCGGGATTCGCTTAATCTCTTATAGTCCTCTCGGTCTAGGAATGCTAACTGGGAAATACTCCTCTTCAAAACTTCCTACTGGTCCACGGTAAAGTAGTTATAGCTTGTCTAACAACCGATAAAACAAAGAGCTTGTTTCTTGTTAGTAACTATGCTTGAACACTTTGTAAACAGATCATTCCTGTTTGGACAAATTCTTCCTGGATTAGAACCACTGCTTTTAGCACAGAGAGAGATTGCAGAGAAGCGAGGAAAGACTATGCCTCAGGTATGATTTTAACTTTCGAAATGTTCTTGGGAAGAAGAAATGTGAAACATTGAAGCATGAGTATATTATCTATCTGGTTTTGCAGGTTGCAATAAACTGGTGTATATGCAAAGGGACAGTGCCTATACCGGGTATCAAGTCGGTTAAACATGTTGAAGATAATTTGGGTGCTCTGGGATGGAAACTTACAAACGATGAACAACTTCAGTTAGAATATGCAGCTAAAGAATCACCAAAGTCAATGATTCAGAACATTTTTCAGACAAGATAATAGGATAAGCTAAAAGATGCTCTTATACATCTAAGACCACAAATGAGAACAATGTGTATAAGTAGAGAAGATTGCGTTTAAACTGTTATTATATATCTCTGCAAATATGATTCGACTCAAACCAAATCTACAAAGAAGAATAAAACTCCTATCTAAGATAGGTTGAGAGTAAGGAAAATGTCATTTGTTTTCCCAAAACATTGCGTATGAAGTAATGATATGTCAAACTTATTCAAAAAGCTTAGATTTTGGACATAATGTTCATATTTTCTCATGCCGGGTAGACATTATTAGCATCGTTGTGAGGGACACATAAACAAAGTTCTCGATAGTTGTGTTCTTTGCTCTTTTAAGCGCGCGCTCTCTCTCTCTATCCATACACAAGCTAGTGACCAAACTTATCATTGCGATTTCTGCATTTATATATAGACAGACATAACTTATCTTTCAAGCAACCAAATAATAATGTTAATTTTATAACCTACAACTTGGCTACTAGTCTTTTGCTGTCTTCTTCTTCATCCAACGAACTTTAATCTCTTCATTAACTTCTCTTCTTTGTTAATCGGAATATTATTATCATTTAAAAACAATTATAGTTCCAAGAACATGCAAAAGTATATAAATTTCATAAACCGTTTTTTAAAAAAAAAAATACACTACTAGTAGTACCTTTATTATTAGAATAATCTTTGTGTCATATGCTTTGTGTAATTTAATAATACCAACTATATTCCAGATTTGGTTAATGACATACGCGGCTACATTAATTATTTTTTATAACATATCTTCTTCAGCTTTATGCCAGTCAAAAAAATATAAAACAAAGTCAAAAAAATATAAAACAAAGGCATAGTCTAGTTATTTTCTCTTTATTCCATTACACTTTAACTAGTAACTACTAACTACTAAACAAGTTACAACAAAAATAAACAATTAACATATGATATTAATCAAATTCTTTTTCAGAGTCTTTGTTTATAAATATTGCTAATAAACAGTTTCTGGTTTGCTTTTGACTCGGTTTTGTTGATATAATTAACAATTGGTTTTCACTTGATCAATTTCATATGGTAAATACATTAACCAATCTTTAATATTTACTTATCGAACCACGATCTTGGTTCGTATTCTTAATCTATCTCGGTTATATTTAAATTAATCTGACTGATTTCTTAATATGAATCTAATTTAGATAAATATTTGATTATATGTTAGTAATATCCTACTGAAAATTAATGTATTTTCATGATCATCCTGCTAAACAAAAACTATTCTAGAAATAAAACAACCCATTAGCTACCATGAATGATGTTTGTTTAATCCAATCTTAAAATTACCATTAAGCATAAGCGTCGTAGGTCCATTAGGTCAACATTCATATGATTAGATTTGTTCTTTAGTACAAAACTCGAAAAAATCTACAAAAACTAATCATGATTATGTTCCTTAAAAGCCGCGGTAAAGTGGGAACGTAATTGTAAATCCTTTTTATCTTTGACTTTAATAAAGTTTTTACACCACACGTGTCATCTCCTCTATGGTTAATTCACGATATCGCGTTAAAAAAAAAAGATAATCCAAAAATGAAACGACACCGTCGTAAAGAAAATTAAAATTCACCTACCAAATCGCGTGGAGAGTTAAAGCGCGTGTTAGGTTTAAAAGTAAAACGCGCGAGTCCACGCGCCCTAAGATAAGATATAAAGATTAAAAAAAAAAAAAGGACAAGAGCTGAAAAAGAAAGAAGCAAAGCAAAGTGGTTAAGAGGGGTTTCAGTTGTTGGATGCTTTTGCTTTTTTTTTTTCTTTCTTTCATCTTCTTCTCTCTCTCTCTCTCTCTCTCTCTCTCTCTCTCTCTCTCTCTCTCTCTCTCTCTCTCTCTCTCTCTCTCTCTCTCTCTCTCTCTCTCTCCTTCTTCTTCTTCTCTTCAGTTTCGGCGTGCTGAGGAAGACGCTTGAGATATATCATCATCACAGCGACAGATTTGGATAGGTCAAACTCAAAACTTAAGTCGGTCTATCTCTTTCTGAAACATATCTCATGCTTGGTTTCTCTATCTCGGCGGAGGAGGAGGATTTGGTTTGTGTCTGTACACGGCGGAGTTACGGCGGTGATACGCCAATGGGTTTTTCAAAAAGCGAAGATTTTTCTTAGATCTTCGATGAGAAAGCACGAGGCTTTGTGATTTTGGTGGTTTTTGATTTTTGTTGGGGTTTTGATTTTTTAAGAATCCGATGAAGGCGTTACGGAGAAGCTATACTTCAACGTCTTCAGCTAATTCTTCTTCTTCATCGTCTTCTTCGTTACCATCTTCTTCTTCGTCTTCACCTCCTTCTAATTCTAATTCATGTTCTTCGAATTCGTCTTCTTCGTCGTCTTCTTCGTCGTCTTCTTCGTGGATCCATATACGATCGGTTCTCTTTGTGGCTAATCCTGCGTCTCCATCTTCAGTTACTTCTTCCGATCGGTGAGTGTGTTTAAAGGTTTTAGATTTGGAATATTTTTAGATGGGATCTTAAAAGATTCTGTTTTTCTGATCTAATCATAGAGTTCAAATTGAATGTTCACAGCTCAGGTAAGTATTGATTCAATTTCCGATTCAGAAAAAAGTTTCTATCTTTGTTCTGATTGCTTCTTTGTTTTGATTTTAAGATTGGTTTTGGCAACCAATGTTGGTGGATTTGATTCTAATTTTGACCCTTTTTTGTGTAGAAGCAGGCGTAAATCACCGTGGTCTCGCCGGAAAAGGAAGTGGGCATTGACGTCACATCAATGGAGGAGTTTATTTACACCGGAGGGCAAACTCCGTGATGGTGGGGTTGGATTTCTGAAGAAAGTTAGAAGCAGAGTGAGTGTTTTTGAACATGGACCATGTGTATGTCCTGATTCTTACTTGTCTCTGTATTGGTTCTGATTTTTTGTTCTTGTGGTTCTGTAGGGTGTTGAGCCAAGTATTCGTGCTGAAGTGTGGCTATTCTTACTCGGAGTGTGAGTGTTTGTTGTTGTTTTGTCCTTGTGTTCATTCTTTCTAAATCTCTCTGCTGAGGTTCTCAACTTGTATTCTCTTATGGCAGCTATGATTTGAACAGTACTAGTGAAGAAAGAGAAGCGGTTAAAACTCAAAAAAGGTTAGTAAAAGATTTGATCTAGTATCATAGACATCTATATATTATATTGCAATGTTCCTATACAGATGCAGAGTTATAATTTCATTGTTGTGATCTTTGAATGTAGGAATGAGTATGAGAAACTACAGAGACGGTGCCAGATGCTTCTTAAGTGCGGCAATGGAAGTACTGATAATCTTGAGGAACTTCCTTCTGAGGACGTAAATAGTCAATGTGTTCAATTCGTGGATGATTATAATAAGATTACGGAACCAATGACAAGTCAAGATGTGGTCTCTGCTTTGAACACTGACTCTTCAGACTCTTGTGAAGAAAATGAGGATGTTCTACTACTCCCATCTTTTGTATACAGTGATGCGAAAAAACCAAAGGAGGATACTAGTAATAACAGTTCTGAAGAGAGTAGTTCGCCTCTTGTAGCTACTACTGATGAGATCCAAGTAGAAGTCGCTGTACATGAAGACTTCTCTACATGGCAACGTATTATCCGGCTTGATGCTTTACGGGCGGATTCTGAGTGGGCAACTTATTCTCCATATTCAACTGCAGTCACAGAAAGTAAAGCTCGCAGTTTAGCTGAGTCTGTGGGGTTAAAAGACTATGATCACTTAGAAAGCTGTAGACTTTACCACGCTGCACGGCTAGTTGCAATTCTTGAAGCATATGCTATGTATGATCCTGAGATAGGCTACTGCCAAGGAATGAGCGATCTGCTATCTCCCATCCTCGCTGTGATCTCAGAGGATCACGAGGCTTTCTGGTGCTTTGTGGGTTTCATGAAGAAAGCTCGGCATAATTTCAGGCTTGATGAAGCAGGGATTCAAAGACAGCTAAGTATTGTATCAAAGATCATAAAAAACAAAGACTCTCAGCTTTACAAACACTTGGAGAATCTTCAAGCCGAGGATTGTAGTTTCGTTTACAGGATGGTGCTTGTGATGTTTAGGAGGGAGTTGAGTTTTGAACAGACGCTATGTCTCTGGGAAGTTATGTGGGCTGATCAAGCTGCTATTAGAGCTGGAGTAGGGAAATCGCCATGGAGCAGAATCCGGCAACAAGCACCACCAACTGATGATCTCTTGCTCTATGCAATCGCAGCATTAGTACTACGTAGGAAACTGATTATACAGAAGTACAGTAGTATGGATGAGATTGTGGAAGAGTGTAACAGCATGGCTGGTCAGCTTAATGTCTGGAAGCTTTTAGATGATGCGCATCATCTTGTCGTCACTCTCCACGACAAGATTGAAACTCTTTCTTCCCAATCTCAGAGCATTTGATGAAGTCTCTCAAAGCCAGAAATGAAGTGTTTCCACCACACAAAGCCCTTGCACTCGTCTGGCTGTGTTTTGTCAAGGTCTAAGGTTTGTTGCGGTTTGATTCGGTTCTTACCGTTTCTACCCCCTCTCTTCTCTCTTTTTTTGTTTCCTCATCACACAGAGAACACAATACTACTATCCTTACCACTTTTATTGTAGTACTAATGAAAAAGACAAGACAAAAATTCCTGTTAAAATGTAACGGATGAGTCTGAAACTGTCGTTTCCACAATTGTATTGATATTGTTTCCTCAATTGTAGAATTCCAGTTTCCCACTTCCTTCAGATACAGTATCTGGAAACCAAAATGAAATTTTTGTTAACCAGCTTCAGTTTTGGCAAAACAAGCACTCTTTTATTATATCACCAGAATCGAAAACATGTCATCATAAACTTAAAAACAGCAAAACTAGCAACACATTGATTATTGGTTTGTAAATTTCAACAAGAATCAGTAAGGAACACAGACGCAGTCTAAGACCAAACAACACAGTAACTTTTCGCAATAGAGAAATACAGAGATCCGAAGAGATAATTCGGCTTCTAGTCTTTCTTGGTATAGTGACGGACGACAAGAGCCAGTCCCAAGATCAAGATCGGAACAAGGAACTGAAGAATCTTGATAATGAATTCTGGTGTCTTGTCTTGGTTGTATGCTGGTTGCTGTGGCGCAACATATGTCCTTGTTGCAGGAACACTAGACGAATCGATCTCACCAATGTAATATTTCTCCATCATTTCCCTTGCAGTGTCGCTGTGACCAACGTCTTCGAAATCATTTGTAGCATCTTTCCCTGCAACACACCAAAACAGAACAATTGTCATCAAGCAGCCCCAAATTTGCATTAGATCAGCGACCAACCATCGTTTTTATCATTAAGAAATTTACACCCCACCTGTTGAGGACAACAAGACTTCATCGCCTCCAGGATGATCATCCATGAATGGGGTCACATCATACACCTGAACTCAAAAGTTCAAGAACCAACCCATCAACCACTAATAAACAATAGTTCAAACCCAAGAATGTAACAATCACGGACCATACTCAAGTAGAAACCACTAGGCACTAACTAACTATTAAACAGTAGACACAAACTATGTTTCTTCCAGTGTGAATTAGCACACCAAAACAATCTCTCAATCTAAAATTTCACTGAATCGACAACAAAGATTGTGTATTTAACCAGTGAGCAGCTCGAGTAAACACTGAATCCAACTCTACAACTTAAAAATCGAAGCTTTGAAACAAGATCAACGAAGAAAGAGAAACTATGTTCCTGAAAGTCACCTAGACAGAGAGATTAATCTCGAAACAAAGAGACAAGATCTAACCTTGCCGGAAATGATAAGCCAACAATCCTTAGTTTTGTTGTGCTGAGAAACATCTTCGAAAGTTAAAACCTTGCGATCTGAAGCCATGTCTACTCAAACTGCAAAAAAAACAACAACACATCTGATCAAAAATCAAATCTTTTGATATGAATAATCCAGATTAGTAGAAGATGAACAGATTCAAATCGAAACAATCAAAACGAAGATGAATGATTTGATTTTACTACTGAGAAAATTTTTCTTACGGATTCTTCGTCTTTCAGATTCAGACGTTCGATAGCTCCAAAGCAGTAAATCAGCAAAGCACAACAACACGAGGGACGTAAATGGAGTTCCTCACCTACTTAATCTTGCTCAACTCCTTAAAAAGACGAAATTACCCTTAATTATTTTGCCTAGGATTTGGTTTGTCAAGAGCTGACCAAGGGTAGTTTTCGTCAACTTTAGGTTTGACTTTGAACAAAATCGAATTGGGCTTTCAAAGTTTTCTCCTTTTAGAGAGATCGGTCCACGATTTTGTACTTAGAAAATTACAAATAATGACGTGTGGTCTCAATGTGTTGTTTTTGACATACACACAACGTATGATCTCAAATGCTATTAAAGAAAAATATTTTATACTATATTCAACCCCTCTTTTTATTTTGGTAAATTTCCTAAACATTTCTTTTGCTAAGTTAACACGCTACACAAAAAAAGAGAGTAATTTATTTACTAGGCATGAAGCTCATACATATCGGAGGTCTCACTCCAGCCAAAGCAAGAACCGACGAAGGCAAAATCCAAAGACCATCTCCACATATCAAACCGGAAGCAACCGCTGGTACCATTAAACCGGCTTTAACCTTATCTCTCATGTTCCAAGCAAACACAATCAAACTACCAACACACATATCAACGGCGAAGTACCCTCCGACAAGAAACGGAACCGCCATTGCCATTGGTAATGGAACCCATTTCCCGATCTTCTCCGGCGACGAATCCCTTACGAGATTCGCTGCCACCGCGAATGCGAAAAACCCGTAACAGAGCTGGAGACAGTGTTGAGGCAAAGCAGAGAAGCCTTCAACTCCAAGAATCGCCATGTTTCTGTATATCAAAGCGTAAGGTGCTTTATACTCTCCGTCAGGGTTTCCCACATCGAAAGCTTTGTAGAACAAGAAGAAAGTGAGAGGAGCCACGACGCATCCTATAGCCGTGCCGATAGCTTGGCTCACAAGCATTGACCTCGGCGAAGTCAGAGTCAAATGTCCTGTCTTGAAATCGTGCATTAGGTCAGAAGAAATCGATACGATTGATTTTATCAACCCGCAACCGACAAGTCCCGCGACTACACCGTTTTGTTTCCCGGCCATTGCGGCTAAGATGAACAGAGCGACTTTACCATAGTTATAAGCCATGTTCATGTCTGTAAGCCCTGCTCCATAAGCGTTGCTGAAACCTAGTGATGGAGCTAGCATGTAAGCTACCACTATGAAGTACCATTTGAGCTCAGGGAACATTAGGGGGATCGCGATTATCGATACAACAGAGAAGGCTGCGTATCCAACTGCTGCAACCCATAATGGAATGCTGTCTTTTACAAAGATTTCATCTCTTTTAAGATCTGCTATAGTTTGTTTATCTTTCTCCGAATCTGCGATTTTACGTTCGAATATCAGACACATTAAAGAAAATGACGATTTTCGATAGTTTTAGGTGTATACTTACTAGATTTCCCGGAGTGGCGATCCTTTAACTTGGCGTACATGTTTTTTGCTGTAATGAGAAGTATCTTAATGAAATGGTAAAGCCCGTCTCCCAGGATCAATGAGATTGATATAAACACCTGCAGAGGTATGAACAAATTAAGAACGAAATTGGGCGAAAGAGAGACCGAGTTTATTGTACAGTTTTAGTCTTTTTTGATATGGAACCTTGTAACCATTGAGACTCTTCATACTGCTTTCAGGAAGAGTTGATGGGAACCAATCTCCTTGAAGTCCTTTAATGAGTGGCCACATGATACCCCAAGACAGAACAGCCCCAAAAAGCAAAGATATATTGACAATGTGGGAACAGATCATTCCTGCTCCAATGTATGTCATGCTAAAGTCGAAGTAGAACCTGTCAAAATTTTTCAAGAATCATCAAGATTCTGTTTTTTTATAATCTATGTATATGACAAATCGAGCTACGGATAATACTCACGAGTTTCTCCAAGCTTCTAACCCAAAAGTTGGAAACTGAATGAAACCGCAGTCTGCACCACCAGAGAAGAACCATTGAAAGAAAGCCCAAATAAAGCTAAAGGAGAAGTACTTCACAAACCCATACACTTGTTTCCTGCATACAAATAGTTTTCCATTTTTATCAGAAACTCAAGAAGTTGTGGTGAAAGAGAGCTAAGAGACTGCGGAAAAAAAATCTGAGTTTAATACTTGGCCATTTTATTGCCTTTAGGAGTGTGGAAACCGTTGATTAAAACCGCGGTAGCTGTTCCACTCGGATATGTCAACTTGTAGTCTATGATCATGATCTAGTTAACAGAAAAAAAAAGCATAATGAAAACTTAGAAATCTAGACCCAAACCATCTACAAATCGAAATGTTGCGATAGATCAAACGAGCCAACCCGGGATAAATAGTCCAAACTTGGCCAATATTAAGCCTAGGTTGGCTCTAGTGGGTTTGGTCCGGCCCATATCATCGTTATATCGGCCGGACTGAGCCACAAACTTTGGCCTACCACAACATCTCTAGTTACAATTCAACAAAACAGGAAGCTTAAAGTCTCTACCTTTCTTAGAGGAACCAATGCTAAAAGACCAACAAAGCAAGTAAAGAACAAGAAAGCGGTCATCCAACCGATTCCAGGCTCTTTAGTGCTTCCCGGGTAATTCCCATCAGTGTGAGTTCCTCCTGATTGTTCATAAGTATTTTTGCTTAAACCAAGAAGGTATGAACCAAACCCACCTGCAAATCACACAAACACAAAACCTCAAACAATCTAATCCAACCCAAAAAAAAAAATCAACAAAAGAATTAGTCAAAAAAATTCACAAAACCTCCAACTGCAATGCTGTAACAAGCAACAGCACAAGTTTGGACCACAGTGTTCTCTTGTTTAGTGAACGGTTTAGTCACAATCCCGGCTTTGGTCAGTAGCTTGGTCCAGCTTCTAAGAAAGACAAAGGCTAAAAGAGCTGCAGAGACATTAAGGTTTGGTACCAAACCTGTTGTAAGGTTTAGTTTCATCACAATCACACTGTAGATAACACCAATGATCAAACTTGCAACAATCCCTCTGATAGTGATCTGACTCTTCCATGGAGGTATTGACTTGAAATCATCTGCTTCGTTTTGCGTCTCTTCCAAGTCATCTATTTCTTCTCTCTCTATCTCATTCCTTCCCTCTCTCTCCACCATCATGCTCCTCATCTTTTTTTTCCCCTTAGTTCTTGATTTTTTTTTTTTTTGCCAATACTGAAAAAAACAAGAACCCAAAAAAAAAAACACAGATTCTATAATAATTAACAACCATTAAAGAAAAACTTACTTTTAGAGAAAAAGATAAGTGGAAAAAAGAAAAGGGTACCTCTTTTTTGGATCAATCCGATTCTGGGGATTTTATATAAAGTTTAGATTTTTTTTTTTCTAGCCACAAGCTTAAATTATCTGAAGAATAAAAAGAAACAGTTACTTAGCAAAGCTAGAGATCTTTTTAATCTATTGCATAATCTTTTAAACCATAGAATCAAATCAAGATGACGCAAAATTATCTCTTTTGCTTAGAGATCTAATCAAAAGTAACTTTATATTATAACCAAGAATCTGGTATTATTAATCAAGAACAGTAACAAGATTGAGTGTTTTTTTTTTCTTTCTGAAATCAATAAGCTAAGAGAATGAAACGTAACTGATAAATGAAACAAGAAGACGCACACGAAGACCACACTCCCCACTTCCCAAAGAGATAAATAAACAGAGCAGACCAAACACATTAAATGCTTACACGAAACGAAGTCTAAAGAAATAGCCCAGAAAAGGGTAGTAGATTATACAAAAATGGACTTTGGTGACTTGTTCGAAGTTGTTATATAGAAGAAGAAGAAGAAGAGATGAAGAAGAAAGCTTTGAAACGAAGAAGAGTTTTGATAAAAAGGGATCTTGGGTGAGTTCTTATGTACCGCACGTTGACATCAGTACTACACTAAACAAGAAAGAAAGAAAAAATAAAAAAAGTTTTTTTGGGTTTATGTAGTACAAATAATCATTAAAGGGGGTGTTACATCACCAAAAGGACAAACAAAAATATAATTATTAATTCATCTAATCCTATATATAACCTTCATATATGTCATTAACAAAGTGATTTTTTTTTAATGGCTATATAATTGTCACATAAGAAAAATCAAACTCTTAAGGTTGTTCAAATGTGTGACTCTCTATTCTAGCATTAAATTATGTGTGTGGTTATTGTATGTTGTAAGAAAAAAAAAAGACATTTATTTGATTATCTCTATTAGAAAGAGGACCTTTTAGATTTTGAAAATAAACTAATATAGTAATGAAAACAAATATCTGATATTCAGTAACTTAGAGATTATTTTTTGGTTAGACTTAGATATAAATTATGAATATATTTCTTATTTTTTAGACTATTTCATTAATGGAAGTTAAATCAAATATATGTTCCATAATTAATCCCTTCACCAAATATGTATTTTTCTAATTATAAGAGATTTTAACATATTTAGTAATAGAATACATGTTTAACTCAATGAATCTAGTGGCATTCATGTGAAAACTGAAAAGTTGTGATGACATCTATTCTTTAGTTGACTGATAAAGCTAGATTTATTTGGTTAATCCAAGATTCCGGTTCATGTGACTGTGTCTTTTAATTAAACAAGATGATGACATTATGAGCAATCTTATACCATAACTACCTTTTTTATTTTCTTGACAAGTAGACTAAAACTAAAAACAAAATGTAGAAAACAGAACTCTCCACAATGTGAACGATATATATATATATATATATATATATTATATATATATAATTTTTATTTTTATTTCTTAGGGTAGTCAAAGCAAGAGATCGGTAAATGTCAACTCTATAAACCATGTGGTCACAAACATAACAAAATCCAAAGAGAAAATGAAAGTTGAATAAGATTATTCAACATGTTCGACTTTTTTGATTCTTTACGTCTACACGTCAAACTCATAAGTAGTTGAATTGGACTATTATATTCGGACGTTTCTTGGCCGAGTTGGTACCGCGACGATGTAAGACTGACCAATCCTGCGTCATCGGATAAGATCAGACTAAACCAAGTTTTTTTCAAGAACATATGATTGAAGCATGCGCAAGACTTGTTTTAGATCTTATAAATTTCATATGTATTGGTTGAATAGAGTTAAATGACTAATGTAACTGCCGTTGGTTTATTAAATATATATGTTCACCTTGTTGTGTTTAATGTTGCATGTGTGTTCACTCTAGTTGGCTAGTCAATGCTCAACTGTTAGTTAATTATTTTATATTAAATATTAAAAAATTGTAATTATTTCATCAATTTTTAGGACCACAAAACTCAATAATATATTAGCATTTGTGATCTCTCCACTGAAAGGAATTAAACAAGTGAGGTTATAGAAGATTGAGCAATCATATTTGTTCAATGAGTCTAAATAATAATTCCACATACTCACAGTAATCAGCATGCAAAAATTGGACATCAACGGTTTTAATAGTGATTGTTTTTTTTTTGGGGTAGGATTATAAGTGTTTTTTCTATGTTCAATGATATTTATTGTTTTGTGTGTATATATTAAATTATGAAGCTCATTTTTGTCGACGAATTAATTAAACATTAGAACCGAAATTGTAACACGAGGATTGTGTGAGTACAAACCATTAGCAAGACAATTAAACTCTCGGATGTCTCGTATGGATGTTGTTAATTTAGATGATTGAATCTTATCGTATGTGTGTGTGTGTGTGTCCTGGTACATAGGCTAAGGAGATAGTTATTACATATGGAGAAGAAAAAGAGAATATCACAACTCTCTTTTATTCGAAGTACACTTTTCTTTTTCTACTTTTAAAATCACAATAATTAACGTATATATATCTCACGTACTTTTTATACTCCATACGAAAAGGGCTTTTCAAGAGGAAACTGGAGTTTGAGATTATTAAAACGGTATGTGAAGTTATTTTTTCGTATGGAGTATAAAATAACTTGTATTTTAGTTATTCGGTAGACTCACACTACCTTATGAGTTATGTCATACTGTTATTAGGGTCGCTTAATTCTTTGCAAACCCCCTTTTACTAGATATGGCCTAATTAAGCTTCTCAACCTCGACCAATGTTTATCTTCATAACTAGTCCTCGATATGAATCACTTTCTGATGATTGAAAGAATATGATCTGACCCAACTTTAGTTCATGTGTTTTGATCAATTGAGTCTCTTTTTTATAAGTCTACCCAATTTTTTGTCTTTGCCTCTTGAGGATTTTGGACCTACACATTCTAATTATAGTTTTCACTTTATGCCAAACGATACGAACCAAGCAAAGAGGATTTGGTATAAACCATTTTGATTTTTTTTTTTTCTAAAAAAACTTCTACTGTCTATATAAATATTGGTATTGTCATCATCATAAGAGATTTAATTTAACAAATAGTAAATTATGTAAGAATGTAAAGGACCACTATACCACAATATAATATCATATTACAATTTACAAAGTATTTTTGTCATTCATGATTCATACATGTTCCATTTACAAGTCCATGTCTTCTATAAATTATTTATTGTATTTTAGTTATCTTTGAGCTAATTTATCGATTTATTTTCTAAACCATCTTCCGTTGATATTATAACATTTATTATTTCGACCAGTCACCCAAATTATTTGGTCGACATTACAAGTCTCTCAAACATATTAAAAGATGTTTTGCGTATTTCTTAAACCCTAAAAACAATCCTACAAAGTATTTAAAATTTCATAAATGAATTTTAGTTTTATTGGCATTAATTATATATTTCAGCTCATATGTACACATGACAGATCCATGTTTAGTGTCAAAACTATAAATAGCTTATCAGGAATCAATACCAAACATGTAAAGTTGTAAGACACCACGTAGTTAGGTTTAAACACAACACGTTACCTAATTTCATCGATCTATCAACTCCGTCGTATTCCATGGACATTACAATTACAATTCTCAAACGTAGTGCGCAGTCGTCTCTTGTCAACACTTTTAATATTCTAGTGGATAGTAATGCATCCCCGACTCCTTTTTTTTGGGTTTAGGATAGATAGAGCATAAAATTGGAATGTAAGAACCCAAAAAGAAAGTGACAAATGACAAGTGGAAGGCTAAGAATGTGCCACATGTCTTGTTCTCAAAAGTTTTAGCATTTGATGAGTTCATTGTTGCAAGAAAAAAAAAAAAGCAAACGTGATTTGCCAAACTTGTCCAACCTATATGGTTAATTAGACCAATCACATATATAAAAGTAAAGTTTCATTTTTTTATTCGTCTATTTGAGATTTAATTTTAAAATTTTAAAATTTATTTTTAATTAAACCAAAAATTTAGCACATTTAGTTTTATATATTATATCATACTTTAAATTCACACTTTACTACTAACTTGTAACTGAAATTACATAATTTGGGAATTAGCTTGTTTTTCTTCATTAAATTTCAACTGAACAAACTATAAATTATAATTCTAACTGCTCTAATTTAATTATTTTAGAAATATAACTTCCAACACTTATTAGTTTATAAATAATTTTTCTTACATTCTCTTCCACTATATCTCGCATTAACTTGTTGAATCTAATTCTTTAGCACATGCTTTGCTCGACCTCACGATTCGACTCCAACCAAAGTTTTATTTTAGAATCAACCGTTTGAATTTTATAACAGTTCATAGTATTTATTGTTTTTTACTTTATAAACACATCCTTTGTACATACATACGCATTTTACACATCAACTAATGAAAGGCTATAAATAAATTAGTCTTTTAGGATTAATTTTGATGATCTATTGGATATTGATTTCTCGATGGTCATAAAGAGAGCAAAGCCATTAAGATTTTTAGAGGTGGAACGCCAAAGTATTTCATATAGTTTAAGGCCAAACTCACGTCATTGCTCGTGCGTCATTACCAAAAGATGCGACAAATATCAATACATAAATGCCAAACACTGAGAGGATGATATTTCTCTTCCCATCCGCTTCGTACGTTCTCAGCACTGACCAAGTTAGCTGATGTATAAACCTATCAAACTATATGACCTTTCTGATTTCTTTTACACTAACCATATTTGCCAAACAAGAGCATCTACAACCCATTAGAAGATACAAAATAACCACGAGTTATAGGCAGATTTCATGTTTTTTGAAGGATTTCATTATCAAACTTCGTTTCAATAAATATCTCGTATATCCAAGAGAAATGTGTTTTTTTTTAGTTATTTCATCAAGTCTTTGGCAAGTTGTCGAGGATCAGTCTCCATAGGAATTACCTTAAGTTAAGCTTTCCCTTATCCTTACCTTGATGCACAAAAAATATTTTAATGAGCTATCTAATTATTATTATTTTTTTTGGTCAAGAAATTAGATAACTCATTAAAAAAAAATTAGATAGCTCATTTCTTTAACTTATCTATATCTTATTAAATCTTTAATCGTTGTTAGTTTTATTTTTTTACTCACATAGCAAACATCTTAATCGTCTCATTTTTAAGAAATATATTTTATACGGAACTAAGGCCAGACTCAACGTAGAAAAACCTTCAAAGGTTATGAGAAAAGAGGAAAAAATATTATTTTAAATATAATTCTATTTTTTTATTTTTTCTTATTAATTATAGCTTTTATTATAGTGACAGCTGTCCACTTATATAGAGAACTTGTATCTATAATGAAAGTTTTAAAAAGCAGTTTCTCTTCTTTTTAGTCATATGTTTATTTTATTTTTTATTAAAAAGTTTTCTATAGCAATACCCCGATGGAGATGCTCTAAACAAATTATATAACTTACTTTTTTTTTAGGACAAAACAAATTATATAACATACAAGTTACAAAACCCTCAAGTAGCAAGTAAATGTAAGACCTAATGTTTTAAGAAAATTCACAAAAAAATGTAATATTTGATAAGGCTTTAAAGTTTCAAACCCAATGGGTCGAAAAGAAAAAGCTTAATGGGCTAGTTTGATCAATTCCAAAATAATGCATGCGGCAAGTAATGCAACCGGAGTTGTGATCCTTTCCTGTAATTTCAGTTAAGAGCTTTCTTCATCCTCTACCTATCCTCAACCCCCACACACACACGCTCTTCAAGAATTAGGGTTTCTATTTTTCTTGAATCTAATTCCATAATCCAAAAATATGAAGAGATCTTCGGGTAAAAAGGATTCAAATTTCATAGAGCAATTGATACTTTACGTCGCTAGTGCTGCATTGAGTAGCTTGGTTCTCTATGTGGGTCTTAGAGCTATTGACCCCAACCGTGACGCTGCTAAAAAGTCTCTCGAGCATAAGAGAGAAATCGCCAAACGTTTGGGTCGTCCTCTTATTCAAACCAATCAGTACGAGGTAATTTCAATCTCTATGGCTCTCGAATTGATTGAATTCGTATTCAAAATTTGTTCTTTCCTACTTCAGAATGGTAATTTTGTGACTCTTTATGGCTCTCAATCCATGATTCAATTTCGCATTCAAAATTCCATCTTTTCGAGTTCAAAATGGTAATATCAATCTAAAGTTTAGAGAATTAAGGCTTGAAATCTGAAACTTGCTTTGTTTAATGTGAAAATAGGATGTGATAGCTTGTGATGTTATAAACCCATTACATATTGATGTGGAGTTTGGTTCTATTGGAGGTTTGGATGCGATGAAGCAAGCTTTATACGAGCTTGTGATTCTACCATTGAAAAGACCTGAGCTTTTTGCTTATGGGAAGTTACTTGGTCCACAAAAAGGTGTTTTGCTTTATGGTCCTCCTGGAACTGGGAAGACGATGCTTGCTAAAGCCATTGCTAGAGAGTCAGAGGCTGTTTTCATAAATGTTAAGGTTTCGAATCTGATGAGCAAGTGGTTTGGTGATGCACAGAAGCTTGGTAGGTTTATGTGTAAAAGGAGCTCACGTTACTGATCTATTGGTTGTGTTACTGATTTATGAGTTGTTTTGCTTCTTCAGTGGCTGCTGTATTTAGCTTGGCGTACAAACTCCAACCTTCCATTATTTTTATCGATGAGGTGGATAGCTTTCTTGGCCAGCGCCGTTCGACTGATAATGAAGCAATGTCGAATATGAAAACTGAGTTTATGGCTTTATGGGATGGATTTACTACAGACCGTGAGTTTAAACTTCTTTTCCTCATTGTCTTATTTACTACAGACCGTGAGCTCTGAAGGTCTGTTAGTTGCTATCTGAAGTTTTATGTTTTTGTTTTCTAGAGAATGCGAGGGTGATGGTTCTTGCTGCAACTAACAGACCTTCAGAGCTCGATGAAGCAATATTGAGGCGTTTTCCTCAGGCCTTTGAGATCGGAATGCCTGATTGCCAAGAGCGAGCACAAATATTGAAAGTGATTTTGAAAGGAGAGAGGATTGAACCAAATATCGATTATGATCATGTAGCTCGCTTATGTGAAGGTTATACTGGATCAGATATCTTTGAACTCTGCAAAAAAGCAGCCTACTTCCCAATTAGAGAAATCCTAGAGGAGGAGAGAAAGGGCAGACAAGTTTCGGTAAGTAAGAAACTGGGTTTAGGAATGTCAATTTTTTCTTCTTCCACCTGATTTCTGACTTCTGAGTACTGGCATTTGAATCGCCTGAAATTTGTAGGCGCCTAGGCCATTAACACAATTGGACTTGGAAAAGGTTCTTGCTACCACAAAGAAGACTCAGGTTGCCGCAAGCGAGTACTCTGGTTTAAGCTCGCAATCTTCCGTTTGGAGAAGCCAGGCAGATCCCGACGAAGTCCAAGCAGCTATAAACGGCATCTCAAAGCTTTTTGTCTCTCGGATGAGAAACCTTGAGCCAGATTCCCAGGATTCATATCAACATGATTCAGAAAGAGATTCGGAATAGAGGCTCTTGACTGAAGTTTTGTATAGCCACAAAAAAGTAAACCAAAGAGATTTATACTTTGCAATCCTCAATATAGCTCTTGTGCTGAATAAGTTGGTGCATTTCTTAAGGATGCCTTAAAGTTGTTGTTTTTAGGAAATTAAATTCACTTGAACTTCATTTCTAGTTCAAGCAATGTTCTATACATTTATACAAATTTGTGTTTTTTTTCCATCAAATTTTGAATGAAATTATCAGCTTTGGCTTTTTACAAGTTTCTTCATATAAAAATGGCAGCTTTAGAATCTTTATAAGACTTATGGTCGTGTAAATGTCAATGGCACTATCTGGGCTTTGATCTGTTTACAATATAACTGGGCTTGTATAGTCAACTTGAGAGAAAAAAAAGTTTTTTTTTCTTTGGTCTCGTCTTCTCGTGACTCTGTCGATCGTCTCGAACCCAACTGTCAGAATCTTCGTCGATTTGATCGATTCTTCTCATCTCTCTCCGATAACACGCCCTTGATTTCACCTAAGAAGGTACCAAATTTTGTTCAGTTGTTTTAATCGAGTCTAAGTTCGTAGATCTCTCATTTTGATCTTGCAGCTAACCTCGATCAAGTCATGTTTATCATTGTTGTATCATTACCATGTGTTTTGGTCTTATCTGGGGGGTTTGTTTGATCAGGGTTTTCTTCTATTTCTCTGTGATCCTAACTTGAATCAGAGTTCCGAATTTGAAGCAGCTCTTAGCTTAAAAACCAAACCTTTTTGGTGTTTCAAGTTGGAAATGCGGCTGATTTTATTCCATTTTGTATGTTCTAAACAGGTTATTGTGATTGGGATCGAAGCTTCTGATCATGGTAAGTGCTCTTTGTTTGATGTTGTTGTTTCTGTACTTTGGTGGTTCTCTTAGCGTAAAATTGTTCTAAAGTTTATACCTTTTTCTTTTGGGGATTAATATCACACACAGAACTATCTTCTTGGAGCTTTCAAGCCGGCTTGTAATATTTCAATCACATTTACTGATGGGAAAAATCGTAAACAGGTACACATCTTTCTTTAGGTTTATCCATTACGCTCTTTCTCCTACGGATTCATTGTTCCCGAACTTAAGTTGGAGGTTGCTTATTGTCTCTCCTTGATCTCTGTTGCGGTAGGTACCCATTAAGAAAGATAATGGACAAATAGTTATGAATCCACTTTTCCAGAGTCAAGAAACTATTGCTGGCAAGGTACTTTAGTCTTGTTGTGGTTTGTGATCTTTAGTCATCAGGAGGTTTATGGAATTGCTTAAAATGGAGTTTTTTCATAAAACTTGTCTCTCTCAGATTAACATTGAACCATATCAAGGGAAAAAGGTCGAGCATAATGGTGTTAAAGTTGAGCTTCTTGGTCAAATAGGTGTGTAGATACTACGAATTAATCGGTTTCGTTTGTGGTTTCTAACTCATGTCCTTATATATGCTTATCAATGACATTTTTTTTTTCTTTTTTTAATAGAAATGTACCATGACAGAGGAAACTTTTATGATTTCACTTCCTTGGGTGAGCCAAATTTAGGGTTCCATTATGACATAGTTATGTTGTTTTCTTCAGTAGTCTCTTAGTTATAAGTAACTGATTGATCAGCCATCTATGTGGCTTCTATTTCTAATTTCCAGTGCGTGAGATTGATGTACCTGGAGAAATATATGAAAGAAAGACATACCCTTTTGAATTTTCGAGCGTTGAGATGCCATATGAGACATTCAATGGGGTGAATGTGCGCCTAAGGTATATCATATTATTCTTTGACATCAGAAGGAAACATTTAAGTTCCTAATTTTGCTTACTGTAGTACATTATTTTTTTGTTTCTGTTTTCTTCAGGTATGTTCTCAAAGTAACAGTTACACGTGGCTATGCTGGAAGTATCGTGGAATACCAAGACTTTGTGGTAATTTTTTACTTATGCGTGTATCTTTTTGACAGCATAGTATTTAAGATGAACTTATCTTTCTATTCACGGATTTGAAACAGGTCCGTAACTATGTTCCGCCGCCTCCAATCAATAACAGCATTAAGGTGAGTTCTGATATGATGCAAGTTTTTCATTTTAGAAAGATTCTAGATAATGATTTCAAATCAAACTCTCCCATTGTTCACTTTCGATTTACTGATTCTTTACTGCTTGCTTTGATAGTGAATGACCTTTTGATATTTCATTTCTTTATTAGCATTAGATAATGCTTAATGCTTAATGCTTAATTGGACCTTACCGGTTGTGTAGATGGAAGTTGGTATTGAGGACTGCCTTCATATTGAGTTTGAGTACAATAAAAGCAAGTAAGACAACTTGATTTTCAGAATTTTAGACAAGTGATAAAGAAGACTGGAAACAACAGCTAATTCTATGGTCTGGATGCAGGTATCACCTAAAAGATGTTATCCTTGGGAAAATATACTTTCTTTTGGTGCGAATCAAGATAAAGAATATGGATCTTGAGATCAGACGGCGAGAATCAACGGGAGCAGGAGCTAATACTCACGTCGAGACAGAAACACTAGCTAAATTTGAATTAATGGATGGTGCTCCAGTTAGAGGTACATTCATCATACAGTAAATTGCAAAACTCATTCAAACCTTTTTTGAATTTTGTAAATGAAGTATCGACACCATTGTTGCAGGCGAATCAATACCCGTAAGAGTTTTCTTGACACCATATGATCTGACACCAACGCATCATAACATAAACAACAAATTCAGCGTAAAGTATTATCTGAATCTTGTGCTGGTGGATGAAGAGGATCGCCGTTACTTCAAGCAGCAAGAAATCACGTTGTACAGGCTCAAGGAAGAGACATTGTCTTGATGTTTACAAAAGAGAAGAGAAAAATGATTTTTCAGAACTTTGTAAAGCCTTTTCTTTTAAGACGTTCTCTGTATGCAAATTGGTTGGGACTTGTAGTGGGGAAGTTAAATCATCTTTGTAGTTTGTTCAACGACCCAAATGTTGTTCTCCTTTGTTTGGATACTTGTGACTTCTATTGTCTTCTTCTTCTATAAATGTACTTTATGCTGTCTTATGTTTGTGAAGAAGCTTCTGATTACCAAAGTTTGTAATGGAAAATGTTTTAAAGGAATACAGTAGCTACAAACAAACTCAAAGTAATTAAGCTGAGAATCATGGTTTAGAAAACCGGACAGCCATGAACAATCACACCTTTAGCAGTTGGACATTTAGCTACAGAACAACCTTCACCAAAGTTTCCCCACCAATCAATCCCAATCTCACTACGTTGCAAGGCAAGAAACAAAAGCACAGACATGAATCCAGTTCCTGCATCTAGTCCTCCAGACAGAACATAATTATATCTCTGCCACCATTCTCGTCTGTACTTAAACACGAAATGTCCAAACACAAACGCCATAACGAGCCAGCTCGTGAAGTTAACTGCAGATGCTGGTGGCATTATAGCCGTGGCTCCAATCAGAACAGGGATGTGAATGTTTGAGATCCATTTCTTGTTTGGGAAGAGTCTTGTGGCTAAGTAGACCAATGCTGGAGCTATAGCACCTCCTACAAAAAACCAGTTTATGTTTGAGTACTCTCCAAGATCACCAAACATTCTTCTTGGTCCAACGAGTCCCCAGATCACTGATGCGTCGAAGAAGACTCGATCGGTTGGGCAAGTCCATTGACTTCCTGGTGGAAGTAGAGAAGTGTCACAGAGATTTGGGATTTCTGCCATTAGCCACCAAGCTGTTAATGCATAAACGAAGACGGCTACTAAAGTGCCCACAACCTATGGAAACAACAATAAATTTGTCACATGTAATGTTTTCGAGAGATTTATGTGACACATACACATAATACTAATAAGACTTGCCTGTGCCATGAACATGGTTCTTGGTGGGATCTTCATGTAAGTTCCAAGCTTCAAATCAGCAAGGAAAGTCAAAGACTGAGACATGCTGATGAATCCATAAGTCTTGAAACATATGTTAGCTACTGGTCTCTCTGGATATGCATATCCAATTATATATTCCGTGATAATATTTAGCCCAGGAGCCTACAAAATTAAAACAGAAACATGGTTTAATGATTCCGGTTTGTGAAGCAAAGTTATAAGCATTTGAATCTCTCTTTCTAACCTGATTAGTAGTGGCCATGATCACACCAACAAGAGGAGTGAAGAAGATAGCTATCAAACAAGCCAAGAAAGCTCCCCACCATGGAAGCTGAATCTGTGTCTTATAGTAAATACATATGAAGACAATTACTGCAAGATTCACGGCAAAAATCGAAAGAAACCACCAGAGAGGAACTTCTTTATAATTCCTCTTCATGATTCTTGTATGAATATCCATTTTCTTGTTTTTTCGAAACGCTCCTCTGGTTTGAGTCCAAAGATCTTTTCCGTTGAAAAGCAGGACATGGACAATACTAGCAGTCAAAGTTGCAAAACCGAGTCCATATGTCACAGCAAAGAAAGTGCTCATATGGACTGGTCCGGTCTCTGCGTAAGCCTTACGATCGAGTCTGAAGTTGGCATCGATGATGCTTGTTACATTGTATTCCTTCCCACTGGCTACAAAAAGTTTACCTGAATAGATTGGGAAGGTCTTGGCGTTGTAGAAATCTAGGTAGTAACAGAGAAGAGTGATAACGTACATCACAAGAAAGAACCCGACCGCAATATTTGCAGAGGCAAAGAAAGGGCTAGCGAGTGGGCTTCCAAGGTATGACGCTATGGTTGTCCAGTCCAGACCAAAGGAACCAATACCTAGACCCGCTGCCCCTGAACCGAGCTGGTTTACAAATATCGATTTAGGGCTAATCCAACATAACCAAGAGACTGTGGTTAAGACCGTGAAGAGATAACCAGGTAGGAGATAATAGGAGAAGCTAGTGATGAGTGTGATGACGAAGAACTGATTTCGACTAATTCCCCATTTCGATCTCTTCTCTTTCTCGTGCAATGCCCTGTGTATGATGATGAAATCAGATAATTTTATAACTAATTAATCAAAACCATCAGAGCATCATTAGAAAAGAGCATTACCTGAAGAGAGACACTTGAACGAGATTGCTTGGCCACCACATCTCACCAGGCTCAACTAAATGTTTTCTATACAAACCAGCCCAGCCAAATCCTAATACCTTGCATCACAAGAAACAGTAACAAAAGAACACTCTCAGTTCACAAACCTCTAAACCTAGAACCTCAATACCAATAAACACGAAATAAAGATCTATCACTTTTTACCTGAGTGGTGACCATAACGAGCAAAGCAGGTAAGAAATCAAGCCTTCTCTTGTAATAAAGCTTAACAGCACTAAGAATATGACTAGCATAAACAGTCCCAGAGCCTGAGTTTGCAAATACGGTTATAAGAACATGTTCTTTAGTACCAAACGGACCAGGATTCATCGTGAAAGACCACCTAGTTCCTTCAAAGAACCTCCTTGTCGGAAGAACTCTAGCCATGAGATGACCAATGGGAACAACAGCAATCTGAGCCGAAACAGAGGAGATGGTCAAAGGATTGGTTCTGTACCAGAAAAACTGGTTGAGAAACGACAAGAGAACACAAGCGGTTATGCCAAGAACCCACATCCTAAATGTAACCGTCGGTGAAGTTGGATCGTCCGCTTTGGGCACCGTTAGCTCCACTTGTGGAACTACACTTATCTCATCGTCGACGTAAGAGTCCGACTCATACTCCGATCTTATCTCTGTAATTTCGTTCATTTGGTCTTCAGACAATAGAGGATTGATGATGTTCTGTTTTTGTCTCTATGCACTACAATAAAAAATAAACTGATTGTGTTATGTGTGTTAGTGTGATTATGTTTATGTAACCGTTATTAAAAATTAAACTTATCAATTACACAGATGAAATAACAAAACAAAAATATACTCACAGACAGAAGTGTTTGCTTCCTTCGGTTATGTTGTGTGTTTTGATTTGTGAGATCCTGAATGAATCAGATTGTATTTTATTTTTATTTGGCTGAAGAAAAATAGTAAAGTATATTTAAATGGATTTTTTATTTAATATTAGTTGGTATCATATCTTTTTATTTGATATTTTCCATAAAAGGAAGTATATACTATGGATACATAAACCAAAATTAGACTTTTTTGTTTGTTGCAGATAAGTATTGACTGTAAAAATAATATTAAGGAAACTTATTTTCTGAATTCATGGATGACAAGTGTCTATTATGGTTCTGGTTAAGAAAATCATCTACATTATTTCGACCCACAAAAAAATAAAATCATCAGCTTTGTTTGTGACAGATGACTTATGATAAGTTCCAAATTTTGCTGATCCTATTTTCTATTTTCATGGTGACTTTCTATTTTCAATATTGGTAAAAAAAAATATTAAAAGTTTGATTCAAGTACTCTAAAAAAACATTGTTACCAAGTGCTAATAGCTCAATTGGTAAAGATTTTTGACAAAATGTTAGAGGTCACTGGTTCGAATAGCGTTTGAAACTAAAAACTGAAGAAATTTATGGGTTTCGACCAAAAACCTCTTAATTATTAAAAAAAAAAGACCAAAATTGAAGAGAGATTAAAATAACCGTAATCGAATCAAGGTCAATCAAAATGAAATTTATTTTCAGAAAAAAATACCAACTTCAGTGTAATCAAATTAAATAAACTAAATCTATCAAATTTAAATGTTTTAATGTGTGTGTATTTAAATAAATAAATATATATGTAATCATTATTTTAATAATTATTGAATTAAATGGTATTAACAATCATATTTTATACGTATAACATGCATAAAACGAGTCTAAAAATAATTGATGCAAAAAATATTTACATATGATATTCAAACTGTTGCAGAGTAATGTACAAAACAAAAATAAAAAATAAATAAACCAACTAATTTCATAAGAAAAACTAATTAAATGGGTTTTTACTTAACAGCGTGACGAAATCAGAAAACGGGACATCCATGCATCATAACGCCTTTAGCGGTAGGACAAGATGCGAGGCTACAGTTTGTGCTATCATCAGCGTTTCCCCACCACAACAATCCAATTCCTTTGCGTCCTAGCGATAGGAATATCAGTATTGTCATAAACGCAGTTCCCGCGTCTAAACCGCCAGACAAAACGTAGTTATACTTTGTCCACCACTCTCTCTTGTACTTAAACAAAAAGTGTCCGAACACAAATGCCACAATGCACCAACTCGTAAAGTTAACCGCCATCGCGGGTGGCATCATCGAGGTTGCTCCTAAAATGACCGGGAAATGGATCTTCGAGATCCATTTATGAGCTGGAAACGCTTTGGTCGCTAGCCAGACCAAGAAAGGAGCAATTGCACCTACGAGGAAGAACCAGTTTATGGCTGAGTATGCTCCTAAGTCACCGAACATTCTACGAGGTCCTACAAGTCCCCAAATCACAGAAGCATCGAAGAAGACACGGTCCATCGGACATGTCCATTCGCTATCTGGAGGAAGCATAGATTTGTCACATAGATGAGGAATGTCTACCATTAACCACCAAGCAGTTCCTGTGTACACTACCACTGCCACAAGCGTCCCAACCACCTGAAAATATTGTGTTAATTAGTATATAATTTAGATTGCGCGTTTAACAATTTAATTAACTATGGTTTAAGATGCAATAACCTGTGCCATGAACATGCTTCTAGGAGGGATCTTCATGTAGAGACCGAGTTTGAAGTCTTGGATAAATGTTAGAGCCTGAGTCATGCTGATGTATCCATACACTTTGAAGCACATGTTTGCAACCGGACGTTCTGGATAGATATATCCAATTACATATTCCGTAATGACGTTTAAACCCGGTTCCTAAAGAAATATGATAAGCCTTGTTAAAATAAAGTTGTCACTTACCAAAGCAAAAAGAGTTGTACCCTCTAAAAATATAATCATCAGTAACAATGAATGAGACATTGATGAATGTATTATGATCTATACAATAATTACATTTTGTGAATTGTTTTCATGATTTTGTTATAAATAGTTACGTTTCCTACACAATGCAAAAGAGCCTTTGTTAAGCTCTAAATTGCTTCTTTACTTTCATGTAGTTTAAGGAAGTACCTGATTAGTGGTGGCTGCGATAACACCGATTAGCGGAGTGAAGACGACAGCAATGGCGCAAGCTAGCAACACTCCCCACCAAGGTAGTTGCACGGTTGCATTGTAGTAGAAAGAGACGAACATGATGAGCGCAATGTTAAGTACGAGGATCACATAGAACCACCACATTGGAACTTCCCTATAATTTTTCTTCATGATTCTCGTGTGTAAATCCATTTTCTTGTTCCTTTGAAAGGCACCTCTTGTTTGTCTCCATAAGTCCCTGGAATGTATAAACAACATTACAAGAAAATTAGTTAGATTATTACTATTATCGAAGACTAGTCTCGGACAGCTTAGTTAGTTTAGCTAAAAAGATAAGTATAATGTAGTTGTTAGGAATTGATTGAGTTACAAATTACCTTCCGTTGAAGAGTAAAACGTGGACAACAGTTGCGGACAAAGTAGCAAACCCAAGACCATATGTAACAGCAAAGAAAGTGCTCATATTAATAGGACCAGTCTTTGCATAGACTTCGCGGTCGAGATGAAACTTGTTATCGATGATGCTTAAAACATCATAGGACGAGCCATTTCCCATGAAAAGCCCACTTGAAAAGATAGGATATGTTTTGGCCTTGTAAAGATTTAGCCAATAGCAAATCGGAGTGGCGACATACATGATCGCCGCAAAACCAATCGTTACATTGATGGTAGCGAATAAAGGACTGGCGAGTGGGCTACCCAAGTAAGAGCTAATGGTAGCCCAGTCAATACCAATTGCGCCAATACCAAGACCTTGTTCACCTGAACCGAGCTGGTGGACCAAAACGGATTTGGGACTAAACCAACAGACCCATGAGATGGAAGTTATCATGGTGAATAGATAACCCGGGAGAATGTAATATGCGAAACTGGTCACAAGGACAATGAGGAAGAACTGGATTCGGGTCATGCCTCCCTTTTTCTTCTTTTCTTTCTCGTGCAAGGCACTGAAATGATTAGTGAATTAAGTAAGTAGTTGAAGACTAGCTAATCATATAAAGATTTTTTTATTTATATAAAAATGTAAAATAAATAAAGAGTATTACCTGAAGAGAGACACTTGAACTAGATTGCTTGGCCACCACATTTCACCAGGCTCAACAAGGTGTTTACGGAATAGACCAGCCCACCCAAATCCGAGAAACTACGAGAAGATTCAATGTGTAAAAAAAGAAGAAAATGTTCACCAAATGTCCAAAAATATTGCCTCAGAACAATACAAGTAATCACGTTTTAGACCAATCATAACAAACTTAGCCAAAAACTATCCTTTACATGAGACAAAAGTTGAGTTTAATTAGTAACTTAAGAGCTTATAAATAAAGATATATTTCTTAGTTTTGTTATGGTTAAAGTAAATCTCTAAGTACTATCTAATTATCGATCAATATTCCGTCATCTAGGTTCTACCTATCCACTAAAGTATAAAATTCATGCTAAACCGAAATAAAAACAAAAACATACAAATCTCAAACAAATCTTTTTATGGTTATAATAATTAGGTCACAGAATATGTACCTGCGTAGTGATCATAAGGAGAAAAGCAGGTAGAAACGGAAGAGATCTCTTATAATAAAGTTTGATTGCACTAAGTATATGAGTAGCATAAACCGTTCCAGCTCCGGAATTAGCAAAGATGGTGATCAAAACATGTTCCTTGACATTAAAGGGACCTGGATTCATACTAAACTCCCACTTTGATCCTTCAAAGAACATCCTTGTCGGAAGCACTCTAGCCATCAGGTGACCAAGCGGCACCACAGCGATCTGAGCCGAGATTCCGGTAATGGTCAAAGGCATCTGCCTGTACCAGAAGAACTGGTTTACGAACGAGAGGATGATACACGCACCAAGACCTAGAGTCCACATTCTAAAAGTGAGAACCGGCAACGTAGGATCATCTGTTTTTGGAACGGTTAGCTCAACCTCATCGACCACGCTCCGTTCTAGCTCATCAACCTGATCTCTCTCTATCTCCATAGCTCTCCTCGAGTCTTCTACAATCTCGGCCATTGAGAAGATCCGAGAAATGTTTAAGTTTTTTTTTTGTGTGAGGGCTGTGTGGTGAATCTTTTATAGGGTTAAAGGGGTGAAAAACAAAAAGATTTAGATTCAGTAAAGATTCTCGTTATTGAATCTATCCATTAATCTCATCTGTATCCTTAAAAATCAGTGATAATTTTGATAACAAGACTCCTATTATCTAGAGAAGATTTAAAATACTTACGAAAATGTGGATAAATATCGTTTTTGAAACAAATCAAACGAAAAATATGCTTTCTCTAGAATCGTAAAGTTGAACCAATCAAACTGTGTTTTGCCTCAAGATTTTGTTTGTTAAGACTTCAAAATTAATTTAAAAAATATATCTACAGTTTTACAAACCCCAATCTACCAATCAGTCAAATATTTTTGGTCAAAACCAATCAGTCAAAATATGTTTTGTAGTAGAGAATCAAGCTATGATTTAAGTAGTCCTGCTGAGTTCCTAAAGGCAAAATGTTAACTCATTATTTACAAACATAATTGTAAAAAAGAAAAAAAAAAGAACAACAATCAAAGTATTTTAGACATCAAATTATCAAAGGCTAAAAACCCAATTTTAGGGCCTGACATCCAAATATGGGCTTTGCATGTATTTGTCAATTAGGCCCGTCTTTAATTT